ATTTTTCTAGAAATGCATTAAAAAAAACAAACACGTTAGATAATATAAATAAAACTAATTTGAAATATTTTGTATAGTACCTTTTATAAAATAAATTAACTCAATACGTAAACAAGAGTTTTTTCTTGAAAATAGTCAAATATTTTTTACATCTGTTTAAATATTCAATATTTCTTCAAAACAATGAAAAATATTATTTATGTATTCCACATTTAATATATATGATAAAATTATAACACAATCATGTAAAATAAAATGGATAAAATAAAAATAATAATCGTTGAACGATAGTGTTTTTAAGAATTATTTAAATTTGTATTCATCACATATTTGTTTTTTGTAAATATTATCATGCTATTAATCAATCATAATTTAGAATTTAATGTTTAAAAATTAAATTCTAACACGTTCATGTAATTTTATGTGTCTTTGTTTTAATAATATTTTTTCTTTAACTTTAAATATTTTATTTTAAACTTACTGTATTTAATATAATAAAACATTTATCATTTTATATTTAAATATAATTATTCTACATAATTTTAGACTTGTAATTTTATTTAAATAAAAAGAAAACACGTGTATTCTACGTTAAGCTTATTAGTTTAAAACAATAATTGTCCAAATATAATAACACGGACAACACGTGCTAAACAGCATGTTGCACATTCAGTCAACGAACTATATACAAATTAAATTAATAAACAACGTGCCGTGCTTCCCATCGATCCGCATGAAGGCATGAATCACGTGTTTTTGTGTCGGTTTGTTTCAGATTTAAAATTTGGTCTCCTTAATTATTATTTAAAGCATGTTGATTAAAAAATAAAAAAATATTAAAACATATATTAAAATTATAGATACAGCATACCGATAAATTTATTTTTTAATTTTTTAAATAGTGTTTAATGATGTTTATTAATATTTTCTTTTAAAATAAAGTTATTTGATTGCAGTTCCTTGTTTTGTTAACTTTTTTCATTGTTGAAAAAAATTATTTACTTCGTAATCTTTTATTTTAAATTAAATCTGAAAGGGGCACGGAAGTCCTTCAGCATGTAAGTTTCTTGTTTTTTACGTCCACGTATATAGTGATTCAATATGCGAAACGACATTTATAAATAAAAATATATATTAATGAACATACTACAAATAAATGATTAATCAATTATAAAACATGACATCAGTACATGTTTAGTGTTTATAATCAAACAGAATAATTGAATTCAAATTCAACGTAAAAAGCTTACAAAATAACTAATTCATATTTTTGTAAATAAAAATTATGAAGATTTTTAAGTGTTATTTTAAATTCGTTGTTTAAAATCTGATGTATTTAATAAGATACAGGTGAGATGAGATGGGTATTAAAAAGTACTTATATTTACACCCATTTTCATCGCTATATTTGTTATTTTTTTTAAATTTTAAAATATTAATATTTAATGTTTATTTCAATATTTTAGAAATAATATTTTAAATTATATATTTGTAATAATAATATAACATAAAACAATGTATTTTAGAACAATTATTTAATATATTTATATTTATTAAGATTTAAACTTAAATATTGGGTTGTTGACAGTGTAGTTTATGGAGTCGTATTTATTAATGATTTTGCTCCTTACCAAATACATGTGTGAATAGAAGTTAGTTGACAGTGGCTATGTTCAGTGAAATTATGGAAAAGTTGTGTGTTTGTAATATTTAGTTGAGAAGTTAGTTAAAAGGTGTGGATATTGTATAAATAATTTATGAAATTAAATTATTAGTAAAATTAATTATATAATTGATTGATTTATATTAAATAATTTAAAAAAGTATAATATTATATTTATAATATAAGAATTAAATATAAATAATTTTAATATGCTTTATTGATGAAAATAGTATTATTAATTTAAATAACAATTTAAAATTAATTTTTAAAGTATTGTTTATTTAATTAATTGTTTTATACCAAATAAAATATATTATTATTTATTAATAAAAAGATTAAGAAAACTACTAGAAAAATAAAAAAAAAATTGATATAGTTAACCCACTGGCACTGGTTGAGGGTCTTAATCCGCCACTGACTATATGGGGAAGTGGGAGGGATTGGGATGAAGTCGTCGTCTACTGCCCACTATCACTGACTCACTCACTGCCACTGTGTGGCGAAAGAGACACATATTTTATGATCATAACAACTGTCGTTGAGAATGCCAAGTACTGCTACTACTTGCCCTTTATTCATCCACTCACGTGGTTGTTGACATACCCCAACTACCTTAATTTATATAAATAGATGGCTTAATTCATGTTTTAAGAATATTATTAAAAATTTTAAAAATATATGATTTTTAGTGTATAAAATATTCGTTGAATTCTTAATCAAACCCTCAAGAAAACCGTTTCTTGTATAAAAATTAACGCAAATACCGCCAACTATTCGGGAAGCTCGCCTAAGCAAATCAATAAGGATTTAAGGATTAAGCTTTTCCCAAAATAAGGACTAAGATAAGTGACGTGTTGCTGCAATAAATTAAGCCACCACCCACTTGGGTTTCGCTTTCACCTCTTAAAATAAAAGTTTCGTCTTCTTACTAAACTATCGTAATAGCAAGTTAGCAACTATTTGACTAGGCAAGCTCATCTAAACCATTTTTATAACAACCAGTTAAAATCAAGTTTTCTTTTAACCAAATCTCTTATTTCATATAAAACTTTGTTTCTTAACAAAATAAGTAACCTTTCGTGTGATGAAAAGGGAAAAAAAAAAAAAACATTTTTCAAAGCCTAAAGGCCCTAAACCATCGAGTTTTAAATGCCCACTATAACAATAAATGTTTGTTCACAAAACTAAATTAAGAACATTTTTTTCCAAAACAATATGATAAACGACGGGTATAATGATAAATCAAGCAGAATAATTTTAAAGATTAGAACACCAAATACTGTTTAAATCTCGAGGATAATCTTAAACGACAAATAAAAAACATATATCTGTTTGGATAAATATTATTCTATCTGGTATTTTTCTAAAATAAATAAATGATTAAGTCAAAAAGAATAAAAAATTAGTTACATGTTATAAATTTATCTTTTAAAAATACTTATAATAATAAATAGTTAAATTACATTAAATGAATAAATATAACTAATTAGTTCATGTCTTCTTAATAAACAAATTATAATAAATAAATGTACAGTAAAAAAACTAAACTTACAACTATTTTTATGTGTTTAAATTTAATCTTGAAAAATGAGATTAATAAAATAATTTTATAATTATGATAGAAAAACAGTAATAATTGATTTTATAAAAAAAAATTGAAGGGCGTAAAACATTAAAACAAGTTAGATACAGAAACAATTTGACATAATATATGTAATAGAACAATATTTTAATCTGGTACTCGTTTAAAATTAGAAAAAGCTATATAAATTAAATTTAGAAGGTTGGGAAACATGAAAAGTCGATAAAGCACACACGTGCATGAAATTGCAAAGTAATTAAATTAAAAGAATTTTAAAGAAATATATAACGTGACAAATTCAATAAAAATAATAATAATATTATGAATGGGTAAAATTTTTAGTCAGTGAGTTTGTTTATTTGTTCAACTTTATAAAAGTGAATACTTGTATGTATACGTGTGCGCGCAAGAGAGAGATGTAGAAAAAAAAAACTTAGATAATAAACTTTGAAAATTAATAATGATAAAAATAGTTATGTCAGACTAAATTGTTTGAAAATTTGGAGGAAAAAAAAGAAAAAGGATTTGAAAAGAGGGAGAAGAAAGTTAAATCATTTCTTTATTTAGATATTTAATATTAAAAAATAAAGGTGATAAGGAGGTTTAATTATATAAATAATTTTAAAATTAATATTTTATTTTTTATTTTTTAAATTATTATTTAAAAAAATAACATTTAAAAAAGTTTAAAAAATTCTATTTGTGAAATAATATGAAAGAGTGGGAGAGAAAAAAAAAATCTAAAATAGGAAAACTCAAAAAATAAATTTTTTGAAGGTTTAGAAAAATCTAAAAAATCTTTCTCTCCTAATTAAATAATTCTCAAACAAAATAAAATCTCTTCTAACTCCTTCTTTTCCTTATTTTCTATTCCTAAACCTAACTCCCAAGTATAGTCTAAAAGATATATAAAAAGAGAGAAAAAAAAAACAGTTTTATCTTCATTAACCATTAATTGTACACTAACTAACGTTTAAATCCTATCTAACAAAAAAATAAATATGGATCACTTAATTTAATTATTTATCAAATTTTAATATTATAATTCAATGTTTTTTTTTATTGAGAACATCTTAGTTAAGGAATTTAGCTATGATAGCTAAACGAGATTAAAAGGTAAGTTTTAATTTATCTTACATTAATTAAATAATACGACAGTAGATCGTTAAATATCACTAGTTATTTATTTTAAACATACGTGCATAGAACTTGAATTTAAATCAGACATTTGATATTAGTTGAACAATTTTAAATAAAATAAGTCATAAATTATATTACATGAAAAAGGATAATCTAATATTACTTTATATTAAATTAGAGACTATTTTTTCAGGAATATATATATATATATATATATATATATATATAATCACACAAATATCATATTATTTTCTATTTTTAGAAATATTTATACAAACCGAGAAAATAAATAGTTTTTGAAAAATGCAAAGCAAAATACACATATTTACAATTTTAAACATTATCTGTCCTTTAATATAAATGTTAATTGATTTTAAAACATGTGAGATATCTACTACTTTAATACTGTAGATTTGCATCTATAAAGAAAGTGGAATAGCTTAACTGTTAATAATAAAATTGAGGGATTACACATTAATTATTCATCTTTTATCGTGTATAATTGATAATTTTGTTAACAAATATAATTTTTAAAGTAAAAAGTTGATTGAAAGGTACAAATATATATAAGTAAAGTAGTGAAGTTTAGAAGCACATGAGAAACATTGGGATGATAAAAGTAAGTCTAGAGAGTAGAGGCCTTTTTACAATTGGAAACAGTGAAAAATGGATCTCTTAAAATTGTTACTAAATAAAGGTAGAGAGGCTAAGAGTATCGGCATCCCATTGATTGAGGCAGTGATAGTGGGCAACATTATCGTAAAGATTTTAAATGCAACATTATTGACGTTCACAGCACTCAATTTGACAACCCTTTCCTTTCTCTTCAAACCTTTTCAGAAAGCCCATTCCCATCGACCAGTTTGGAATTTTGAATGTAATTTCAAGTCCCATCAATATCTTTAAAAAAAAGATAAAAAAAAACCCAACAACTTTGCTTCCGAAAACACCCTCAGACTTAACCCTAAATTTCACATTCATACCAACCAAACAAAACCTAGAAAACCAGGAGCCAAACCGAGCCGAATAAAGCACCAAAGCCGGGATTGACTAGGCAAGCGGGTCCCACGGCAACTGACCCGGACTCCAACCTCGAATTAAACTCAATTTAATAATTTAAAAAAGGAAAAGGCAGCCACCAATTTCTTTTAAAAAACGAAAACAGAAAAAGCGAAAGGGAAAAAGAATCGAGAAACATGAAAACAAAAAGGCAAATCAAAGTGTGTGATGGGCTAAGAATTCGGTCCCACGCGCCTGCATCGTCAGCATCATTACACCGTACTCTCTCTTTCTCTCTCCATTGTCCCCCTTTATATATAAACCCTAAGAGATCTCTTCCGCACCACAACCCACCGTGTCAACTCTTGTCCAAACAACGCCAATAAACGTCCCTCTTTAATCAAAACGCTATCGTTTTGGTCTTTTATTTCTCTCTCTCTATGGATGATTCTAGTTGCAAGAAGCGAGTCCGGGATGACTCGGACGAGTCAGTCCTCGAATCGCCCCAGGCGAAGCGACTCAGAGACGATTTACTCGAGTTCTTCGACGACGCTGATCACACACCTTCCACTCAGGACCTTGACTCTGTCATGAAGAGCTTGCAGGAGGAGATTTCGGCCTCTTCCTCCCCCGCTTCCCTCCACGTGACGTCAGATTCCGGCGATTCTCAGGCGCAGATCGGGTACCTCTTGGAGGCTTCCGATGATGAGCTTGGGCTTCCCCCCGCCGGAAACTCGTCGGTGCCGGAGGAGAAGAATGAGGAGCCCGAGTTGGTCCGAGTTTCGTCTGACTCGTCTGGAATCGGTGAGTTATGGGAGTTTGAGGATCGGATTCCGAGTTATGACTCGTTTGGTTTGGGAACCGAGTTCGGTTATGATTGCAACACCGAGTACGTTACGTTTGAAGGGCTTTTCGATCATTCCGATGTGTATTATGACTCAACTGATTTTTCTGACTCGTGGCGGCACGGGTCCTTGCCCGCACAATAGAAATTACGTTAAAAAACAAACAAAAGGAAAGGGAAAGTTTCTTAGACATGTAAATATTTTCTTTTCTCTCACCTTTTTTTGTTCCCTTTTCTGGACAAAGGGAATTACAGAAGATTATAAGCAGGACTTAGGATAACAAGATTAAAAGGAGGATATTCTTCGCGGTTTCATTAATTTTTATATATTTTATTAATCGTTGTATGCTTCTGCCTGATAACCGTTTCTGCAAATGGTCGTTAAAAAATTTAAGTAAAAAATTGGTACATTGAACTCGTGACTGAATTATTCTCTCCTACCTAATCTTTACAGGAAGGAAACTGGTTTTTTAATTTTTTTTATCTAAAATAATGACCTTTTAGTTCTGTGAATTAAAATGTGCCAAGACTTGAGAGATTTCAAAAGACTAACCCTTCAAAGAAAATGAAAAAAGAAATTAGTTATTTTATTTTATTATTATTTCTTTAACTAAATAAAAAATATCACAATTTGTCTTTTTTAATTTTTTCCTCGTCGGTGCAAATCATAAAATCATCGACCTTGTAACCTTAGATTTTTTAACAGGAGTTTAAAACTTTCGAAGAATGAGTGAATAGTTAGTAGAGAAGATTAAAAGAGTAAAGACAAAAAGGTAAGGGAACAAGGAGGGATATATTTAAGCAACATTTAATGGGGAGAGAGAGAGATAAAGAACGAAATTTCGTTTTTAGTTGTACATTAAAGACAAAACAAAAAGGTTTTTGAACCAAAGGATTTTTTTTCTCTTCACAGTTCACAGTAATATTTATGGGAATGGTGGACATGGAACCGACTGAGAGGATGGGCAAAGAATGTTGAATAATATTTATTTTAACATAGAGAAAAAATAATTGTAATAAAATTTGTTTTAAATTATTAAACAAAATGGAGATATATGTAAAAACTATTTAAGCCGTATTCTTAATTAAAATGAATGTTTTTTCATTTAAAGATATGATAATTTTTTAGTAATCGCACAGTCAGTTAGACCTGATGACAAAATCTACAAAATAGATTAGGTAATGGAGTTAACTACCGTCGTTAGATTGGAAAAAAAATTATCAAAGGAGGTGGACACGACTTGTACAAAGAAGAAAGTCGAGGAAACTGCTGACACAAATTTTGAACTCTTACGATTTGTTTGCTAGATTTAATGGGGAAAAAAAAACAGAATTATTTAATTTGTTTTTAACATTGATTTAATCAATAAAATATAATATTTTTTTAAATATTTAGTATAAATTTACTTCATGAGATAATTTAGGTAATAAATAAATAAAATAACACAACGTAATAAATTTAACTTATTGTCTCAATATACATTAATTATAAAACAAAATAAAATAAAATCCTATTCTATTGTTGTTATTACATTTTAATTAATTCTTGTTTCTTACTCTCTTTTTTCTATCTTATCCAACCTTCCAAACGAATCCTGAACACTTCGATAACCATGATTGCGTTTTCCATTCATGAATGTGAAGAAGAATTTGAGCTTTCACGATTGTTGCAACTCTATTTTTGGTTATAACGACAACTTCACCGTTGTTGCACCCCACCACCACGTGCTTTCGCCATGCGTCGATGCTACAGTTCTTGCGAACCACCGCTTGTAAAAATATCTCTGCTTCAACCGCTCTCAAGACCAGTCTTTTCCAACTAATTTTTTTTAGGTGCACTCAACTAAGTACTTTTCCAACCGACACTAAGAAGAACCTTTCGAAAAAAAAAAAATTGGAGATTTTTTAACAAAGTTTTTTCAATACACATCATCATGGGTTCATGATCCAACCACTATGCTACAACCACATCTCTATGACTATAAATTACCATTATCATCCACTAACTTCGCATCACTTTACTACATATTTGTTTGTTTGTTTTTTAATATATTAAAATAATAAATTTTTATTTTAGAAAATAATTATTATATATTTACTTTTGGATATAATAAATACTTATTTTTAAAATAAAAATCATCACTGTTAAATACTTAAAGGGAACTCTACAATTTGTTTTTAATTAATTTTCGTTAATATGCTAACCTCTGATAAGTTTAATCAATTCTGTAAAACACCAAATAAAAATGTTTAATCAAATTGAATGTGATATCCATGATCCGACCCACACGAAAACCCGTGCATCCTAATCGAGAAGAAACGGAGGACAAACGCAGCATTGATCTCTCAACCATGTTTCGTTTTCGATTATATGTTCCGACAAACACTTGTTATCGGTTAGCTGGTATTCTATTGAAAAACGTGAATTATAAATAACACATTTGATTATAAATAATTTTGCAATATACAACTGTTATACTCGCTGCATTAAATATAAGATACATTTAATATTTACATTATTTTTATTTCTGTCCATAAAAAAATAACTCTAGATCTCTCTTCAGTATAAAATTATAAAAATATGAATTAATAGTAACGTTCTATACGAAAATTATTTTGCCGAACATATACAAACTATACGACCATAGAAATTCACGTCACAGAAATTAAATAAATAATAATCACTGATATACATTTTTTTTTTCCTAGTAAAGAAACCATGCCACACAACGTTGTTGACAAATATAACGTTGACGAATGCTAATTAATGTATTAAGACACTTGTTAAAATTTTAGAATGAAAAATTATTAAATAAAAAAATACAATGTATACATTATAAATTTTAAAATATTAAATGTATTTTATGTTTCTAAAATAATAAATGCATATATTTTTATTTAATATTTCATAAAATAATACAAAAATTATGAAAATGTTAAATAAAAAATATATAAACAAACTCATATTCTAATCTTTCTAACAAGTGCCTAAATTACTTTATTAAAATTTGAAAACATTAAAAAAAAACGTAACACCTATAATAACAACTGCAGATAAAAACAGCATCGTATTCAAATATTATAATATTTTGTTATGGATTTCTACACCAAAAGGTCCAAAAGGAAAAAAGTACAGGCTTGGGCTTACCTTGAACGGGCACAACATGCAGCCTCAAACCACCTATTCTGAGATGTTGACGAAAAAAATAAAACTCGCATTCCAACAAACATTTTGCAGCCCATATCCCTTATTTTGTTTTTATTTTTTTTAACAATAATAACTAAAAAATACACAAGAGTAATTAATAAACAATACATTTAAAGCTCTTAAAGTTAAAAATTATTATAATTGATATCTCTGGTCTTTTTTCTTTATCTTTTTTTATCATACACGAGTTTTCCCATTTATTTTACAGCACAATACTATATATTCTCACTATTAACATAGATGATATCTCTTAATTTATTATAATATTAACTGAAATTGCGAACTGAGGTTAATCAATATAAATTAAAAATTGAGAAATATACTAAGTTTAACATTATGAAATCTCAAAAGGTACGGCGTAATGCTCTCAGAAAAAGTTAGGGCGCCATTTCGATAGTTGAGAAAATACATATTTTAATTTCTCAAATTATAAGTATTGATTATTTCAGTCATTTATTTTATAAAAATTATACTTTAATACTTAACTTTATATAAAATACATTTGTTTTGAACAAATTTTATGTATAATAAATGTTTTTTTTAATATTTAAGATTGAAGTGAAATTTTTATAAAATTAAAAACTAAATTAATCAATGCTTGTATTTTTATTTTTATTTTTTTAAAGATGAGTATTTACTATAGACAAGTTGATGTCAAAGTAAAACCCAAGCTCTCCTCTTGCACCATACATGTTTTTGTTCCTTCCCTGTAATAAGTTTATTGTGTTGGTAGAAAATTCTGCTTTACAAATTTAAAAATGAAAAAAACGTAGTTGACTGTTTTGACTTAAACTCTACATCAGCCTATTTTTGCATGGTGTGCCTAACGTGAAAAAAGACCAAGAAGAAGCTAATTTTGCATGGTCAGTTGAGGCTTTAGATCCCATAGACCCACTTAATTCGTTTCACGTGTGATTTGTATAAAAAATTAAACCAGCCTGTATTTTTTCAAGAAATAAATCTTAAACTAAAATTTAAGAGAAAAATAAGTTTTAAGTTAAAAAAAATTAAAACTTGTTAAATTAAATTTAATTGTTTTCAATTAATTTTGTCATGTTTATACAGTTTTTTTAATCTTTATTTGCTAGCACAACAAAGATATTTTATGGTTGAGTAGAGTCAAGTACATAAACAATACTACGTCACTGGATTTAGTAAAAATTAAAACTTTATGAATATCATTACCATAAAAACTTTTAAAAGATATTATAATTAGTAAAATTTGTAAAAGAAGTCATTTTATAAAAACTCGAGACATGAACAAACTTTTCAAATTACAATTCATAAATATTTTCATTATAATGGATACAGAAGTGTCGAAGTTCAAATTTTTAAAATATATCTATGTTAAGATTAATCTAAACCATGGTATTTTTTTGTTTATCTAAAGTCATGACATCTTTAAATCGACAGTATATTAAATTTAAAAATTCATATAAAATGAAATTTTTTTAAAGTAAAACTAATAAAAAAAATGTATAATATAAGATAAATCGTGCGATCAAATGAAAGGATAATAATTTTAAATTTATTCTTATTTAATATAATGCTTAAAGTTATTTTTGTTTAAGAATGGTGATTAAAATTTAGAACATATAAAAAAAGTACCTGTTAACAAACATATTATCATCATTATTTGTTTTAAAAGTTTATATTATTTATTCAAATAAATTTAAAACATCCGTTAGACAATGTATGGATAAATTTGATAAATTTAATAAATAATATAAAAAATTCATATATATTTAAATTAAATTATAGATGTTTAACAACTAACAATTCTGCAAATACTACACCAATTTAAATTCTCTTTAGTTTTGACTGAAATTAGACTTTTAATTTAATTTTTACTTAAACAAAAATGTAAAAAATAACAAAATTTTTTATGTAAAATTAATTTTTTTCAATTATCTTTTTTTCTTCTTCTTGTGCTTAACATTCGTTTTTCAACTTCCATATTCAACTCTATTTAGTCTATATATTTAACTTTATTTCTTTTTTCATACTCAAATTTTCTTTTCTTCTCACAACTTTCTGTTCCTTTTCTCTCATGCTCAATTCCTTTGTTTATTTTTCCACTCTTACCATATCCTATATTTATCTCTCTCTATTTCTTTACTATCTAATTTTCTATTTTCATCTCTTTCTACCACCATTCTTATATCATTTATTTTTTTTTATCTCTATCTATTATTAGTTTTCTCTTTCTTTTATATTTAGCTTTCATATACTCAAATATATAAAATTTGCTTTAAGTTAAAATAATTTGTTTAAATAAATTTATAAAGATTTATTTAAGTTAATTTTACATAAAATTTTTTATTTTTCATATATTTTTATTTAAATGAATCTATTTTTATTTAAGTAAAAATTAATCTGAATGTCAAGTTTCCACTGTAAATAGAAAGAATCCGAATCCAAAACCCCACCATTTATGTGAACATGAAAAAGATATAATTTATAGAAAAATAAAAATTGTGATATTGAAAAAACAAACACATGATCCAAAAATTTATGAAAAGCTTAAAGTGAGGCGCAGCACCGCAAGATAGATAAACAGCGTCCCTCAGTCCGTGTCAGAAACAAAAATCTAGCAAACTCTCCAAACAAATCCCATCCATCATTCTTATACGTTAACCCCACATCTCCAATCCACCATCCACGTCATCAATAAAACCCCATCGAAGCCGCGAGTGCATTCACTCCGCAAAAAGAGCGTGGAATCACAACTCAACTACTACCAACATAAACTAGCATATTTTCGGGTATATCTTCTTTTTTAAAATAATAAAAAAGAGATTCAATTCACCCTTGCGCCTTCGCCTCACTCTTGTTCGTTTCTTCTCTCTGTTGCGTTAGGGTCTTCGGATCGGTGGAACTTTACTGTGCCGGCGCGAATTCCGACGCTGTTTGTGGCGCCGAATTGCGATTGAGGCGACGACGATGAAGATTTTCGTGAAGACTCTCAAAGGCTCCCACTTCGAAATCGAAGTGGAGCCCCAAGACACGGTTTGCCCCTTCAAACTTCTTCTTTCAATTGGACTCCTTTCCGAATTTCCGTTTTCTCTCTGTTTCGTTAATCGCGTTCCTCTCTTTAATTGTCTGAGAAGTATTGCCCAGTCCGCAGGGCAATTGGCCTGAATTCGAGTGTTAATTAGGGTTTAATGTTTAACTCGTTTCATTTGAAAGTGACGACATTGATGTGAGTTATGGAGTGGAATATACTGTGGAACAAATGTACTGTGGTATTCTCGTCGGAACATTCTCTGGCCACGTATATGTTTTTTTAATAACTTTTATTTGCCGATTCATTGTTTGTGGGAACTAGTGGCAATTTGTTTGGCCTGATGCTCCTCTGGATTATAATTTTTAGTGGGAATATGTTTTCTAAAGTTTGGAATTATTTGCACATGATAGTGAATAAGTTCCACATTGACAGTGTCTAGAGCATTAGTTCATAGGAATATCAAACCAGTTTATGCTATATTAGGAAATTTAGGCCCAATTCACTCACAAAAGCTAGCTCCTATGAGGATTACTCTAGCCTTTATAAGCTCTTATTTAACCGTATACGGGACTTCCCCAAGCTGGATACTTACTAGTTCTAAATTCTGAATGTTATTTTCATATCCATGGAAATTTCAGTAAATGAGCATATCTGACTTTATATACTGCTACAATTGACACTAGCATCGATTACCATGTTATCACTGCACTGTCAGAATTGGTACTTGTCCCTACATCTCTGGGACTGCACTTTATATATGAGTAATGCGTGCTTTTTCTGTCTTTAAAGGTTGCATGTTTCTTTCAGCTGATTTCTACTAAATACTTTATGCACCAAATGTGGAATTTGATTTCTGCAAATGTGTCAATGCTTCTTCTTTTAATCATGTGGGTTTAGTGTTTCACTTCTACCATCTGATTTCCTGAACTATAATAATTAGTCTGTTGCATCAGTTGTAATGGCAAATTTTCTTTTCAGGTTTCTGCAGTGAAGAACAATATAGAAACTGTTCAGGGTGTAGATGTCTATCCTGCTGCACAGCAAATGCTTATTCATCAAGGGAAAGTTCTTAAAGATGCTAGTACGTTGGAAGAAAATAAAGTAGCTGAGAATAGTTTCATTGTAGTTATGCTATCAAAGGTAAATTTTTCTTTGTTTTTTGAAAATTACATTAGTTTTTGAAGTTAACAAAATATATTCCATTATTTTGTTGCATATGTAGTTGTTTAACCTTTATGAACTACTCTATTGCAATTATATTCATTTATTTTGTGCTCAATTAAAATTATGTGCTTAAAATGTGCTAGAGTAAGGGCACATCTGGTGAAGGATCTACTACTTCAACTGCACAATCAACCAAGGTGAGAACAGTTTGGTTTGTTATGAATATTGTTAATATTACGATCAGTTTGGCTTTTTTGGGACGTTGTATGACTCGAGCATAATCCTTCTTACTAGTTCTGTATATGTTATCTGACAATTGTGTATTCATTGCAGGCCCCACAGACAATTGCTGCTCCTACTTCAACCCCGCCAGTGTCAACAACGCCTCAGGCTCCTGCTGCAACTGGGGCACCGTGAGTGACTGATATTCTGTGCATTGTCTTGAATTATTTTTAAATTTTAGTTTCAACTATTTGACATGTATTGTATACTATCTCAACTTTGAAGCTTCATTGCATTTTGACAGGCCTGAATCTGTTACTGCAACTGCAACTGCACCTTCACCTTCACCAGCTCCTGCTCCCATATCTTCTGGGACTGCTGGGTAAATATTCTGTTTTTTACGTTGATTGAAATGTGGGGTTCAAAGTTCCTGTAATTTTTGTTTTCTTGAAGATGGAAAACTCTTCAAACTCTCTTGATTCTTCCTTTTAATTTTTGTTGTTAAAAGAAACTCTTTTTAGCAGGGAAGGGTCTGATGTCTATGGGCAAGCTGCATCCAATCTGGTTGCCGGAAGCAACTTGGAGGAAACAATTCAGCAAATTCTTGATATGGGTGGAGGGAGCTGGGATAGGGATACTGTTGTCCGTGCTCTTCGAGCTGCTTACAACAACCCTGAGAGAGCTGTTGAATATTTGTATACAGTATGTGGATTTTTAGATGTTATATTCCTTGCTTAATGACACTTATCTGCAATGTATTTCAGTTTTTTTTTTTTAATCAGTTTGGCATCATAGTTATTTTAGATCAGTGGTTTGAGTCTTCCATGAAAGCTTCTTGCTTTTTTATTGAAAAAACAATTATATAATTCATGAATGATTAAATGATAGGGCATCCCTGAGCAAGCTGAAGCTCCACTTGTTGCTCGAGTGCCTGCAAGTTCTCAACCTGCAAATCCTCCTGCTGCTGCTCCACAAACAGCGCAACCAGCTCCAGTTACCTCAAGTGGACCTAATGCTAATCCATTAGACCTTTTTCCCCAGGTAGCTATTACATTATTTGCCTATTGAAGAGAAAAGGATAATATTTTTATGATATACTTAACTTTGTGTAACAGGGCCTCCCCAATGTTGGTTCTGGTGCTGCTGGTGCTGGCTCATTAGATTTTCTACGCAACAGTCAACAAGTAATCTTTATCTTTCGTTGCATTTATGCTTAATTTCTTACTTCATAGGTGTGTTTTAACTATACTGTGAATTTTCTTCATTTGAATTTCAGTTCCAAGCCTTGCGAGCTATGGTACAGGCTAATCCACAAATTTTGCAGGTTTTCTTCCTTGCCTTAGTACTGTATCTTATATTTTCTTCTTCAGGGTTCCCTGATTTTTGTTCTTACCGCAGCCTATGCTACAAGAGCTTGGCAAACAAAATCCTCATCTTATGAGATTAATTCGAGATCATCAAGCTGACTTCCTTCGCCTTATAAATGAACCGGTGGAAGGTGGTGAAGGGTGAGTGATCATCTTTTGCTGCTTTTTGCAAGTGTTTGGTGTATGTGTGGACTCTGGAGTTGGGAGGGATCTTTTTATCCTTTTTACCTATCATCTTATGTTCATTAGCTTGTTTTTTGCTGTCTATATGCTTTAGGAACATATTAGGTCAGATGGCTTCTGGCATGCCACAAGCTGTAACTGTCACCCCCGAAGAGCGCCAAGCAATTGAGCGTGTAAGTTTGATCTGTTGGCTATATGAAGCGTTAAATGATTGATTTTTTCTTATCCAAGCCTATAGGGCAATTAAAACACCAGTTTCTGTTAAAACTACTTACATCTACCCGGTACCTTGGCCTTATTTTTCATGGTTTCTTGTTCGAATGCGATACATATGTTTTCGTCACGAATGATAGTTGTACAATCATCACACAATTGTTAACCAGTCTGCTTTAAGCATAATAAGTTCAAAATTGGCTTCTCTCCTGTTACATCATGGGTATTTTTTTTATAAAAATAATGTGTCAGCTATCTTCTTAAAAAATGTGTCTGACTTCCTGTGTGTGCGTGTATTACGTAAGAAATGTTGACTAGTATTTTGGACACAGACCCTTGGGGTTAGCATGTTAACTAGTTGCTCAGTAATTTGAAATTTCTTTGAATTGAGATGTTTGTTTTTTCTCCCAGCTTGAAGCAATGGGTTTCGATCGTGCAATTGTATTGGAGGTGTACTTCGCTTGTAACAAAAATGAGGAATTGGCTGCTAACTACCTTTTAGATCACATGCATGAGTTCGAGGAACAATAGAGATATCCTTTCCAATTTGCTAAATTATTTCTTGTTATCTTTTCTCTCGACGGGTCTTTGTTATACTCGATGTTTAATGAGGTAATGTTTGATAACGACAAATCTCAAGTGGACAAGGGATGTTTTAGTCTCCTGCATATTATTGCCCTTGTATTTATCATTTCCCCCTCGTCGAGGGTTTCTCAGGATTCATATACATAGTTGTTTGCCTTGTATTATTATTGGTTTATTGTGCATCTTTTTTAACGTGTAATTGTGCACGCTCTTTTATTCGCAAATCGATAGATGGCAAATTCACTTGTATGTTGTGTTTCGAATCATTAAAAGCATACGATGTTTAAAATCGAAATAAACTTAAAGTTAAATATCTTGTTCGGGATTTATTGTTAAAATGTGAGTTTGAAATTGTGTGAGATTATTTATGTTTTGAATTTGTCTAAAATCAAATTGTTCTTATTTTATCAAAATGCTTTTTTTAACTACTTATTTTAGAAGTATGACTTGGTTACTTATTTTTGAATCACGAAACATTGTCTTCAATTAAATTAAACATATATAAATATGTAATAGTACAATTGACATTTATTTATATTTTTTACAAGTATATTATATATTAAAATAAATTTATTTAGTAAAGTATTAAATTTTTTTTTTGCTAATAGTATAACATAATTATTGGAAGATGTAAAATTCACCTTCACAAAATAAAAATAAGAAAAATATTTATAATTTCTTTGTTAATATTTAATTCCAATTATTATTGTAAATAAACTGAGTTGCTTAATTTTAAATACTCTTTTTCATTTTTAACTATTATTATTTAAAAGTCATTATAAAGTCCCAAAAAATTCGAATTCATATCAGCATCTTTTTAAATTTGTTTAGAATTTTCTCATATAGTAACAATTTGATCCAAATATTATTCTTTCAGTACACTTTTATTTCATGCATTTAGTTACATTAAACTGAATTTGATAACTAAAAACAATTAAATTTGAAACTATACTAATTATATAACATAATTATATAATATTTTATATATTAAATAAAGTTTACGTTGTTTTATATCTAATATATGAAACTAGACAACTAGAAAAAATTTAATTTATGAATATTACATATTTTATTAAAAATATAGCAAATGAAAACTTGTATATAACGATAATTAGGATTTAGGAACAAACGATACATGTTTTTTTTGTGAACCGAAACAAACAATACATTAACATGGTTAATGGACAAGATTGGGCCCAAATAGAAACAAAATGGGCTTTCTGGGATCTGTTAAGCATGATAACGACATCACGTAATGGCGCGAACGTTGAACCGCAAAATCGTGGAGGTTATGAATACGAGCGATCGACGTTCGCACCGTTCGGTTCTCTCTCTGTCTTTTGAGCGAATCGATTCGACTTTGGAATCTTTGGCACAGCGCATCTGTAGGGAACCTTCCCAAACAATACAAAACCTATTCATCACCGCGTTCACACGCGCTTTGCCTATTCCAATCCTTTTTTTGACATTTCAACTTTTTTGAAATTCGGAGATTAAAGGAATCAAAACCAAATGTTTTGGCCATTTTGAAGGATGGTGAGTAGCGATACGGTGATGGACGAGCGCGGGGTTGAGTTTGCGACGGCGATGCCTCTTTCGGCCATAGCAGAGACGTTTGAGGAATTGGCCAAAAGAGTGAAAGGAAGAAAGAACGATGAAGAGCTTCGCTTGGATACCTTCTGCGAAGCAGCCACACTCGTTTCTGTTCTTTTCCGTTGTCTTGGCCTCGCTTTCAAATTCGCCGAATTGGAATACGTCGCCAAGGTTTCTTTTCTCCTTCTCCTTTTACAACAGATTTTAGCGTCCTTTCACGATTGTTGTTATGTTTCAATCGTTAATACTTAGATTGTAGAAAAATTACAGATAAATACAACCGCGGTTTAAAACATTTGTTTGATTATTATGATCATAGTCTTTATGATTTATTGATTCATTTCAGAGAATAAAATGAGAAGTTATATGATCATCGATTAAAAAATTAATTATTAAAATTATGTAATTATTTAAATATTAACTGTTGATTTTAAATTTATACTCATAATTTCTTATTTTATTCTCTCAAATAAATTCTTCAAAGGAGCTAAATCGCAAATTCCAGTGGCTGTGTAAAAACTGCTTATAAAATGATAACAAGCGATAAACATGTAACTTTTGTTTTGCTTGTGCACGTAAATCATGTTATCTTTGATTTAATTTTTTTAATTCTTTCCAATTTGAATTTATGACATCATGTTGAAGTTGATTCTGTATAAGCAATTGAGTAGTAAGCTACAGCTAATTGTTGGTCTGAGAAACTCCGTTAGACCAAAGCAACTTTTTTTTTTTTTTTACTTTGGGAGAACTACATTGCAACATTTGGGAAAGTGTCCAAAATAATGAGAACATTTCAATTAACATATGACTTTGGTGTGGTAGCCCTATACATACTAATTCCGGTTTGCTGTTGGGTGATCTCTGTGTACTTTCATACTAAAGTTAATGCCACCCAATTTATAAGGCTTTATAAATCGTATTCCAAAAGCTTCTATCCCTCGGCATACGCTGCTTTAATAGTTGAATTAGTGAGAAGTATAATGCGACAAAAGCACGGTTTTATTATGACATTTCGTTATGTTGGTTGTTTTATTCTTTCTTGTATCAGTACTTGTTGATAAATTTATCACACTAGATCTTCCTCATAGTTGTTTTCCTCTACCCAATTCTGGTCTAGTATTCATGGCGTCATGTTTGCTTTACTTCCAAAAGTTCTCTCTTTATACTTCTTATTTTCTGGGCTCTCATTTTGGATTTTTGAATCTTGTTCTAATGATATGAATATATGATGATTAATATGGTCAGCTACATGGACTACTGGAAGCATCAAAGACATGTAATACTCTGAAGGACATAGTTGACTTTGATGTTGCCAGTGACACGGTGAAAACATCAGGAAGCTTTTCACGTAATCTTCGTAGGGTTCGGCAGGGTCTTGATCTCGTTAGAGCTATATTCGAACAACTTTTATCAACTGAGTAAGAAACCTTTTTTTTTTTAATAACATCTCAAATATGATGCTGAGTTTTCCATGTGATATAAAAATAGCAAGAGAGTACCATTTTCTTGTTCTCTGTGTTTTAGCTGCATTGAAGCACTGCTTCAAATTCTATCGTCTACGTTCTTGTCAGACCTAATTAATTAACTTTAATGCCTGATGGATATTCTTGATATCTGATTTGTTATTTGGCATTTTCAGCGATAGTTCTCTGAAAGATATAGCTGCAACGGCTTATGGGCAGGTTTGTGCACCATTTCACACATGGTCAGTAAGAACAGCTGTTTATGCTGGGATGTATACACTTCCAACGAGAGACCAACTTCTGGTGAAGCTCAATGAAACAGGTGACTTATTGTTTTTTTATGTTGGTGGAGGAATTATTAGTGTGTAGAATGTAGATATGATTTTCTTGTACTAGTTCATCTTACACAGCAGATCTGAACTTATCAAAAATGATTTTGCAGAGCAATCAGCCGAGAAGAAGATGAGAAGGTACATTACTGCCTCACTTCCAATTATAGAATACATCGATAAACTGTACCTTTCTCAAAATATTGCGTTGGACTGGTGAAATCGAAGAAGAAGAAGAAGAAATTAAGGCCCGCTCTGTTTGTTAGAAGGCAGTGCTGCGGCTCCAATGATATCAGCAACCTTTAGTACACATGCTTCAATTTTAGTTGTACTATATAAGTTGTAATTATTTTAGTCTCTCAACGGCTGTGTTGGCCCTTAGGGAAGATGCACAAAAACAATCAAATAGATTTATACTAAATGGTAACAAAAGGCATGTGACATTTTCAGTTACAATGGTTTATAATTTTGTAATTCTGTATATATATATGCATATTTTGTTTTAAAAAAAATAGATAAAGTGATATTAAATCCTGTGAATGACACAAATAATGAAATGCGGATGCAAGGTGTTCACTGCATTATTACCGAATGTTAAGTTAGTTTCTTACCACTAAAATGATATCAATAAACTGGTTTTAGCGACAGGTTGAATTTGATATATCATTTTCTATTTCAGTATGCTCATCTATTGTTTGAAACATTAAGATTCTGAAAATACAAAGAACCAATATGTTTACAAAAAGAGTATTCAGTTCGTGTTCGGAATATGACGCTCTACTGCGATGCTGGACTTGTGTGTACATCGTCATGTAAATTACCCCCTCAAGTCAGCTTGGCAAATTACTGTTCCCACAATCTGCTTCACTCCTTTTCATTTTATGTTTTTTTTTTGTCCTCTCTTCCTCTTCTTATGGGTGTTTAAATCATTCAAACGGACATACTCTAAAGGGGGATTACTAAGAATCAATTCTTATACTGTGTAAAAAAAAATACTCCTGCAGTAAACCATTGTAATCAAATTTATTAGGCTAAACATACCAAATCTAGTATTTTTTTTTCTTTATTCCAATAAAATAAGTTTAAACGGTCTGATTAATTCCCCCTCCCCCCCTCCCACCTAAATCCCTTTATTTTGGGAATGGGCTTCAATGAAGAGGAAAAGAATAGACAAGAACACGCGAATGTCGTCAAAGCCAATTTATGCTAGATTTTTATTGCAAAGTCGCTCATTTTAAAGTGCTTATTGCTTACACGTTGATTCTCAACATAATTGCCGTATACAACATCCCTCACCGCCTTTCAAAGCGTTTCTCCCTGTCAAAAAACCTGGTCAATGGTCCTCGGGATGGATTCTGAAAAATAAAACAAACTGAAAGTGCAAAACAGAAACCCAAAATGTTCGGCAATGAGCCAAACAGCTTCTCAAGAAACAATGCCGACTAGTGATCCGCTGGTGGAGATAATTTTATGTCAACGTACAGAATGACTACAATGTTAGGCTTTCTGGATTTTCAATGATTTTTGAGAATGTCTGAAGGAAGGCCGCCAGGTCAGCCCCATATATTATTCGATGATCAGCTGTTACATTCACCTGAAAAAGAAAGTTTAGACCCAATTAATTCGAAACCCGAAGATATAAAAAAATATTATGATCCTATATGTAGTCCTAATTATAACCGACGAAAGTTATATATCTGAACGTGTATTTTCCTTGTGCTTCTTAAGCCAAAGAAATACACTAACCAAGAGTCGTATTCATCTCGCGTGTAATATGATGCATGCCAGAAGAAGACTAGACACATCAACTCTTATATTAATTGGGAAAATTTAACAATTAAAAATGTAACCCACATCAACTCTTCCTTGAAGAAGGATTTGATATTTTTACTTATACAAAAATGCTGGAGAAATTGGTGAAAATATCAAGCTAGCAAGCTGGATTTTGTGTTGCACCACAACCTCCACTCGAAGGGCATATCTGTTTACCAATAATGAGGAGAATGAAATTGTATTCAAAATGATAATTTGCTGACATCCGTAAGCTGTAATTTCTAGATTTGCATCCCCAATAGAGTCTACAAACTCATTTGCAGTAAATCAGGCTAAGATTTTTTTTGACGGGGGGAAGAAAAGATTACAGAGGGTGAGCCTTGACATGACAGTAAAGTTGCCACCACGATACTTGGCAGTCGTGGGTAAGAATCCAGGAAACAACCTCTCCACATGAGGGGTAAAGGCAGTGTACATTACCTTTCTTAGACCCTACTAGGTGAGAGCAATGTGCACTGGGGGACGATCCTTTTAACTACAGAGAAAACTTCATTTATTAAATGGGCTATTTAAAAAGGGTAAAAAATAGGTCTTCGATAGGGATGGGAAGGTCCATATTCACAATTCTAGTGGTTATAAACTTATTGGGATATTCTCTGCATGGATGAATATATTGGAGGTTGGAACTCCAACTTTGGTGACAAAGAAAGAGAAACAGTCCCTGTCAGGAATTGGGTTGAGGAAAACATAGCAGAAAGATGGCCAAAAAACTATAAACTCTGCCTATATAAGTAGACACATCTTAGCCACTAGGACTCAATCAAACTATCTAAAAGTTCCCGTCAGACCTAGCATGATCAAGAATCCAAGAACAAGAGTGAAAAGTCTAGATAACACTTTCTTCGCAGGTCAGAAAGAATAAAGTCTTTGAAAGCCCAAAAAAATTCAGATTTACTGGGTAAATGGTAGCAGCAAGCAGAAATTCAGAAATTAATTATAAAGATAAAATAAATAAAAAAACAATACGGTGAAGATTTGAGACAGACCCATTGAACGAAAAATATAACTTGAACCATAACACCATGCAGACATAATCTAAAATTTAAGCTTATATCCATCAGATTAACTCTTCAGAAAAATAAAGGCATGTAGCAGTATAACACTATGCAAATGCAATTGACCATTTATGCCTTCATATGATGATGAGTCTTATGCATTGCCAGAAGGCCCTATTTCCAGAAAAAAAAAATGTGTTCACCTGGGCCTTGTCTGTTGTTCTAAGCATAAGCCCATAAACACACAAAAGTAAATATAACAAGTAACTCACCAGCATTTTATTTTTCACACTGAAGAATCCATCTGCATTGGCCAGAACAGTAGGCTTCGATGCTCCAACGGCCATGATAGCCCCCTGGAAATAAATTGCAGAGTATAGAGCCCAAATAAAGAGTCCAAATTGCCATAAAAAGAACCACATCATCTCTCAAATCAGGACTTCAAAATCCAAGAGCTCATTACTAACCTGGCCAGGTGGAAGTATGGCATCAAACCTGTCAACTCCAAACATACCCAAATTGGAAAGCGTGAAAGTTCCTGTAAGGCGGCACAATCATATTTGGGTTAAAATACTCAAATCTCACAAATAAACAAATAGCTTACAATAATCATAAAGAAACCTGAATTGTACTCATGAGGTTGCAACTGCTTTGCACGAGCTTTCTCCACTAATTCCTTCCATTTTTGGGATAACAGATACAAGTCCAACTGCAAACAAACAAACAACAAAACAAGCAATCAACCAAACCAGAACAATTTGGATACATTATTGAGAACCAAAACCAGAGATTCACAGACCTTATCCGCATCCTGGAGAACTGGGGTGATCAAGCCACCATTGATTGCCACAGCAACAGCAACATTGATGTTACTGTTATAAGCAAAGTTTTTGCCATCTTTGCAGGTAGCATTGACAACAGGGTGCTGAACAAGTGCCATTGCAGCAGCCTTAGCCAAAATAGCCGTCATAGTCACACCCTTCGGTTTCACCTGATAAACATAACACCAAATACCCTCATGACTCATTTCAATCTTACCATTATCACAAATTCACAAAAACCAAAAAGAATCCTCACAATCATATTCAATTATTCATACCCTTTCATACAGAGCATCCAACGCATCAGTAGTCACAGGGTACCCAACACGGAACGTAGGCACAGAGAGACTCTCCACCATGTTCTTCGCCACCGCAGATTGCATTGTAGTAAACGCAACAACACTGGAACCAGGAATCGGAGTCGGAGCAGAAGAACCTCCAGAACCAGAAGCAGGTTTTGGTGGAGCTGGCGTCGCCTGAGGAGGGGCCACATTACTCGACGGCATGATTCCGGCTGCGGCTTCTACGTCCGCCGGAGTAATCCGACCAAACGGACCGGTTCCGACGACCGTTGCAATGTCAACCTTGTGCTGCTTCGCGAGCTTCTTGGCCTGAGGCGTGGCCACGGTCTTGCTCGATGCATCGGAAACCGGTTTTGCCGGTGGAGGAGACGGCGGAGGAAGATTAGGGCTCTTCGGCGGCGGAGAGGGACCGGACTTGGCGGCTTTGGCTTTGGCTTCGGCGACTTCTTCGGGAGTTTCGGCGAGTAAGCCGATGGGAGCTCCGACGGGGGCGGTTTGGCCTTCGGATACGACGATGGCGGCGAGGATGCCGTCGTAGAAGGTTTCGACGTCCATGTCCGCTTTGTCGGATTCGACGACGACGACGCTGTCTCCTTTGGAGAGAGTGTCGCCCTCAGATTTGATCCATGAGACGATTTTGCCCTCCGTCATGGTGGAGCTGAGTGCGGGCATGAAGATTTCTCGGATCTTAGATTGCACCGGTAAGGGAGGGACTCGCCGGCGGGTACATGCGGGGTAACGACGGCGAGGGAGGAGAGTGGTTGTGATGTTTTTGGAAAAAGAATATGAGAATGAAAGTGTGGCGGAATTGGAGAGAAGATGAGAAGCCATACTTGTATTCAAACAACTGAAAATAAAAAAAAATGAGAATGAGAGTGTTGAGATTTGAAAGTTTAAGGAATCGGAAAGTGCAGAGAAAGCAAATGGCGGATACAACGAGGGAGAGAGTATTAGAGTAAGAGAAATGGACCTGCTTCACCCTCACACTCTCATGTTACTTCCTCCCAATACAATTTTCCTTTTATTTAAATTTCTTATTTCACCTGTATTTTAGTTTTTCTTTTAATTCGTATAAATTATTTTAAGTCTAAGACAAATTTTAGGTATAATGTTTTATATTTGTTTATATTGTTCTTTAAAAAATATTCTGCTTTTAACGTTAATTTCGTTGTAAATATTAGTGAAGTGAAATTTTAATTTTGAATAAAGAATAATATGAAGAATGTCTAAATTAATTGACTTGAATTTGTGTTTAATTTTATTCATTTCATTATCTAGAGAGTTTAATGAAGAGTACGCCTGTTTATACTGTATCTTTTTTAGTTTGATTTAAAATATCATTCTTATTTGAGTATTTTTAGTCAAAATTATAATAATTTAAAGGATTTTATTTCTGGTCAATAATAATTTAAAGGATGACAGCGCAAACTAGTCTCTGTAAAAAATGCTAGATGTCTACACGTTTTTTGGAATAAAATTTGTTGTTGTTGTTCTTTTTTTTTTTTCTTGAACTAAAGTTTTTATCGTTACATTGTTGTGAAGAACTGAATTTTTTAATACGTTGAGGCGTTCTGAAGAATAGGAAGGGAATGAGTGGGCCGAGCTTTACGGAAAGGCAAAGGTCAATCGCAATATGGGCCGACTTGGGTCGAAGTTGACTTCCACACGGTATAGGTAATTTATTCATTTTGCATCCTGTTTGTCGTTTTTCAATTACACTGCCCCACTCTTGTCGTACATTTCTTTCTGCACTCACTTTACATGTACCTCCGCTTGTAAATACAATCTTAGTCAGCAAAACTATAAGATCTAAATCAATTTTTTAGTTTATAAACAAACATTAGCATATAATGATTGAATTGGAAGAGCAGATCATCTAAATCGAGTTTTTGAGATGCTAAGCATAAATGCATCATATTTACTCAAGTAATAAAAAATAAGATTTGTGTTATTCATTCGTTGATCTCATCGTTTGCCTTTTGTCATGTTGAAAGTAGAATACTAGAATGCCCTAAAATGTATTGGCATAATCACCTAATCTTTCTTTAATTCTCGTAATAGAAGTTGTAACAAAAGTTGTACTTTATTCTTATATTCATTTCTGTTATCTTATTTTATCTCTTCCTATTTTATTGTATCTATTCTCTCGATGTAACTCTATATATACATTGTAATCTGTCATATTAAATATCAATCAAAAACATTATTTTATATTCTCTATATAGTATCAGATTTGTCTTAGGCTCACTGCCATCTCGATCCTCTCAATAATCGTCTCTGACTCTCCTGCAACTTCTCTTATTGAACTCACGACAGTCGCCACTCTACCCATCAAACTGAATTCCGGTAACCACCATACCTGGCACACTCAGATCATTCATCTCCTCAAGGCTCATGATCTGCACGGTTACGTCACCGGCGATACCCCGTGCCCTCCTGCAACTCTTGGCACAGGCACCGCTGCCATAACCAATCTCATTTACTCGCATTGGAGACGTTAGGACCATTACGTCTTTCTTGCTCTCCTAGCGTCATGTGGCTCTGATGCGCAAATCGTCATGACCTCTGCTGAGTCCTCCGCTGCTGCATGGACTCGACTAAACAAACACTATGCGAATCGCTCTCGCACTCGCGTCATGTCTCTCAAGGAGCGTCTCGCCTCTATCTCTAAGGGAACTTCTAGTGTCAGTGACTACCTTCGTTCCCTTCGCGTCATTGTCGATGAATTCGTTCTTATTGGTCATCCTGTAGATGATCTCGACATTGTGATTGCGACCCTCAATGGGCTAGGCCCTGCCTTCCGTGAGTTTACTGCTTCCATTCGCACTCGTGACTCCCCTCTGTCATTTGATGAGCTCCACGAAAAGCTTGTTGACTATGAGCTATTTCTCCAGTGTGATGAACGCCAACATCAATCACTCCTCGTCACTGTTAATATCGCTACACGTTCTTTTCGCGGATCTGGTCGCGGTTGCGGACGTGGCACTCAGTCACGTGGCTCCAACCCTTCTTCTCCTAGCAATGCATCATCCAACACGCGTCGCCCTGTTCCAGTGTGCCAATACTGTGATTGCCGGGGTCACACAGCCAAGACCTGTTATTGTCTCCATGGTTTCCCTGCTGATCACCCACGACATCAGGCAAACACCTCTGCAGTTACCGAAGGTGTGGATTCAGATCCCTCATGGCTTCTTGACACTGGTGCTTCTCATCATGTAACTCAGGACCTCAATTAGCTCTTGCTCTCCTCTGCCTACAATAGTTCTGATCAACTTGTTGTGGCAAATGGTAAGGGACTTCCTATATGGCACTGTGGTTCTACTAGTATTCCCACAGCGTCAACCCCATTACATCTTTCAAATGTTCTCTATGTTCCTGCTGTTAGTCAAAATATTCTTTCAGTTTTTACATTGTGTCGCACTAACTCTGTCTCTGTTGAATTTTTTTCATGGCATTTTGAGATCAAGTGTCTCAGCATGGGGGCAGTTCTGCTGCGTGGAAGGACTGCTGACCAGCTGTACAAGTTGCGATCCCACCGCCCTTCACCTTATGTCTCTCATGTTCAACGTCAGCCTCCTGTCAATGTCTGACATCATCATCTCGGTCACCCTCATCGTCAAGTTCTCCAACACATCCTTAGCAATAAAATTTCTGTTTCCTCCTCTTTTAAGTGTCATGATTGTTTAGCTAATAAGAGTCACAAACTACCATTTTTTGTGTCCACGTTGTCCAGCAATAAGCCTTTGGAAATAATTTACTCTGATGTATGGGGACCTGTGTCGTGCTTTTCAATAAATGGTTGTTTATATTATGTTCTCTTTATTGATCATTTCACTAAATATGTCTAACTCTATCCGATTAAGTTAAAATCTGATGTCTCTACTGTCTTTCCTATTTTTAAAAATCTTGTTGAGAATCAGTTAAATTGTAAAATCAAAACCCTATACAGTGATAATGGCGGTGAGTTTATTAAGTTGCGTCCTTAACTTCAACAACACGGCATAACTCACTTAACCACCCCACCATATACGCCTGAACATAATGGTCTCTTTGAACGAAAACATCGCCACCTTGTTGAAACTGCTTGTTGTCTTCTTCATCATGCTTATGTTCCTCTTTGGTTTTGGTCTCATGCACTTCCTACCGCCGCCTACCTTATAAATCGCATGCCCACCGCTGGTCTCGCCATGAAATCTCCCTTTGAAATTTTGTTTCACCGTTCACCCAACTACTCTAAACTACTTGTCTTTGGTTGTCTGTGTTATCCTTGGTTAGCACCCTATTCCACTAATAAACTCCAATCTAAGTCTAAACCTTGTGTTTTCCTTGGCTATAGCCTTACTTAGAGTGTGTATCTTTGTTTTCATTCCGAGTCTGGCATGTTATACACTTCCTGTCATATGACCTTTGTGAAGGACATATTTTCCTTCTCCACTCTCTCTGTCGATTCCTCACTGTCATACCCTCAATCAACTCTCCCGTGTCTTTCGCAGCCCCTAGCTCTTGTCCTTCCCCTACCACCCCCTATTCCACCCTCGCTAAGTCTCACCAGCATCTCAAGTCCCGATCCCTTGGTTGTTTTTGAGTCATCCTCCCTTCCTATGGATCGTAACTTAACCAGCTTGTCATCAGACTTGCCTCGTGATGCACTCGCTCCCTTGGATGTTATTGCGCCATTATCCTCTCATCCCATGGTCACCCAGTCCAAGAATAGAATTTTCAAGCCTAAGCAAGCATTTGTCATAACCAAGTTCCCTCTTCTTGCGCTCGCGGAGCCCTCTTACTTCACCCAAGCTATGCGACACCCGGAATGGAAGGCTGCCATGTCTGACGAGTTCAATGCCCTTCTTGCCAATGGCACATGGACTCTCGTTCCACTGCGAGATCACTTCAATGTCATCGGTAACAAATGGGTTTTTCGCCTTAAACGCAACACCGATGAATCCATTGCTCGGTATAAGGCACGTCTCGTTGCAAAGGGATTTCATTAACGCCCTGGGATCGATTATAATGACACATTCAGTCCTGTTATCAAGCCACAAACTATCAAATTAGTACTATGTGTTGCTATCTCCAAGTGTTGGTCTATCACTCACATGGACGTTAATAATGCGTTCCTACATGGTAAAATTGATGAGAATATTTACATGTCTCAGCCATCAGGTTTTGTTCATCCCTAATATCCTGGACATGTTTGTAAGTTACAGAAAGCATTGTACGGGTTGAAACAGGCGTCGCGGGCTTGGTACCACACACTCAAAGCCTTCCTTCTACGCTACGGGTTCACAAATGCCAAGTCTGACACATCACTCTTTGTTTACGGCCGTGGTACGATCCTCACTTATTTCCTTGTTTATGTTGATGACTTATTACTCACAGGCAATGATCCACGATTCTTGGCAACCTTCAAAATGGCGCTTGCGCATCAATTCTCTCTTAAGGAACTTGGCTTCCCGTCACATTTTCTTGGCATTGAATTGGTTCCCACTATAGCTGGCCTCTTTCTTACTCAGCATCATTATGCACGCAGCTTATTGCACAAGGCGAACATACATGATGCCAAACCGGTGTCCACTCTGCTCTCCACATCATGCAATCTTGTTGTCCAGGGTGATGCCGCCACTTGTGATCGCCGCGCTTATCGTCAGATTGTTGGGTCTCTTCAGTACTTATCTCTCACCCGTCCGAACCTTTCCTTTGCCATCAATAAGCTCGCTCAATATATGCAAGCTCCCACTGATCTCCATATGCAAGCTGCGAAACGGGTTCTTCGCTATTTAAAAGGTACGCTTGATTATGGCCTCCATCTTTGTCGTTCCTCTGATATCTGTCTTTTTGCCTTTTGTGACTCTGATTGGGCTGGTGACTTAGCTAATATGAAGTCTACTGGGGCTTATCTTGTCTATTATGGACCAAATGCGATTGCATGGAAATGCAAGAAGCAGCCCACCGTTGCGAAGTTGTCAACGGAAGCTGAATATCGTATAATTGCTTCTACGGCGACTGAGCTTCTCTGGCTGCGCGAACTGTTCAAAAAGCTTCATCTTCCTGTTGCAGCCCCACCGGTTATTCATTCTAATAATATTGGCGCCACATACCTTTATGCTAATCCCGTGTTTCACTCTCGCATGAAACATCTCGCCATTGACTATCATTTATACGAGATTTGGTTTCGAGAAAATCACTTGGCGTATCGCATGTTCTTTCGGTTCATCAGTTGGCTGACTTACTAACGAAGCCTCTCGATTCGGCTCGACACTCCTTACTCATGTCTAAGATTGGTGTTGTCTCCTCCTCCACCATCTTACGGGGGCGTATTGGCATAATCACCTAGTCTTCTCTTAATTCTCGTAATAGAAGTTGTAACAGAAGCTGTACTTTTTTTTTTATCTTCATTTCTATTATCTTGTTTTATGTTTTTCTATTTTATTGTATTTATTCTCGCTGATATAACTCTATATATACATTGTAATCTGTCATATTAAATATCAATCAAAAACATTATTTTATATTCTCTATAAAATGGACCCCAGGCACTGCTGCAGCCAACCTACCGTGGTGAATCCAATGCTTGTAATCTTTTGGATAATAGTAACTGTGATGGTTTAAATAATATATACCCCCTTCCCCCTTCAGTCACCGCTCACCACCTTCACTCTTCCATATATGTTCAATACGCGTTTTTATTATATAAGTGCTGTAAAATGTTTTATGATTTTACCTTTTCTTTTCTTTTTATGTGATATTGAGTTTAATACTAAAGTACTAAGCGTGTCTAAAATTAAAAAACGGTAATCGTAAATCCCATTGCAAATTATAATTAATAACATTTATTTAAAATAAATGTAAATTTACTTATATCCTGACATTTTATTGCTATAAGTGTATGTTTAAAAATACATTAAAATTTTAAAAATAAAAAAAATAAAAAATCAACACAAAAATTATAACTAATAATATTAAAGTAAACATGAATTTATAGTTGTTTAAACATAGGTTTAACTTGCATTAGTTTTGCTTGAATGCAAATTCAAGTCAACACACCACGGGATAACTCATTGAATACGAAATGTGTATAAAGGAAAAACTACTAGGAAAATATGGATAGGCTAAATTTATTAAAGTTTAAATAATAATTAAAAATTAGAATGAGTTTAAATTTGATTTAGTTAGATATGTTTGGAAGAAAACTTTTAGAATAGAAAAAAGAAAATAATATAATTTTTAATTGTAAATTAAGAAAATTATATATCATTTATAATAATAAATACATTATTAATATATTAATTTTATGTTAATATATATTTTTATTTAAAAAATATTATTTTTAAATACATTTAATTAAAATATTTATTCTTATTTTTTTATTTTTAAAATAATTCTTGGACTCAAACGATATTGTCTTTATAAAATGATTCAGTTGTTAAGACAAATGCTAACAATACATTTTTTTAACATATTTTTTATTATTAATTAACATTAAAAAAATTACTTAGATTTGTTAACTTTGAAATTCATATTTTTTTATATTTTTATAATATTTAGTAAATTTTAAATAATAATAAAATGTATATTAGAAAATTTACGTGGAAAGTATGAAAAGTTAGCTAAGCCGAGCATAAATGCATAATTAAGTACTTGGACACAAGTGCTACGGTCATAGGCAGTTCGGGCATCGCTATTCTTCAGCCCATTGGCGTGCCGAACCTGATTGTGTAGACTATCGAAAGTAGAATACAACATTGTCAATGCATGCTTCCCCTGATGGAGCCAATTGCTTGACTTTAGTTGTAATCGAGGACCTACGGTAGTGGATCCTATGCTTGTAATCTTTCGGATAATAATAACTATGAGGAGTAAATAATAAGTTCTCAACATCTACGCAGCCTTCACTCACTCATCTGCTTAAGCCAGCCAAGTCACGTACTCACAGTCGTTGAACCACCCACTACAACTTGGACATACATATCCTCAGCTTGGCTCGCTTAATTTCTTGAAGCTGTACCAACCAAGCGCCCCCATAAGCACTATTAACATAGTTGAACCATTCAATTAATTTAAGTTCCTGGTTTAGTAAGCAACTTGAAAGAATAATTCATATGTAGAAAAAAACAACCAAGCATTATGTCAGTATATATGTGGGTCCCCCTCCAATACATTAGTGAAAGAATAATCTCCGTTAACATAGGCTAGCTAAAACCCTTTTTTCACTTTTTATGCTATTTTATCATAATTGCTCCATTTTGTGCCCACTAATAGCAGAAGCTACGAGCATCCCAAGTGATGAAATTAATCTCTCAGCGTAGAAAGTGCTTTTCATAGATCATTTTCTGGTGCACGATGGGTTATTAAACCTACATAGGCTATGTTGGAGACGGGTACACTGCTAAACCTAAACAGTGGCATGGCTTTTGAAGATGGTTCTGAAAAGGAGCTACAGAAAGTTGGTCTAAAATTCTCAAAGAGTTTTCCTCTTTCTGGGTCTACCCTGGCATCTATGGAGTCTTTGTCCCTGCCACCGGTATGGAAAATATATGGACCTCTAACCCTATTTTTGGTTATGAATTTCTATATAATAATATGATGGTTTGCTTGTTTTGGTGACAACAGGTTCAGGAGGTTGTTCTTTCTGCAGATATGCAGTGTGAGAAGTGCCGGAAGAGGGTTGCTCATATTATTACTAAAATGAATGGTGAGTAAGCTTGTTTGTTACATTACCAATACCTGCATGAAGGAGATTTGTGAGTGGGGATAAGTGTGTTTCACAAGATGATTGATTGCGAAATTGTTGATTGGTTTTGGGCGCTGTGGAAAAATCTTTTCTTACAAGCACCGTACCCTCCTGTTTGTTTCTCAATAAGGGGTTAGAGAAGAAAGAGAGAGGAAAAACATAATGAATGTCCCTTAATTGTTTTTGTTCCCACTTTAGAATAGGTAGCATGTGTTTTGGTTGCAAGTCCGGGGAACAGGGGACACTCTTAATTTATAACTATGACTATTGTTACTTCTTTTTTTTATTTGTTTATTTCTTAAAACGGTTTTATTAACTTTGGCATTTAAAATAAGTATGCAAATATAATAAATTTTTATTTAAAACCATAAAGTATAATGATTTTTTAATAAAAATTACGGAGTATTATATATTTAATCTCAATTCGTAGAGCTAACTTATTTTTTAAACTTATTTATATGTCTACTTAAAAGTAGAAGCCAATATTCATTATTGTGATTATTATTAATTATATTTTTATCTTTACTTAATTCTTATATATTTAACATAATTATGATAAACGAAATAGATATAATAGTGATGAAATTCACATTAGAAAGTTGATAACATGTATAAATGAAGATATTAATTATATTTATTGTTTTGTCTGTTATTATCTTAAATGGATAAATAAAGAGGGGTGGGGGGTATTTTATTTACTTTGTATTGGACCACCCTCCGATAAATCTTGTATCAGTTTTTTTTGTTGAAACTTTCTTTACCACCTTTGCATTCTCGTAATTTTTTATTTCCAAACTTACCTTCTAGTCAAACAGAAATCACCTGAAAAACTATGTTTGTTCATGACATTTTAGCAGTGCACTTGTTTTATTACAAAAAGGATGTTATTCAAGTATCATTTTTATTTTTTTCCATTGTTTTCTCTTACGATAATAAAACAAGAGAAATTCACCCCTAAATTAAGTATTACGGAAAATGCTGTGGAAGAATAATTTTTTTTTACGATAGCTTCACGGTGGTTTGGTTGTTTGTATCATTAGAAAATGATAACTCACTTTTTATGCGTTAATAGAACCAATTTACCTGTGCATATTTCACATTTTTTATTTGAAAAAATCAGTAATGCTTTTAGTTTAATAATCTTGAGATGCAATTGTAATGGTATTATGTGGTTAGCTCTCATACATGCCCACTTGTTTTGATTCTTCAGCAGAGACAGAGTCCGTGGTGGTGAATGTGTTGGAAAAAAAGGTGGTGCTTACTTTTAGATTACCAACTATTGGTAAAGTAATTTCACAGCAAATTGCTCCCGTCAACAGGACTCCTCTCCCTAAAGGTGCTATTATCAAGCGAATCTTTCGCTCTTCCCGTAATTAACTAAGACGGAGAAAGGATCCACATGTGCATAAGATTCGGCGAATTGATTTGACAATGTACAGCAGAAAGTTTATTGTATTCATGATTGAATTTGTTTTGTAATTGCTTTCCTAATTTGGCATATTGGGCATGGGCATTCCCAAAGACTGACAAGGGATTTTATTGAATTGTGTATTTGAGGGATGCTTATTTTAAATAGTTAAACGAAATTAAAATGTGTGTTCAATAAATTTTATATCAAAATGTGTTGCGCAATAAGAGGAATTTATTCTGACATCAGCACCAAATCAAAATATTTGTCCACTGTAGAAAGTAAGCACCTTTCTCCTAAGGCAGCTTTATCAAAATAATATGCTTCAGTTTTTCAGTGTTGCTTTAGGTAATGGCAATGCAAATCGTGGACATCAAGAGATGCTTCCCTCTGTAATGATGTGGAATTTTTATTTAAATAAACTTTCGTTTAAGAAAACGCACTCACTCCTGCATTCTTTACCCTCCTTAGCGAGACATACATGAATAAAAGTGTCGTTTTAATTAATAACATAATAAAAAAATTATTCGTGTAATATTAAGCATTATTAATTATAGTTTAATTTTAAAATAATCATTATAAAAAATAAGTTTTTAATAATGTGATAATCTATATAATTGAGTGATAACATAGTTTTTGTTTATACTGTTAATAAATTTAAATTAAATTTATTAATTATTTTTATAATTCCTTTTATGAATTTGTCTTTTGGGCGTATGTATTATCGTATTTACCTGACTGGGATCAGTCGAATCTATGATGCCGTAACCGCCTAATCGTCAACTTAGGCGCAAACGATTAGTAGTAAAAAACACGCTCTTTCGATTTTTTGGAAGATAATTTAAAAATGTTTTATATACGGGCACGCATGAAAGGCACGTGCGATCATAGTCAGTTGTAGGTCACGTTCGTGAATCTGATCCAATACGGAACCTGCGCGCGTGCTACAGCCATTCACTCTTCTTTCATATTAGCTTCATATTCAAGCAGAAAACCTACAAACCCTAACCCTAACCCTAATTCCCTTATCCGATCATGGCCACCAATGCCTGTGACTCTCGTCGCAAGCATCACCGATCATCCTCTCCGGAGGAAATGGAGAAATCCTCGAAGCGACACAAGCACCGCCACCATAGTCACCGCCACCGCCACGGAAGCAAAAAACGCGAGGCAGAGATTGAATACGATGAAGGAACGGTTGCTGCGGTTCCGTCTCCAACTCCCCCTCCTAATCTTCGTCCGCACAGCCATCTCCCTGACGACGATGTGGAGGAGGGAGAAATCCTCGAAGATGAGGCTTTTGACGGCGAAGTTGGAAAAAAGCAGACGGAATCTGATGTCGAACCGGGTGAAATCAAGGTGACAGGAGATCGAGATGCTCGATCTGATAATCGAATTTGTTTGTTTGTTCTTTCTTAATTTTGTGTATTGCTTCATGTGACATCTGTTTGGTTGCTGAGAAAGCAGAGGCCATTGGAATGAATTTCAAAGAATTTTTTGCTTTCGTAATTGTGTTGTTTTGGTTGCGATTTTTTTTAATTTGTGTCGCAGTATTAGGTATTTCAGTGTATCTCACTTCATCTCGGTGACCAAACAGAGCACTGTGATTCTTTGTTTTCGGACAGTATAATGATTTTTTTATTCATGAGAGCTTGGTATAGTACCCTGTCAGTGTCTCATAGATATGTAAGAACCTGGTTGCACTACACGAACATGAGTGAGTTGCAAAAGAAGTCTCTCTAGGCGTTTCAGTGAAGACTGGTGGCTTACAGTTAATTTGTAAGAGCTGGTTATGTGTTTTGTAAATTTATTTTTGCCCATGGACTGATTTAAATGCATTCTTTAGTTTATTTAGCTTAAACTTCCGCATTTTAATTTTCAACATTTGCACTCAATTTCTTCTTGTGCTGGGCAGGAACGCTTTACTAAAAAAAATTCAGAAGCTAGAGATAAGGACATTAGCAGTGATGATGGTTCTCCTAACCATGGTGCCAGGCCTAAAGATGGAAAGAATGCTCGAGCTAGTACTGATGGTGTGGGCAATGGTTATTTGGATCCTAGATCTTCCAAAGGGGATAAGTGGCAGAATGGGGAACTTGGACATTTTAAAGGAAATAAGAAACTAAAAGGTGACTTTGATGACAAAACACTGGAGGCTAATTCAAGAACAGTATGTTACCAGAGGAACTCATCCTCGGAAAGTGGAGGAGAAAAATATAGAATGTTAGGAAATTCTCCTTCTCATGATAGATATAGAAGTCGATCAAGATCAACTGGTCATACTAGGGACAGATCTCGTTCTCGTAGTATCGTAGAAGAGTATGCTCATTCCAAGAGAAAGCACTCTGGGGATCAAGGGTCCCTTTATTATACTGGAAGACATAAGACTGATTATGACCACGATGAGGAAAAAGTGAGGGCACATGGAAGAGAGCATGGTCATGGCAATATAGATTTGGTGGTAGATGATAGAAGGGACTACAGTACCAGATATCTCAGTCGGGAGGCCCGGGATAGGGATAGGAGTAGGGAGTCTAGGGACAGAGATGTGGATAGAGACTTATACAGAGAAAGGAGACAAGAGGAAACAAGCAGGGGTAAGGAGATTGAGTGGGAGCGCAAAAGAGTAAAAGAAAGTGATAGGAGCCATGAGAGGTATAGAAGGGATGTAGAAAATGATAGGAGCAGGGAAAGGGAGGATGATCGGGACAGGAGACGAGAAAAGGAAAGGGAGATGGTATTTGAGAGGGATAGGAGAAGGGAGAAGGAAAGAGATAGAAGTAGGGACAGAACAAGGGGTAGCGAGAGAGATAGAGACCTGGAGAATGAAAGGGTTGGTAAGAATCGGGGAAGGGATAACATTAAGGAGAGGGAAAGGCGAGATGATAGATATAAGTACAAGGATAGAGACACTTCAAATGGTAAGGATAGGCATCTACGTCATGAGGATGGTAATGAGAACGGAGATAAATATAGAAAACATTCAAGACATGAAGAAAATGAATACCATCGGGAAAGAAAAAGAAATTCTGATAATCCTCCAAAGTTTTATAATTCAATGGGAAGTACTATGGAAGAGGATGCAAGCAAACTAACAAGGTATTTTTATTACCTAATAGCACTTACCTTTAAGTTCCTTCTTTTGTTCCCTTTTTAAATTCTTTCCAGTGTACTCTTTATATTTTATTTGATTTTGAGGTATATTGATTGCAGCAGTGAGGTTGAACCGGATGACCTAGAGGAAGATACATTGCACTTACCTGAGCAAGAAGAAGAAGATCTCAACAGGATCAAAGAAGAGAGTAGAAGAAGAAGGGAAGCAATAATGGAGAAATACAAGAAGCAGCATCAGCAAGTAGAACAAGAGGTTGGAAATGAAGGAAAAGGTATTATTTGCCCCCTTTTATTTTGACTGATAGTACTAGTTAAAATGACTTTTGGTTACAAGTTAAAATTCATTGTCTTGTCTTTATCTCTAGCCTACTCGTCACCATTTTGATTTTCAAATCATTACTTTATATCTTTGGTCTAATTCAATGTCACCTTTTTTGTTTGTTTTTTAAAAACACAGAACTACTCTATGAACTGAATATTTGGAATGTAACATTTTTTGACCCCATAAGTATGCATGAACCAAGGGATGTAAATCTGACATTATTATTACCATTATTATGACAAGAATCAAATTATTGTAAGAGTAACTTTGGCAAGAGTTACTTTGTTTAATAACTCTTTATAAATATTGAATTTCATCAATCCAATCATTGAATAATGTGATAAGTTCATGCTGATTATGCATATCAAGTTTTACGTAAATTAAACTTTCATAGATATATAATTTTATAATCAATTTTTACTTATATTTTAAAAAAGTATATTTATATTTTAAAATAAAGTTGTTCAATGAATTGTTAATTAGTTTTTAATTTGTATGATTTTTTGTAGACTTAATCTATTTAAGAACTTTTAATTTAATGGTTAGATTGGTAAAATTCAATGTTTATAAAGAGTTAGTAAGCATACAAACTCTTGTCGGAGTTACTCTTGGAGTAATTTGATCTCTGCCCTTATTATTATGATTTTTTTATTGAATTCTAAAATTTTAAAAATTGGAAATCTTATGAAATTATGGATATGTTAAGGTGTTAATCATTGTTTCATTCTCTGCTATTATCCTCCTGTTGGGACTACTTTTAGTAACTTTGTAATGCACTGTTATTAGACAAGGATACAGGCATTCCTACAAACATTTCTGAAGCACGTGATGGTAAGAAGGGTGTTGATTATGAGGAGCCATCATTTGCTGTTGGGAAATCTCCTGAAAATGTGAACGTTGCTTCTAAGAAGATATCTGGGGCTGGAGGCCTGGGAGAGGGTACTCCAAAGGTTTGCCCCTAATTGCTTTTAAATTTGTGAAGTAAATATTACTAAATTAGATGAATTTTTCATATTTATATCTATTTAATTATGAACTCATTTATTATACTTACAGAGTGAGAGGTCTGATGACAAGTTTTGTGATGATATATTTGGTGAGACACCTACAGGAGTTCGGAAATCAGTAAGTGTTTGGTTAAACTATTCTAACTTTGAATAGCGGCAGCTGTGTGTGTCCCCTTAATTCTATAAGATTCTGACTTTGTAGTATGTTATGATATGATATCGTATTTGATTATGGATGAATCTAAAACTTCCTGGATGGTAATCTAGAAAGCTATCTTATGCATCCTTATCTGACATAACCAAATTTATTACATTTATTTACCTCTCTTATTACTTCAACATTTTTTTAAGCTTAACTTGCACTGTTAAACCAGTCTTTTTTTTTTAATGGTATATTATTATTAAGATTTCCAACCTTCTTTTCAGGGAAAAGGAGATGGTTTACTGATTGAGAGGGTTGACCTACATGACAATTGGGATGACGCAGAAGGGTATTACAGTAAGTATCTTTAGTTATCTCTAAGGCATTTTGAGTAGATCTGCTGATTAAACTTGTAAAAGTGTTAAATATGATGTCAAAAATCTCAGGGAGCTATCACATTTCTGTTGGAATTATTGGTCAACTATTATATGCAATATCTCTGGATATATGTGTTTCCCTGTTCATTGTGTTATGTTGTGACATTGTTATGCAGGCTATCGTTTTGGTGAAATACTTGATGGCCGATATGAAGTCACTGCTGCACACGGAAGGGGTGTCTTTTCAACAGTTGTTCGGGCAAAGAACCTTAAGATAGGAAATGGCGAGCCAGAAGAAGTGGCAATAAAAATTATTCGTAATAATGACACCATGTGAGTGATCTTTATCTCCTGGGAATCCTCAGTAAACTATTTTTTGCTTTTGGGCTGTGTTTTTGACTCAATGTTATATGTTTATGTGGCATAGGTACAAGGCTGGTATGGATGAATTGGTCATATTAAAGAAATTAGTAGGTGCAGATCCAGATGATAAGCGTCATTGTGTTCGTTTCCTTTCAAGTTTTAGATACAGGAATCATCTTTGTTTAGTTTTTGAATCTCTTAATATGAATCTGCGTGAAGTTTTAAAGAAGTTTGGTCGCAATATTGGCCTTAGGCTAACAGCTGTGAGAGCATATGCAAAACAGCTTTTTATTGCACTGAAGCATCTCCGGAACTGTGGTGTTCTTCATTGTGATATAAAGCCAGATAATATGTTGGTATGCCTAAGATACTCTCTATGGTTAGATTATTTCTTTTCATAGTTTGTTTATTTCAAGAAGAAATATCTATTAACTAACTTTTCTTCTTCTTCAATTTCCATTTTTGACAAGGTAAATGAGGCCAAAAATGTTTTGAAGCTTTGTGACTTTGGTAATGCCATGTTTGCTGGTAAAAATGAAGTTACACCATATCTTGTGAGTCGTTTTTATCGTGCCCCTGAAATAAGTAAGTTCCATTCATTGTACTTATGATTTCATCATTCCAACCTCCATTTTTCTTGGTGAATATTTTATGGTTGCCAACCGTTTGGGCTTTTGAATCTTTCTATGCAGTACTTGGCTTGCCGTATGATCATCCATTGGATATTTGGTCTGTAGGCTGTTGTTTGTATGAATTGCATACAGGGAAGGTTCTTTTCCCTGGACTTACAAACAATGACATGCTCCGGCTTCAGATGGAATTGAAGGGCCCTTTTCCGAAGAAGATGCTACGTAAGGTAAACATTATTGAGTATGAATTGTTGGTGTTTAGTCACTGTTTGAGTGTTGAGTATAAATTATTTTAGTGCTTTTGTATTTATCGTGTCTTTCCATTTTTGGCTGTACCTTCAATGGAATTTGAGTTGCGAATGAATATGATGCATTTTTAATGAAATCTAGTTATTTTTTACTATCTTCCTTGCAGGGAGCATTTACTGAACAGCATTTTGATCAGGACCTAAATTTTCTTGCGACTGAGGAGGATCCTGTAACCAAAAAGGTGAGCTAGAATTTAGATTGTATTTCAAGGAATTCAGTTGCCAATGTTTGATTAAATGGATTTTTTTAGAGTTTGAAATGACGGTGGTAATATTTTTCTAGACCATAAAGCGGCTGATTCTCAACATTAAGCCAAAAGATATTGGGACACTCATCACTGGCTCGCCTGGGGAGGATCCAAAAATGTTATCCAACTTTAAAGATCTTCTGGAAAAAGTTTTTGTCTTGGATCCAGACAAGAGGCTGACAGTGTCACAAGCTCTGAACCACCCATTCATCACTGGCAAGTGAACAATGTTGCTGAATTTGACTCCCGAAATGATATACACTGATATTTGTACATAATGATCCAATTAATATTGAGGTTCTAATCATTTGGCACTATTTATCTTCTGTGTATGGCCCAAGGAGTGTCATCACAGTTGTCAGCCTGTTGAAGTGAAAAAGGGTGATGTCTCTACAGGCGTACACTTTACTGGCGGTTCTTTCAGTGGAATGTACTGTTTCTATTGTAAGACAACTTGCCAATGGCAGTTTCCTTTAGTGTAGCTGTATTTGTACTTCAAACATTGCTCTTCCAATTAAATTCTTGGAAAATTTTATGAGAAGTTTAATTTTGTATTACTTTGCAGAAGAGAGACTAGTTTATTCTTTATTCTTTTTTCTATTTTATATTTCTGGTTCTAATTGTATGTAATTTTTGTTGTGCTTGGTTATACCTGCGTAGATTATATTCTTATCCTCACTTTTCATTATTTAAACCATTTCATTTAACTTCCTTGAATTCTGGAGATTCTAATTTAATTTCTCATTCAGGAGACATATCACTGCTTTGAGGCAGCCCTTCCATGCTTAGATGCTTAAAAGGAACCCAGGAGAAGGTACCTTGGTTTGTTTATTGGGAGATTAATTTCACTGTGCTAGAATAACTGCCACGTTTGAGTAGGATTTTGTTAAGATGAGCCTGAATGGTCTTTTTTCAGTCATCAGGATAACCAATGGTTGTTGGTGCTGTTTGAGCACATGTAAGCACAGTAATTGTTTTGTTTATTAGTGAGGTACATGAGTTTAGGGGCAGTGGTTAGTGTCAAAACCGCATCCTCATCCAGATACAGGTGCCACTAGGCCAAATGTCCAATTGCTACTGCCTTTGCAATAGTTCAGTATAAGTGGTAGAATTTCAAGTGCTGCCTTTTCTGCTTCTTTCAGTTATGACTCCAGTTAGGCATGTAGATATCTCATTTCTTGGATTGTACTTGAACATCTCTTTGTATTTGATGTCTAGTATTCTTTTGTTAGCATTTATTTTCTTAAATTTACCTATATGCATATCCTAATGACGTTGTATTGCGTCTTATCCATGGCGGCTCATTCTGGAGGCAATTCCACTGGACATCTTTGGCTGTATTCTTGAAGTGAATTAATATCACGGTAAGCTTGCTGTATGGATTAGAGGAAATGCTGCTTTTATTTGCAAAATTTTTATGGTTCTAATTCCTTTTTCATTTTTTCAATTCTTCTAGGTTCTGTGTCTTGCTCCTGCAATTTTTGTAAGTATATTCATGTCCAATTCCTTTCTCATCTTTGTCAGTATTTATGGCATTGATGTCCCTTGGCATACAGTTTCTAATATGGTCATTCCTAGTTCTTAATTTTGTTTTGAAATTAAATAAATATCAAGTTTACAATTGCATTAAAATTTTCCTGCTGTGTTTCTGTTGTGATTTAGGTGGTGTGTAGGACAGCTTTCTCATTATAGGGTTTTGTGCCTTTGTTTTTTCGTCTTATTTATAAGCATGGTTTTTGTGGCTATGCTCCAGTTTTGTGTTGTCCTAGACACTTGACATTGTTTTCTGTACCATATCCTTGTACTTTTAGTAAATGGAATGGAGTTGTATTTTTTAGTAAAATTCATTTCTTGAGGTGTGCAATACACACTTGGATACTCACTCTCCCCTTAAATTTGGATGAAGGCGAGAAAATAAAATAGCTTTAAAATTTTGTATAAAATACTCATTGGCCATTACTTATGATAGCATATTATGACATTTGATTTATATAGATGATCTCACTCAGTTAAAAAAAGACTTTGCTTAGAGGGAAAAAAACTTGAGTAGTTGTCCTTGTTATAGCCATAATTTACAAATTTTGGAGTCCTATTTTTTGGATAAATCATGTATCTTTGCGAAACAATAACTATCTCAAGTATTTTCTTATTAAAAAAGTAGATATGCACATTGGTTGTCCAACTTGTGATGGACAACTTTCGAAATGGGATTATCCTTTTGTGTGGGTAGTTTCTACCTTACATTATCTAGAAAACTCTGTTTTGCTTGATATGTGTCACTGTTTGATAACCTGATCTCTTCATATACCTCTTTCTGTCGTGTAGTGTTGTGTGACTTGAATGGTAATTTTCCACAGGGAAGTAAAGCATTTTTCTGTAGTGTACTTAGAAGAATGTCGATTTTATACTGTATTTAATTTGAAGTGTTTATGTTTCATTAATATGAATTCAGAGAGTGCCAATTTTACTGGTTAAATCGCCATTCCATACTATTCTCATGATTATATGGTGCAATCTTGCAGTACTCCCACTTGCATGGTAGATGTAGTTTTCTACTTTTCTATTGCATGGTAGGTGACAGGTCCTGATGCACCAAAAGTATGGGGTTAATATAGATAGTGCAAAACTCTAATTGCAGTGGTAAAAACAGCAGGAAAGATTGGAAATATAAAGGAACCATGATTGCTTCTCTGCTCCAAGGCCTAGGCCTCCTTCGTTTCCATCACTGAATTTTGTCCCCGCTGGCCCAGCACTCCAGCCCCACCCATCATATTCTCTCCTATCTTATCGTTTCCCACTCCCCTTTCACCTATTCCCTGTTGCCATGCATCAAAACCACCTTAAAAACCACACATATCCGGAGCTTATGTTCGGAATATACATTTAACTGCAAATATTCATATGGTGGACATGGTAAAGAGAAATCACTGACTAAAGTAATATGGGGTGTGACTTTACCGAACCATTTTAAAAGGAAAGTAGTGCTGAATTGTCCCAAGTTGATATTTCTACCCCTTATAATGAATTTATCACGTAATATCAATTTTATATTTTCAAACATCTCAAAATATTTTGTTGATGGGGTCACTTGGTGACTTAAAAAGGCTAGGAATTATTTTGATCGTTCTTTATAGAGGGGGTAATTCATAAAGAGCCCATACCTCAAGTTAAGAAATATTTATATTTTAAGCAACGTTAGCAACACCCTTTTTTAAGTGAGACTATTATTAAGTAATATTTATGTGGGACCTGTTAAATAAGGAATAAGACTCGTTAAATAAGAAATTATGTCTATATTTAGTGGATCTTATATAAATTTTACGTAATAGTAACTAATGTATGGGAGAATGTGTTTTAGCATTTCTCTTCTAGTTTTTGTTGACTAGGAATGTTAGGCTGAATTTTATTTCGGATTTTTTTTTCAATAATGAGACAAAGGTGCGAAGTCCTCGGGTAGGACAGTAAGCCTAATCTGAATTATGTTTATGAACCGCACAGCTGAGCTGTGTGACAGTGAATGGTAAACTTCCCTCTGAGAAACAACCTCAACCTTGGGTTGCTAAACGTTGTAGCTCTGTTGCCCTCAATCCTCAACAAAGCCCATGTCCACTTGTCTCTGATTCCCCACTCTGTTCAGACTTCCCGAATGACTCTGTCATGGCACATTGGCACTTTACCAAAAACTGATGTCAGCCAGGTAGGTACCCAAACCAGATAATGTAACTCTTGTATCTATAATACTAAGGTTTGACCAGTTGAAAACAAGCAATTGGGTCAATATATGGATAATGGAAATTCAATATGGGGTCTGAGGATAAATGATGAGGAATCACTGTATTGCACTGATGGAGTTCGTCATCTCATAAAGCGGAGGATAGAATATGATTCAGGAAATCAAGGGGCAGACACCCAGCATTATTCATAAAACATGAGTGTTGCGGAATGCCGCGGTGTCTTGATAAATGATATATGGTTAGCAGTGGCGAGGCATTATAGGTTGGAGTAACAGGAGATCGTGGATATGCTGTATTATGTTGTTGTGATAATTAGTGCTGGTTGTGGAAATTTAATTTGCGTATCATGTTTTGCTTATTTATGAAGCACATGAGCCATTTTACTCTGTTGAATGCTCTGTGCCTTCCTTTTGTGTGGTTTCTTGGGAAGTAGGATGTGTGATCACCTGGTTAGCACACTTGTCAATAATAGTAAAGTTAGTATTTTTTTTTTAATATCAGAAATAGTGGTGTTAGTTGAATCCCTGAAACCCCACCTCCGTTCTCTTTCGCATGGACTACGCTTCTAGATAAAAATGGGTAATTGATATTATGGAGATGATGGATATTGGATCTTCAAGGGAAAAAAATTAATCCTGTGTACAGATTTTTGTATGACCTTGCTCATTAGAAGTATTCGTGTAAAGTTTGTCATGTGTAAAATTTACGGAGATAATTGTATGTAAAGTTTCCTATCGACGGCCTGGAATGGCTCAATATGTGTCGTTACTCGGTAGTTTAAAGTGAAACCGACTGGCAAAATGGGATGACTCGTTTTGACCCTCTAGAAAAGGGTCAAGTCAATCCGCCTCATTTTGAAATAAAAGTTGGATCAAAGTTACCTAACTTGCTTCAGAGGGGATTGGTAGATTGACCTCCCTGAAAAGTAAGAAAATGAAAAATTCATTAATTGAAATCATAAATTAGTTATCATAAGCATAAACACAGGTCATTTACATTTTATTTGTCTCGTGTGTACAGCATACTCATTTACATTTACATTTTAATTGTCTTGCGTTCAATCATTAGTTAAAGACAAATAATTATTCTTATGTTCCAAATGTCTCATTCCCCACCGTTATCATTTTCTGCATAAACTATATTAGATATGGATGGCTCCACTCTTGATTCATCGTTGACATTTTTATCTAAAATCATAAATAAGAAAAATAGCCTAGTGATTTGAATTCAAAGTAATACAATAATTTATTTAAATTAATAAAATTATCATCAACAACAAAACCATACAACCTATTGTTAGTAAAATCAAGGCTTGACATTCTTCAATAAAGATTGACTTCTATACCTATTAAGGATAAATGTTGACTCAGATGCCATAATGGCCATGAAAATGAAGTTATGGATCATTACTGATAAATTTGAAAAGTAATTATGAGCATGTCTCAACCATTGTAATACATTTAAATTTTCATAAATTTTAAAATTATATTTGTTTCATCTAAATAAATATCAAGCTGGGACTTCAGTTTTAGTTTTGAGTTATTGATTGTGCATTTTTAATTTATATTATTCTTGACAGCAGAAACACATGGAAATTTAATACTTGATTAAGTAAGTAAATAGGAGATTATTAAGAAATTTATTAAGAAAAATGTAATGTTGAGAAAACAAATTTTATTCGTAACTAATAGAAAATAAAGACATGTTAAATAGAAAATAAAAATATATTAAAATTAATTTATAGTTTTTTTTGCCTCACATATGTTCGATACTTTTTTTGACGCAATATAATTAATAACATCGTTTGATGCATCTAAGTATTTTAATAGGATATTTTTTTACATCCCTTAACTTTTATACACAAACAGCGTTAAGAGGTGAATGAGGAGGGTATGAAGGTGTAGTATAGTTGCTCTTTTATCGTATATAAAATAATTCAGGTAGAAATAATACCCCAATGCTATAAAGAAGAAAGCGAAGAAAAAAAGTAAAGAATACTTCTAAAATTAATTTATTTTTTATTCTTATAAATTATCCTAATTATAATTTTTAAATATATTTGATTAAATTTTTGGTTCCTAAAAAATATTTTTTTATTTGATTCCTTATTTGTATTTTTTCAAATGAGTCCCTCATAACATATATTATTTGTTACAGAATGATTCTTTCTATTTATTTTTTTATCTACTCTAAATATCACAAAATTTATATTTAGTACCTCGTTTTAGGAGGACTGAATGAATAATTTACAATATTTATGAAGACTAAATAAAAAAATATACGTTTTTTAAGGGATAAAAAATTTACTTAAATTTTTTTAAACTAATCTATAAAAAATAAAAAATTATTAAAATACATATAAGAGAGATTATAAAAGCTTAATGCAAGACTTTGAACAAATTTAGATAAAGAAAACAGTTTTGTTTAAGCCAATGGTGGCCTACGTGTATTTGTTGACAATGCAGGATTACATGTTGGCATGGCCAATCATTACATAAATTTTACACAACCTCGTCCACGGGTGGCTTGGCTTGACCAAAGTATCCTTGGAAAAGACCTACTTGGACATGTCTGCTTCTTAAGCAAGTAAAATTAAACTAAATTAAAATATTAATCGCCTCACCAACTACAACTACACGTTTTGACTTCAAAAAATGGTTCATTCACCTATCACATTCATCTTTCTTCCTACCTTGGTTTGAAAAAATACTTTAACATAGCCCATGGATTCATCACAAACCATGCGGCACCTACCACTTCACCACTAATATATAAACTCATTAATTCCCTCCTCCAACCCACTCATCCATTAAATCCTAGCTAGCTTTTCTTCCCTCACAAAAATATGGGTCTTCAAAGCAAATCACTTTTTTTCATTCTTACTACAGTATTACTCATTTCAATCACAAAACTCTTACATTCTTATTTTTCTTTACCTTTTTCTCCATTCTATCTTTCTATTGCTGTTGCCACCATCATCACATACTTGTTTTCCTCAACCTCTTCTAAAAAGCACACAACCACTCTCCCTCCAGGCCCTCTCTGTGTGCCTATATTTGGTAACTGGTTACAAGTTGGCAATGACTTAAATCACCGTCTTCTAGCTTCAATGTCACAAAACTATGGACCCGTGTTCCTACTCAAACTTGGTTCCAAAAACTTGGTGGTTGTCTCAGACCCAGAACTTGCCACCCAAGTCCTCCACTCACAAGGTGTAGAATTCGGTTCTCGCCCACGAAACGTTGTGTTTGATATCTTCACAGGAAATGGCCAAGACATGGTCTTCACGGTTTATGGTGATCACTGGCGCAAAATGAGAAGAATAATGACACTGCCATTTTTCACAAACAAGGTTGTACACAACTATAGTAACATGTGGGAAGAAGAGATGGAGTTGGTTGTGCGTGACCTCAATGCCAATGAGAGAGTGAGAAGTGAAGGGATAGTTATCAGAAAGCGTCTTCAGCTGATGCTGTATAACATCATGTATAGAATGATGTTTGATGCCAAGTTTGAGTCTCAAGAAGACCCTTTGTTCATTCAGGCCACGCGCTTTAACTCTGAGAGAAGCCGTTTGGCTCAGAGTTTTGAATACAATTACGGAGACTTTATTCCTTTGCTAAGGCCATTTTTGAGGGGCTACCTCAACAAGTGTAAGGACTTGCAATCTAGGAGGTTGGCATTCTTCAACAACTACTACGTTGAGAAAAGAAGGTACATAATATTAATTAGCTTCAACTTTTTTTATATATAATAATTGCCGTCCAAAAATACCATTATCCATCATATTTAATCTTAACATGATTCAAATGGACACAATTTGCTTAACGTATTATAGTTATAATTAGTATTCAATTAATTTTTAATAATTATTATTAGAGTAAATTATCGAGATAAAAATAACAGTGACAGGAATGAAGTATCATTTTATAATAAGAATATATACTAATAGTACTTATAACACTATCAAAATTTTGTGTGATTACATATTATCATCTGTCAAATTAATCTTTAACATTTGAGAGATGGGAACTAATTTGATTGAAAATAATGCATATTTTCATAAACTTTTGAAGCATACTTTTTATTATTTGTACCATGGTCGGTGATATATCTTTCATAGACTGACTTAATTTTTTATTCTGTATGATATGCGTAGTTCCTTTTAATTTCTATTTATAATGTAAAGTTTTAATTTGTTGGTATGTTGATCTACAGAAAAATAATGGCCGCCGATGGGGAGAAGCACAAGATAACCTGTGCAATTGATCACATCATAGATGCTCAGATGAAGGGAGAAATAAGTGAAGAGAATGTAATATACATCGTAGAGAACATAAATGTTGCAGCAATAGAGACAACATTATGGTCCATGGAGTGGGCAATAGCAGAATTGGTGAATCATCCAACAGTGCAAAGCAAGATTCGTGATGAGATATCAAAAGTTCTTAAAGGGGAGGCAGTTACAGAATCCAACCTAAACCAGCTACCATACTTACAAGCCACAGTGAAAGAGACACTAAGACTACACACCCCAATACCTCTATTGGTGCCTCACATGAACCTTGAAGAAGCAAAACTAGGAGGTTATAAAATTCCAAAAGAGTCTAAGGTGGTAGTGAATGCATGGTGGCTTGCTAACAACCCATCATGGTGGAAAAACCCACATGAGTTTAGGCCTGAAAGGTTCTTGGAAGAGGAAAGTGCAACAGATGCTGTGGCTGGAGGCAAGGTTGATTTTAGGTTCGTGCCATTTGGTGTGGGTAGGAGGAGTTGCCCCGGGATCATTCTTGCATTACCAATATTGGGACTTGTCATTGCTAAGTTGGTGTCAAATTTTCATATGAGTCCTCCAAATGGGACAAAGATTGATGTGAGTGAAAAAGGAGGGCAATTTAGCTTGCACATTGCTAACCACTCTACTGTGTTGTTCCATCCAATTAGGACATGATGATTAATTTGGGTCATAACAAGCACTTGGCTCATGAAGTAGTCTTAGTCTCTGTGCTTTCCTAGATGAATTTCTTTCTCTCTTTCAATTAAAATTTGTGTGTAATGTTTCTCCTTAAAACAAATTTATTGTTTCTCTTTGTTTATTTGTAATGTTTTTTTTTTAATCCTACAATTTATATATACACTTTTATGATTAATCGTATTTCTTTGTTTTTTCCTATCAAATTTTACTTATTATATCTCCATTGTTTTCTTTTTGTTTCCTATCAAATGTGTTGTAAGATTTTATTGTGTGCATAGAATTTTTCAAAAGAAAAATACAGAAAGTAATCTAGTTGTACATTATCATGCCTTTAAAAAGGAGCAAATAATTGAGTGCATGCTATATTTAAAATTGAGTAAAATTAATCTTAATGAGTTATTAAATATTATTAAAATATGTTCTCTTTATTTTAAAAATATGAAATTTGTTTTTGTTTTAAAACAACTAACGCCCTGTGCAGAATGGCTATTGTATTTGTACGGTAAATGCTTTGTTTGTACTTTGTACGGTAGATGCTTTTTTGTCTGTACGCACGCCAAAGCTACTAATATAAACTCAGCAAAAATAAGTATCTACACACCTAGAGAGATAAAGAAATAAAAGGAAAAAAATTGTGATAAATAATATAATGTGATAGAAAAAATAAAATAAAGAAACAAGATTAACATATATATCTTCATTATTTAAGTATTTATGAATCATAACTAATTTTTATAATGTGAGAGAGATATTGAAATAAAATAACAAGAAATACACGATAGATAACGTGATAAAAAGAGATAAAAGAATAGATTATAAAAATGTACTACACTATATCATTATTTATGCCAAAAAGGAGATATTACGTTTTCTTTTGTTTGCTTAAATAAATGCATAAAAATTTAAATAAAGGATTTTTTTTTTCTTTTTGTGATCCTTTTAAGTTTTTTTTATCAAATTTATTTTTAATTAATTTTTTCCTTAAAATGTAGAGATTAAATAAAGTGAATTTTACTTATCATTCAAACAAAGTCCTTTTCAAGTACAGTTAAAAATAGATTTTGACCGACATATTTTTATCTCTATGCTATATTCTATTGGAAAGTCTTTAATCAATTGAGTTAAACAAGTATTTTATCATTAATAGTCTAGAATAGAAAAAGATTGAAAATGAGATTTATATAAAACATAATTAGATAAAAATAAAACAAGTTCTTATCTTATTTTATAATTAATGTTTAGTGAAAGAACAAATCAAATACATTATATTATTTTAATATATTTATTTTTTACACAAAATTTATACGATTATTTTTTTAAAATACAATAGAATAATAAAATAATAAGATAAAAATTAATTAAATAAATTAAAAGTTATCCTATTTATTAAAAGGTGGCTAAAAGTGTAACACTTGACTACATGCTAGTGACATCCGATAAAGCGCATGGTATGTAAACAATGGATTGTTTGAAGACAGTTTCAAATTTTAGTTTCCCAAAAATAACAATAACTGAACAAAGGTGTCATTTGGCGGGTTGGTGTGTGTGCTCTCTTCCTTCATTCTCTCCTTCGACTCTGTTTCCAATCTCATTATCATAACAACATAACGCAATCATAGACAACAACAATGGCAGCCAGAGTGGGCTCTTTCAGACACAGTTTCTTAGAGAAGAGCAGAGAGAGGCTCCTGTCTAAGAATCAATACCCAGAATTCGCCATCGACGACAATGTCGAACCCAATCGTTCCTTGCTCGACGCGCTTTCTGATCGCGTCATTGCCTTCCGCAATGGATGGAAAGACTTTGCCACCGAACTGTACGAGATGGGTCGCTCTGATCGACGCAAAGTTGTTTTCGCCATGAAAGCTGGCTTATCATTGGCTATTGTCTCGCTTGTCATTTATATTAAGGAAGAACAGCTTAGCAAGTACTCTATCTGGGCAATCCTCACTGTTGTCGTCGTTTTCGAATTCAGCATAGGTATTCTCTCATAACATGTCTGGTTCGGTCATCTTTTTGGTTGAAAAATAATAGCTTATAGAAATTACAAGAAATAGAATGTTAAAAAAAAAACTTCAAACATACATGTACCAGGAGGCTCTTTTGAATAATTTATTAAAAATACTATGAAGATAACTAATGATCATCATAATTTTTTTAGTTTAATAAATTTTATGATTAAATTTTTCGTGTGATAAGTGCACGTTGGATAAGTAGTTAGTTAAGCTGATTAAGTTTTTAAGACTTTTGTTATTTAGTCTTTAATTTATGTATTGCTTGATGAAAAAGTTCACTTTTTGGTTACGTTGGTGTAGGTGCAACGCTTAACAAAGGTTTCAATCGTGCTTTGGGAACAGTATCTGCTGGTGTGCTTGCTCTGGGTATTGCACAGTTTTCCGTGTTGGTTGGTGCTGTTGGTGGAGCTTTTGAGGAACTTGTTATTGTGGTCTTTATTTTTATTGCTGGTTGGACACTTCATTTCTTTCTAGTTTTGATGAAAATAATAGATTGCAATTGCAACTTTGTGATTGGTTATGATTGTGTAGTTGTGGGATGCAGGGTTTTGTGCAAGCTATGTGAAGCTGTTCCCTGCGATGAAGCAATATGAATATGGCTTTCGTGTATTCTTGTTGACATTTTGTATTGTATTGGTATCTGGGAGACACGGATTACAGTTTCTCACCACAGCTTTTTACAGATTGTTTCTTATTGGTGTTGGTGCTGGTGTAAGTTTGTTTGTGAATATTTGCATTTGCCCCATCTGGTCTGGAGAGGATCTACACAAATTGGTGGTGAAAAATTTCAATGGAGTTGCTGCATCTTTAGAAGGTTTGGTCAATTTACCTCAACATGAAAAAAAATGATGTTAAAAGTAGTGCCGAATTAAATATTATAGAAACTTATTTAAAGTTTATTTAGTTTATTCTTGCTGCTGACTTGCTAGGTTGGTTCCTGTGGCACTTCTTTGTTTAGGTTGTGTAAATGGGTACCTGCAATGCGTTGAATATGAGAGGGTTCCATCCAAAATACTTGTTTACCAAGCCTCTGATGACCCTCTTTATCGTGGTTATAGAACAGCAGTGCAATCTTCATCCCAAGAGGACACTCTGGTATTTGCTTTTCACACTTGTGTTTCCTTTTCCTCCCTTCTTCTAAGACTTAAAAAACTAGTGTCTACATTTTACAAGTAGTTTTGCTCTTGCAGGTGGATTTTGCCTTATGGGAGCCACCTCATGGTCCATACAAGATGTTCAATTATCCTTGGAGAAGCTACGTTACATTAAGTGGAGCATTGAGGCACTGTGCTTTCATGGTCATGGCAATGCATGGATGTATACTCTCCGAAATCCAGGTGAAGGGAAACTTTGCTTCTGTCATACCAGCTTATTCAGTTTATTGTAATTTTTGTTACTGTTCTACGTTACCTTGTTCGTTCGCTTAATTTATCCCGTTTCCTTTCACCAACATATAAGATTATATAACCTCCCCTTCCATGAAATCATTGCTCATTAGTTTCTATAGTTCTATTGCATTAACATATGTCAATGAGTTGTTACAGTATTACAAATCTGAATGTATTAGATTATTTATCTTACTAAATAATAATAATAATAATAGAGAATAAAATATAAATAAGATTAAGCTTAACTTAAATATTATATTAAAAAATTAAGTTTTATCTCATTTTAAAAGTTAACTCATAAGAAAAGGATTATCTAAATCTTATAAGAAGAATTTTGATTATACTACTAATTCATATTGGAAATTTTAATATGTATAAAGGTCAATAATAAATTACTTGAATGTTAATCTTTTTTAACAAGACTAATGATTTTAAAGTTTTTTTTAATACTATTTTCAGTTATATTTATAAGAAATAAATACTTAATTTATTAAAAAAATTATATATCATAAATATATATTTTTATTTTAAAAATTTTAATAATATTAATAGTGAAATTGATGTGTTATATATTAAATGAATAAATTTATTTTTTATGGATAAAAAGTGAGTACTTCTATAATGTAAATCGTACAATAAAGAATTGAATAAAAAATATTTAACAATTAATGCATCTATAAAAATATTATTAATTATTTTTTATTAATAATATCAGAAGTAATAATAACTAGGGTGTTATATTAAGGTAATGCTCTAATTGTAGTACTGGCTAATTTATGTGTTATTCATGCGGCAGGCGCCTCCTGAAAAGAGGCTAGCTTTCTATGAAGAACTTCAGAAGGTTGGTGTTGAAGGAGCAAAAGTATTGCGTCAACTTGGTAGCAAACTAGAAAAAATGGAAAAGCTAAGCACTGGTGACATTCTCTTAAATGCTCATGAAGCAGCTGAGCAATTGCAGATGAAGATTGATAGACTCTCATTCCTCCTAGTCAACTCAGAAAGCTGGGAAGCTGCAAGACAGGCTAAGGAAAATGAACAATCTGAAATTTTGATTGATGTTAAAGACAATGAGGACAAGCAACCTGAGATCACTTCCCTCAGTGAAATAGGGGATGATTCAAAACTCAATATAAGAGTAGATCCTTCCATGCCAGAATCTAGTTTTCCACAGATCATAAACAAGAGCTTTCTATCACGCCCACTTCTTTCTTTTTGTGCAGATGGCATAGTAAATGAATCAGAGTCCAAAGTATATGAAAGTGCTAGCTCCTTGTCTTTGGCTACTTTTACTTCCCTCTTAATTGAGTTTGTTGCAAGGCTTCAAAATCTTGTGGATGAATTCCAAAATCTTAGTGAGAAGGCAAATTTTACAGACCCTCTTGAACAACCATTGTTAAAGTAGGAGTTAGTGCCAATTTGGAACAGTCTTTACAGTTTACACTAGCCTTGTTTATAAATTAAAGGTCATGAAACATGACTAACATAGATCATTTGTTACATTTTTTATAAATAAATTTCAAGTTGAAGATGCATTTTTTTTCATGGCTTCTTTAAAGAAAATTCACAATTCATTCGGGAGAAGTTCGAGGATTAAAACAGACAATGTCAAAAAATATCTCATCTTTATTTTGATCTAACTATCTCTGATCTGTTTTACTTTGTTGAGGTGTCTGTTCTGCTGAAGTTCAGTATCATGAGCTTTTTAATGCAAAGATTCAATCAATTTTTAATGAAAAACATGTTATATGAGCATGGGGAAGGATTTTCAGGAAGACGATGAATTCAAGAACATGTGCGGAAATTCAATTGCTATAAATGTTATGTTTATTTTTTTTAGCCAAAGAAATGAAATATTTTAACAGTCATGGTATTGTCCAGTGATCAATTTATCATAGATCTCAACCCATACGAATAATGGAAGTATAAAAGGAAAATAAGATAATTTTATATTGTTAACGGTATTTAGTTAACCTTACCTATTAAGTATGATTTTAAGCATTTTAAAGTGATAAATTTTATTTAAAAATATTTTTATAATTTTATGTTTTAATATTGCAAATATTTTCTTAATAAAAATATTAATTTTAAATATATAAAATCTATTTTAGAGACTAATATTAATATTTTATGAAGAATAAATATTATTTATTTTTTTATTGAAACAAAAAAAATCCAAACTACAGCTATACTATATTTTTTACAAAGAAAAAACAGCTATATTATATAATAATAAGACTTTCAGAAGGCAGCCCTAACATGATTCAGCCAATAATTTGCATTCTCATAATATATATATATATATATATAAAACTAATTTTAAATAAAAAATACAAAATTTCTATAATAATGCTCTTCAAAATTTGTCCTAAAGTCTATTATCTAGAATCTTGAGTCATTTTTCATTTCTTGATGAAATTGAGTCTTGAGTTTTGACTCCTTGATTGGTAGCAGCATCCTAGTAATATGTCTAAATTCCTAATTATTAATTTTTAAAAATAATTTGGGTAAAGAAAAGAAAAAAAAGAAAGAAATAAACAGGTGAGTGCGCAACGGTGCGTTTTAAGGTAAAACTCGAGAAGCCAAGGTAAAACAGGGGAGTGCGAGTGCCATTCCTGTGAGACCACATTGCTTCCTCTATCGTCTTCTTCCTTCTTCAATGGTGTTAGGGTTTTCAGTGGCAAAGGGTAGCAGCTCGTAATAATGAATTTTTGAAATTCGTGTTCAACTTTATCCAACGATTACTTGAAGGAGATCGCAATTTCTCAATAGTCAACTTCCGGTAGCTCGCGAAATCGAAAGATATCGTCATTTTCGCGCGACAGGGTACAATATTTTGCTTCTTTCTATTTGGACACTAGGTTTTCTTGATAATTTCCGACTAAATATTTTGATATCGAATTTTCAATTGTTTGATTTTGTAAACTTTTGAAATGTTTTGGATGTCTCGTGCGTGTCTTTTAAGTTGGAGAACCTTAATTAAATTTAACTAAATCGCTTAGCGCGTGTGCTCACTACACATACAATTGAACTTGGAGCTGCTACTTTTCTGTTGTTAAACTCTTGATTTGATTTTATATGCGTTACTTTAACTGAAGCGGGAAAAAAATCGAGTTAAGTTTTGTGTAGAAATTAATTAATTAAGATGGATTTTGGAACAAATTCGAGGGGTTTTATTTTAATTGATTTATACATATAATTAATGCTGGTGTGGTGATTTAGTGGTGTTTGGTGTACTAATAATTTGTTGACCTGTTTTCTCATTATTTTTGGAAATATTGCTGTATTTCTTCTTCTAACTGTGTGGTTAATTTGCTGATTCTGACAGAAAAACATTGGGAACTAAATAAAATGTCTATGGCTGAAGAACCACTATATCCAATAGCGGTGCTTATAGATGAGTTGAAAAATGATGACATCCAGTTGCGGTTGAACTCGATTCGCAGGCTATCGACAATTGCACGTGCTCTTGGGGAGGAGCGAACCCGAAGAGAATTAATTCCATTTTTGAGTGAAAATAATGATGATGATGACGAGGTACTTCTTGCGATGGCAGAAGAGTTGGGAGTGTTCATTCCGTATGTTGGGGGAGTGGAACATGCAAGTGTGTTGTTGCCACCTTTAGAGACACTTTGCACCGTTGAGGAAACCTGTGTGAGAGATAAAGCTGTGGAGTCACTTTGTAGAATTGGATCTCAAATGAGGGAGAGTGATTTGGTTGAATATTTCATCCCATTGGTGAAGGTCAGTTAAAATTTTCATGTCAATATAAATGTTTTTATTCTCACTTCATGTGGAGTCCATCCTGAATGTGATTGCGAAGTAAAACTTTTCCTTTTCACTCATGGTTTAGGTGCTTAATGTGGTGCAGATTATCATATTAAATTTACTTTTTTTTTTCGTGGAATTTGGTAATTTTCTACTATTTGAACTACTTTATGGTTAATGGATCTGTGTTTACCTATATAATGCCTTATAACTACTGTATTTGACCCTGCAAATTGGCTGCAATTTATAACATTTTGTTTTTTCTCAGTGATTATGTGTCTTAGTGCTTATTATCATTTATGCTGTGATGTATGTATCCTGCTAGTTCCCATTCCTTATGCTGATTAAACATTATGCTCAATTCATGCTATGGTTTTTTGGTTCAGAGATTGGCAGCAGGTGAATGGTTTACTGCTCGTGTCTCTGCATGTGGACTATTTCATATTGCATACCCAAGTGCACCAGAAACATCAAAGACAGAGTTAAGATCAATATACAGTCAGTTATGTCAGGATGACATGCCTATGGTCAGACGGTCTGCGGCATCAAATCTTGGGAAATTTGCTGCTACTGTTGAATATGCTCATTTAAAGGCTGATGTCATGTCAATTTTTGATGATCTTACTCAAGATGGTAATTGAATAAATATTTCTTTGTTTTTTTCAATGGAAAATGTCTGCCCTTTGTCTAGTTCAGAGGCTGTTTGATTGTGTTGAAGAGCCTCATGAGTGTACTTACTTTTTAGTATGTAATTGTACTTTAATCTTGGATCAGATCAAGATTCTGTCAGATTGTTAGCTGTTGAGGGCTGTGCTGCTCTTGGTAAGCTGTTGGAGCCACAAGATTGTGTTGCACATATACTCCCAGTTATTGTTAACTTCTCCCAGGTACATTTAGGTTTGGACGAAACTATTGATAATCTATAATTAATCTTTTTTTTCTAAATTTACATGTATTTGCTATATAGACAATTCAGTTGCCAGACTATGTACTTTGCCTAGTGATCTGCCTTTTCTGATATGTTATATTACTTGTGACTCATAAGTAATTTCCTTCAACCTAATTGTATGACTTTACTTTAGGCTTCTTTTTTTAAAAAAAGAAGTTCCTGGAATGTTATATATCTACTAAAATGACTATATATCAATTTGTATATCTCTTACCTGAAAGAAGTGACAGGAAGATATTGGGGAATGGAGTGAATTTTTGGGCTATTTTTAATTACTGGGAGAAAAACTGTATCATGCTCACAGAAAGGAATGTCTAAATTGGCAATGTACCGATGTTAAGTATGTTTAAGTAATATGAACCTTTTCTCATTGAAATGGCAACCACAGCACAACTGGGTTTCACTTTCAATTTCACCCTCTAGAATAAACCTCTGCATTTATATGTCTGTACAATATTATATGATCCATATCAAATATACTTTTTAATTCATTTGATGTGATTTAATTTCATTCTGTCTAGGATAAGTCTTGGCGTGTGCGTTACATGGTTGCAAATCAATTGTATGAGCTCTGTGAAGCTGTAGGCCCTGAACCTACCAGGTATTTTATTTGTGCTGAATAATGCATGTGCTGCATATCTTTCTGGGACAGTGCAATGTTATATGAATTTATTGTATTATGATTTATGAGCTCAGTTCACTGGTTGGCATTTGGGGTGTTCATGATAATGATTTAAATGCCAAATCATGTGATTTCTATATTGATTTTCTCTTATATTTACTAAGGTGTAACTCTAAAGCCTAAGCAACATATTTATTTTTCTTAAGATTTTATTTTATAATTTTTTTGTGAAGAACGGAATTGGTCCCTGCCTATGTGCGGTTGCTTCGAGATAATGAGGCTGAAGTACGCATAGCAGCTGCTGGAAAAGTGACCAAGTTTTGCCGGATTTTAAATCCAGATCTCGCAATTCAGCATATTCTTCCTTGTGTGAAGGTGTGCATCTATGGAAAAGAAATTCTAACATGTTAATGTTACTGCTTAAATAGAGAGGCTCTCCTCTGTTTTGATTGTGCAATTCAGTATGCCAAATTTATATTTACATGTTTAAACTCTTTTGGAACAACTTTTGCAGGAATTGTCATCAGATTCTTCACAGCATGTCCGCTCTGCTTTGGCTTCTGTAATAATGGGAATGGCTCCAGTGCTAGGAAAGGTACAAGCGTCAAATAGCAGTTTCTACAGTTATTGTGCCCTACTCAGGAATATGGCAATACGCACTATCCATATCAGTTTATCAATTGTGAATAGTAGCAGTACATCATGGAAAGCCAAAAAACTGTTATGCCTTATACTGGATTACATTGCAGGCAAATAGCAAAAGCATAACAGTTAAAAAAATTAGTTATATATATTATATGCATATATAAAGTAGTATACAACCAAAAAAAGCTGTAACCAAAAAAAGCTGTATCATAAAATATTAAAACTAAAAGGGTTTTATTCATTCTCAATTTTGTAAAGTTGACATATTATAAACTCAAAATTTAATCCCCCCTCCCCCTCTTCCAAAAGTTCTGTTAGAAAGCTACAAAAGAAAAGGCAATTATTTCACCAAGATAAGTTAATCCAAACATGCATTGTGCATGAATCATAACCTAAAATTGAGTTCTGGACATCATTTGGTGTTCTGGGCCAGATGTTTTACAGCTTCCACATATGACACTGATTATGGTGTGTAGGCCATTAAATATTAAATAACTATGTACTGAAAATGTCCTGTGCATGTGGCAAGGACATATGTTGTGCTGCAGGAAGTTATTGATTCACCTTTAAAATCCTCACCTTCCTCCATCCTCCCAGTTTGAAGGAAAGGAAGAGTCTTGCTACCAAATCTAGGTTTTGCAGTATCCAGGCATTCTAGATTGGCCAAGTCATAAACTACATATGTATGTCATTATTTGTTTGGTGCACGTATTGTGCCATTTGTAAAAATTCTTGTTTCCTAATTTGTCAGCAAGTATATTTTAATGCTTGACTTCTTCCATAGCTACTTTTTGGTAACTGACTTTTGCCTTTTGCTGGTATGAATACTTCTATTGAATTTACTGGATTGTGATAATATATTATGCAACTAATCTTGGGGCACAAGTTATTTTACTCCCACCACCCTCCTCCTTTTGTTTCGAAGAAGTTAGTATATTAATCTATTTTCTGGTATAATCTTCATAGCAGTTTTCTGTGTAAATGTGATTTTTAGTGCCTGCTACCTTATTGTCATTGCAGGAAGCAACAATTGAGCAGCTTCTTCCTATTTTCCTTTCCCTTTTGAAGGATGAATTTCCTGATGTGCGCCTAAACATCATCAGCAAGCTTGATCAAGTGAATCAGGTTGTTCTAGTTTCTGCGATTATTTACATATTGCATTGCTTTGGACTTTGCTGGAAACTTCTTTTCCTTTCCTCTGCTGATTTCATTAATTCTAGCTTATAGAACCCATGCTTTTTATTGATGGCCTTTTTTCCTTTTGCCTCCCTATACTCACAAAACACAGAGCAATCAACTGAAAAAAAATTGAAGACATTTTAATCAAGCTATTCTTTCAGGTTATTGGAATCGATCTGTTATCTCAATCTTTGTTACCAGCCATTGTTGAGCTTGCTGAGGATAGACATTGGAGGGTTCGACTTGCAATTATAGAGTATATACCCTTATTGGCAAGTCAATTGGGGGTTGGGTTTTTCGACGACAAGCTTGGTTCTCTCTGCATGCAGTGGTTACAGGATAAGGTTTGTACTCTCTACCTCCTTAGTGTTGGTGTATTCTGGGAATAGCATATCACACATGACTACTTTTGTTAACCTTCTTAGCTTTTGTAGGTTCATTCAATTCGTGAAGCAGCTGCTAACAACTTGAAACGCCTTGCTGAAGAATTTGGTCCTGAGTGGGCTATGCAGCACATAATTCCACAGGTTTATCTATTGGCTTAATTTATTATTAACTACGTGATATGATTAATACACAATGCCTCTATTAATTCATCCGTGTTTGTGCATGTCTTCATCTTCTGACAAAAATCCACATCTATATTCCTCCCTTTCTTAATTTGATTTCAATACATTTCTTTTATATTATGATGAAATTTTAGAAATACTGCAAGAATATCATATAGATGCAATGTACCTGCATGTCTTCAATCGGAATGCTGAAAGAAAGAAATTGCTCATGAGCCACCATGAGAAGTGGAGTTGGGGACAGGGTGAAAATCCCTGCTTGCTCAAAAGCCTGCATTCATATTGGTTTCTTTCAGTTTAAGCTCAGCAGTCCTATTCCAAAATACTAAAATAATGGAATTATCTATTGTCTGCGTCCTTAATTAAAGATGAAGTCATGTGCAAAAGGAAAAAAGATCATCAGTCATGAACATTACAAAATCACCTTTGCAGTGTAGCTAAGATTAGCCACTACATGTTTTATCTTCAATTATATGGTTATTGCCTCTGTTAAGCTCACTTTGGATTTTCACTGTAACATTATCTGATGTGGGGTCCGAAGATGGGTTTCATTGAAATATTTTCTTTCTCTGCTATTACCTTTTATGTTCTAAGTGAAACTTCAGAGGTATCAGTGTGGAATGTGTGGAACAGGTTTTGGAGATGATTAACAATCCACACTATTTGTATCGGATGACCATTCTTCGTGCTATCTCTTTGCTTGCTCCTGTAATGGGCTCTGAAATCACTTGTTCAAACTTGTTACCGGTTGTCGTTACTGCATCAAAAGACAGGTATATTGTTTTACCTTTTGAAAGCTTGATTATAGTCCACAGGGGGAGTGTCAATACGATCGTTCCTAATGGCTGCCGCTTGCTCTCTTACAGAGTGCCCAACATAAAGTTCAATGTGGCAAAGGTATTAGAGTCCATCTTCCCCATCGTTGATCAGTCTGTAAGTATTAATTGTGTTTTCCATCCTCTGTTCATCTTTCTTTGTCTTCCATTCTCACCATGAACAACATTGCGACCCAGGTTGTGGAAAAGACTGTCCGTCCATGTCTGGTTGAGCTTAGCGAGGATCCTGATGTTGATGTGCGATTTTTTTCCAACCAAGCACTACAGGCAATTGATCATGTCATGATGTCTAGCTAGGCAGGAATTATTCAACGCACATTTAGGTTGAAGACGTCAAAAGAGATGCTAATATTTCCAGCTATCATAAATAATACTGCATAGTTATGTTTAGTGCTTTTCACTTATAGCTGAATGGTTTTTTATCTGTGAGTAACTACTCATTGACGGTTGTTGTGATTTAGTGTCCATTATATGCTAATTTCCATATATTTATGTGTTTTTTCTTGATTGTATTTTTCATAGATTCTTTTTGTTTCTTGTCCTAATGTCCTAAATGAATCCCACATTTCAAACGTTGAAGTGCCACGATAGCCTGAGCCCATCTCTTGCATTTGGATTTTTTGCTGATCTACTCTCACATTTTGAATTTCTTTTTTTCGTGTACATTCTTGCAGTTTGATTTCAATGCACGGGACTGGCGCGCTTTGAAAGATTTATGGAATACGGATTATTTTAGTTTCATCGTAGTCATACTATTTTAACTGTTTAATCGACGTGTATATAACAAGATAGCCATGTAAAATAATAATAAATAAATAAAATATAATTAGACGTGAAAGAGATAAAAGTGCAAAGACTTGCCCAAAATATGATCATTGTTTATATTAAGACCGCTTAATTTAATAGAAAATAATGAAATAAAAGTTAAAGGGAGAAAAGGAGATTTGACTTAACAAAACTTAACGATGGCTCTATAAACGATTTGTTTGCCTCAACTCTTGAAAAAAGTAATTTAAATAATTATATATTTTTATAGGTCTTTTATAAAATTAGAAAAAGTTACTCTTATCTTCTTATAAGTATAAAAAGTACTTTTATTTTAATGAGTAGATAGAATTTTAACTCTTTTTTTTCAAGTTTTTTAATAAGATTTCTTGAAAGAAGCTAAAATCAGAATATTTTAAACTTCTGCTTTTTTATCATAATCTTAACTAAATAGTTAAAAAAAACTGTAAAGTGTTTTTTTTTTAAAGCGTTTTCAATATACGTTTGTTTAATTATTAAACAAAGGACCCTAAATTAAAGTATATTATAAACTACACATTACTTGTGTGTTAAATTTGTTTAAATATGTAAGAAAATGTGAAGAAATACTTCTATTAATTTATAAGATGTATATATTTGTATTAATATCAACAATATTTATCTGTTTTTTAGTTAGGTTATGATTTATTGACGGTAGGTATATGAGTGTACGTTGAAATTAAGTAAAACGCACACCTTTAGTGAGTTCGAGGGACACCTTCACTTGAGGTATTGGGAGGCTCTCACATTAGGATCTTTTGACGACCGGCAAGGAGATTTTTCCAACCTCTTTCCCCTTCTTCTTGTTTTTTCACTGTGTAACTAAAATAAGAAGTGATATACGGAAAGAAATAAAAGGAAAAAATAAATAAAAATAGAGTAAAAAATATTTGATTTTAAATAAATTAAAATAAAAAATTTCTTCTACGTATTTTGATGAGTAAAATATAAAATAAAAAAATATGTGAATTATATTAAAATAACTATAAAACTAAAATTAATTTAAAAAGTTTATTTTATTTTAATATATTTCTTGATAAATTTTTTTATATTATATTAATTTTTTTAAAAATAAAAACAAAACCCTCTCGTACTCTCCGCGTATTCCCTTTCTCACACTTTCCAAACAATCTAAATTAAGAAGTTCTAAACTTCTTCTCAACTTCCTTTTGTTTTCTTTAATTTTCTAACGTTCAAACAGAGTATATTGTCATGTTTATGTTGTCAAGATGAATTCTTGAACTATAATACTTCTGTAGTTTAGGATAAATAATAAATTAAATTCTTGAGGTAATCAAAAGGTTAATTAATCAAAGAATTAAACTTTAACTTATATAATAAATTTGATCATCAATAATAAAGATGAATTTAAAGAATAAGGTAAAAAATTGAATGAAATTAATTCCCATTTAATCTATTCTTGCATTGTTGAATCCCCTTCTGCTATATTACTTTGCATTCTCATACTTAAGAAAAAAAGAACATCGACAAAATATATGATTTAACTCTTTTAATTCATTAGGTTTACATTCTAAAACTTTTTTATTCAAAGATTAAATCTAATTACAATATTATGAAATGACACTTGAATCACAATCTCAAAAAATGACAATATTTTATTATTTATTACTTTATGATGAAATTGAGTGAAATTAACAATTCTAATTCATTATCTTTACATTCTAAACTTGATTTCTTGATTTAAAGATCAATAAATGGTAAATTTTGTGATATTTTAAAAAAAATTAACTAATAATATTTAAACACATATTTAAATAATAATTTTATTTAATAATAAATTATATATAATAATATAATTTTTTAAAATACGATACCCATAAAAAAAAATTAAACTACCACCTCACACATCTTAATAAAGTTAACTAGTCATAGAGTACTACAAGCAATAAACCACACACAAATTCCCAAAAATAACAATCTTTTTCTTATGACAACTCTACCTATTCCAGTAACTAATGAGTGAGTTCAAGAAGATCATGAAAAAGAACAAATGTAAACAGAATAAAACGTGTACAATAAATACGAATTTTGACCTTATTAACATGAAAAGAAAGATAAATATAAAAGAGAGAGAGAGAGGGGGGTAAAAAAAATCACCTGCGTACTTGACCTTCAACTGGCAATCAGCTTCCACCAAATTGCAAGATTGAAGAAATGGGGGTTGAGGCATTCTTACCCATTGGACTGGTTGCTGTCTCTCCTCTCTCCCTTCCACCCAACCGCACATTTTCTTCATTCCTCTCTCTCTCTTTTTATGGATCAAACTTCTTTCAGTTCACTTCTTTTCATTCAAATATTATAATTTTTTATTTCATCCTTCTTTTTAAATTATTTTATGTTTGTTTCTTATAAATTCTTCCTATCCAATGAGTTCCTCTTTTTTTTTTCTTATTTAACTCTTAAATATCACAAATTTTTAATTTAATTTCAGTTTTTTATTTATGGAAATCCAACTTGAAAGTCGAAAAAAGAGATAGAAATAAGGTAATTAAAGTTTTATTTTACAAAACCTAAGATTTATTTTATTCTTAAACCAAAGACCCACACCTATGCTGCTTATTTTTATATTTAACTTTACTTTAAAAATGTATTTAAAAGTCTATTTATAATAAGATTTATTAAATAAAATTATAAACATCCATCTAAATAAATCAAAAGGCTTATAGTTATACGTATGCCAGTGAATTAGTTTAACTCTTTAAATATATAATTCCATAATTTTATAATAAAAATATAACGCAACGATAACCTCAAGATAAAAATATAATACAATAAGAATCTCAATAACAGTAAAGATATATACAACTTCAATATTATTTTTTATTTAAATTGGTTAACTTGTTATAGATTTAAAGATTTTTTAATGACTCAAACTTATATTTTAAACATGAACTTAGAAAATAATTTAATTTGATTTATTTAATAAATAGATTTGCCGTGTGTCTAATGTGGGTTAAGTTATAATTAAGTCTCCAAAATGAGCAGGTCTAATTCATTTTCTTCCATCGAGAAATCAAATAGGGAATAAAAATTATATAGACCATATAGAAAAAAATATATTTTAAAAGACTTATTTAAAAAAATCAAATAAAATAATTTAAAATTTTTGCTCATTCCCACTTATAAATAGCAGTCCTAAGTAGTCTCATTGTATCAAAGTTCTATTCAGTATGCCCACAAAACAACTCTTCCTTTGCCACTCAGGTACTTCACTTTTCTTCTCTCCATTTCTATTCATAATTTTATTTTTCGAGAATGAATATTCCTCTCTTTATACATTTTTATATAACGAATGAATATCTCATATATATATACATACATAACCTAAATATCTCTTGACAAAGGGGAAAATAATTTCAAATTTATTCTTTATCCTCATCATTTATCTCATATTTAATTTTGGTTTCTATGTTTTAAAATTTTAACTTAATTCGTGTATTTTTATCTTGTTTAAGTTTTAATTTCTATAACCGACATGAACAAAATAAAATTATAGAAATTTAAAAACTATATCTGAAAAGCTTTAAAATTAAAATTAAAATCGAAATAAACTATAAAGATTTTAAATAATTTAAATCAAACAAAAATATTCTGATGCGTATTTCTAGATTCTGTAGCTCTAGTTTCTTTCACCATTTGTCTCAAATCAACTCTCGATTCACCCTTGAAAAGGTAGCAGAACCTTTTCTTTTAGCTTTGCTTTCATAATTTGCTAGTACGTATATTACTTTGCTAATTTGATCATTTGACTTTGAAGAAAGGGAAATCTAAAGAAGAAACTAAAACTAAAACAAATTTGATTATATATTACAAATTTGTGCTATCATATATACATACAAATAAGAATAAAAACCAATGACATCCCACTCAGATGCATTCAAACAATGAGAATATTCATGCCATTTTCTTTCTTTCTTAAACTTGGATATTGGGCATTAATCCGTCAAATGAGCAGGAACCAACGAACGAGAGTTGAAACTTGGAACACTCATTTGAGCAAGAAAAAAGGAGTAGCTTATGAAGAAGAATGGTGGAGGTTGTAAAATGTTGAACAGCCTCCACCTCGAACTTTCAATGAAAGCTGAGAGGATAGGGAATGTTGTAGCTAAATGTAATGTTGCTGCCTTAGTTTGCCCATTACTAGAATATTGCTAATATCACACCAATTTTTATTTGAGAGGAAAAAGATTATTGTAATAATTATATTTAAATTATTGTAATATTTATTTTTACTAAAACTTTATAATGTGGATAAAACAATTGTAAAGTGAGAAAGTGTTGAAAAAGTTAATGTGAAAGTTGCCACCCATCTCCATGTGTGGAGGGTCATCTCAATTCTCAAATGCATCTCCAATTTTTGAAATTCATTGCTTTCACTGCCTCGTTGGAAAGCATCAACCTAAAAAGAAAATGTCATTCTAAATTATTGTCAAGTTTTAGATGGGGTGGATAAGGGAATGCATCTGTCGCAACAATTTTAAATGTAATAAGGTGATTTTATATTTTTTGATTTATTTCGTTCTTGATAAATATTAAATAAATACATTTTACTTAATATTCATGAGAACATTGATAATATAATTTTAAATGTATTTATCACGTATATAAAAATATTTATTTTTGTGTGGTTGGTGTATATTTCACTATGATGTTACCTGATCAATTACAAATGACAGAGAACAAAGGATTACGATTTATATAATAAGATTTTTTTAATTTAGCAATTATTTTTAAAATAAAAATTTATTAAATGGTATAAAATTAATGTAACTCGTACCATTACAAATTAATCTCTTCTCTTTTACATTAAATACTTTAAGATTGTCGTTTAATATTTTGTTATGTGACATTAAAAATGTCAAATGAAACATGCTGTCAACATATTTTTCAGTGGGAATTTCTCTATCTTTGATTATGCATTGTTATGGATGTAGTTGCGAGTTCTTAAAGTTGAAAGTGATAATTAACAAAAGTCTTACAATAATATATCCTCTCCACGACACTGCAAGTAAAATTTGTCTGACTTAAAAGTTCACTTTTAATGCAATTAATAATTAATGATTTACAATCAATTAATTAATTTACTAAAATTCAGTTCATTTATTGTAGTAATAGTATTAATTTCCATTGAAATCAGAAACACGGTATATACAATCTAACATGCATTTAAGAGGCATTCTTACCTCTCCAATTTTGTTTTCCCAATTATATTGACTCGATCTTCTCATATCCTTCAAGATTTAGCAATCGGCAGTAACCAGTTTGATATTCAGAGTTTTAATTTTATATACAGAGATTATCGAAGAAACATGAAGGACTTGACACGAGCCATAATTTCATTGGCTCTGATCTTTGAGAGCTGAGATTTGCTTAGAATCTGAAATGCATGTCCAACACCTTTGAACACCCCATACTCCACCTTTTTACCTGCTATTGCCAAAGCATCACAAAACTCCAAGTTCCTATCCTTCAATATGTCCATCTCTGAGATGCACACCAAGGTTGGTAAGAGCTTCAATTCATTAAATTTCACCAAAGGATTGCACCATGGATGGTCACGGTTAGCACCAGATGGTAATGCCAAGCGCCAATAAGTATCAGATGCTGCCAAATTCAAAGCAGAACCTGGTGATTGAGCCATGCACTTCTCTGAGTTTGTTCTCACTTCCCCACCGAAAAAGGGTTGTATTAAAATAAGACCCTTCAAATTTAAAGGCCTTAAAGTATCACCTTCACATGCATCTAGTCTTGTGGCAACATTGTAGGCTATGTTAGCACCAGCACTGTCCCCTGCTAAGAAAACACTGGAAAAATTACATTTTGAAGTCCACCATTCACTACCCTTGTATTGAAATAGCAATTGTTGTTTCACCCACATTAGGGCCTTTAGTCCATCATCATAGGGTGCTGGGAGAGGGTTCTCTGGGGCCAATCGATAATTCACTGACATGATCACACACCCCACTTTGGTAGATAGCCTAGCAAGGAAATCATGGTAGCAACTCCATGCTGCAGACCCAACACAAAAGCCACCCCCATGAAAATAGACCAACAAAGGTAGTTTCTTTTGGCAAATTGGGACATAGAAACGAGCCCAAATGTTTGTAACGTTGTCAATCACCATGTCCCTAGAATTCACGTTTAGTTCAGGACTCAAAGCACTAGCAGTGACACATGGAACAACCTGGGGTCGTTCCACATATCCATCTTTGTGTACTCTAATAAGCCCTTCAATTTCCTCAACTACAGGACCATGGTGTGGATACTCTTTAGTAGCAGTGTATTGTGGGCTAAGGCTTAGACTTGAGGTAATAGCAGCCATTTTTTTTTTCTCGTATAAGAGGGGGTTTGATACAAGAAACCAAGAATGGAACTTGTTTGTGGTGATGGGTTTGAAGCGTTGTGGTTCCTTATAAATACAAAAGTAATTGGAAAAAGCGTTGTAACACATTTTAAATTTCAATGCATATGTATATCTTTTATTTATTTATTTATTATATTACATGGCATCTTTCATTTCTCTACAGTGTACAAGTGTCTCGTGGGTAACAACCATTTTTCTTGAAACAAAGTGGGAAAAAGGATCAATCAATCTTTTCCTGCCAAGTGGGAAGTTGTGGAATTCGACACATGTATCCACGTGAATTCACATGTGGAGGGTCAGCTGAATTTTCGAATGCGCCTCCAATTTTGATAGGATATCGCTTTCAATGCCTAATTGGGAAGCATGAACCTAAAAAGGACAATGTTGTTCTAAATTATTGACTACTTTTAGGAGGGTAGCTGTGCATGCCTTACTGTTAAGTTACTCAATCAGCTGCAAATTCACCAGAATGAAATGCGTCCATTGGATGAGGCACCATTACTAGCCCCTGATGTTTGACCTTAATCATGACAATTTGACTTATGCCTTTTTTATTTGTAAGACATAACGTTTCATTTTTTTTCCTTCTAATCTCACTCTTCTCAGAGTATTTAAGTTTCAGGTTTGTTCATGTAACTGTAATGATGTCGTCTATTTCTCTTCTTAAATTTTCATATTTGTACAACAGTTTTTACGAATTTTGTAATTAAAACCAACCCAAGAGTTAACAAGATGAGATTTCATATTGACTATATTATAATTTTTAAAAATTAAAATAATCTTCACCTTATAAAATTAAGGGTTTTATAATCTCAACCCTTTGAGAAAATTAAATTGTTTTGATGTTAGCTAAATGGGTTTATAGATAAAACCAGTTATAAATCAATTAAAGTTCAATTTTGAATTCTATTTTAAAATTCAAAACCGGTTTTGAATAAATTATTTAGAACCGATTATCTGCACCATTTATTAAAAGTAAATTAAGTTGACTTATCATTAAAAAATTAGTTTGACTTAAAATTCAATTTTATTTTATTTTTGTTATTTAAATGTTATAAATACAGTTTGATTTGAATGTTTCTTTTTCACACTACTAAAAATTAAATACGTAGTCCATGATGGGCAACTAAAGAAAAGAGGAAAACCCTCTTTAGCACGTAATTGTTGACATTTTTAAGAAACAATTGAACGTAGTGGAGTGCAAACACTAAGGGCTAACTTTAGGTTGCCTCCCATTAGCATCATTTCAGGTGCACTGTTTGAGACATTACACAATTGATGTTGAACTAAGGCCTTCCAGAATTTTCTTTTAGTTTGTGTTTAAATGTGAATAACTTTTTATTAAAAACTATAAAATATTATTTGATTCAATATATTAATAACGTTAAATATTATATTTTTCTCGTATTTTTTTAGTTTTTAAAGAATTTAATTTAACAAAGAAGAATGTTGTAAGAAAGTGATAATTGAAGAATGTTGGGTCATAGATATGGGAAGTGATTTAGTAGCTTTTGAATGTCGTCGTGGGTGAGAAAGCATCAAAGTATGGAAGGTCTCCGATTTTGAGGATGTCCATTGAACATGCTTCTCAGTGAACACCCACATCTTTGGGACTTACATAAAGCATCGCAATTGGACTCTCAAGTCAGAACTTATTGCTTGTCTTTTTCTTTTTATCTTTAGAAAAGTCCCTTCATTGTGAATTATGCTTCTCTTTTGCTTTACATTCATGCATCTTCTTTATCTTTTCTGTTTTTTCAAGAACGGAATAATACCATTTTAGAGTTGAAATTTAATTATCACTATTCATCAGTTTTCCTAATGTGGAACCATTTATTGAGGACTTTGATAATGCCCAAAAGCCTGTGAACAGAGCACAAAACTTTGAGAATGAAAATCCAATTTTGAAGGTCTACATCTAACAAACGAGGAAGACGTAAGAGTTTTGACATGTATACTTCATCTAAAAAGAATAGTAAGTCTTCATGCTTTCAGTAAAAAAGAAAAATAGTAAGTCTTCGTTTATTTATTTATTATTTTCGTGCTTAAGAGTTATGTAATGATTAAAAAGAAGAAGAAATAATAGAATGTTATTTTAAAAAAATATTTCATGAAAAATTGTAACTGTTCAATTGTCCTATGTGATGGGGGATGATGATATTTGCACCAAGATTTTAACTGAAAAATCTCTCAAAATAAGAACAAAAACAGGTCTTCAAGACAAATATTCTAAGTTCCATAATGATCAAAATTGAGAATACAAATAAATCTCAACCAAACATGCTAACATTTAGTCAAATAACCAAAGTAATTATAGTTTACGCTGAAGAATTAAGAAAATGACAACAACTGAAACAGAGATTCCGTATAAACTATGTATTTCATATTATAGTCAACGAATCACTAATCTCACTGTTGAATTTGAAGAATCAGGCATCGTGATCATGATATCCAAATTTCAATCAGATTTGGTGATTAACTATTCTCTAAACACAATTTTACGTTAAATATTTTTTATATGTGCCAATTTGACTTTTAAATGAGTCTAATATTTTTAAATAAAATTAAAATATATTTTTAGTCTTTGTAGTTTATTTTAATTTTACTTTTACTCTCTATAAGTTTTTTGTCTTTATAATTTTATATATTTAAATTTTAAATTTTAAATCTCATAATTTATTTTACTTTAGAATACTATTAGGGGAAAGGAGTAATATCAAAAATTTTAAAATTATCGAATAAAAAAAACAAACTTTAAAGTATAAAAACCAAACTTAAATTTAAAGTAAATATTAGAGATCAAAATGTGTTTAAACCCTTAAAACCCTTAAATGTGAGTTATAAAGAATTAATCTACTTGATTAATAAAGTAAAACTATTTTGAAATATAAATAAATTATTAAAATTATTTAATAGAATAAAAAAAATTTACTAAAAAAATTAAAACCTTCTTACAACAAATACTAAAGTAAGACTAATTATTAATAAATTATATATATATATATATAAGGAAAATTTTTTTTACACTAGTATAAGTTTAAAAACTCTTACATTCGATTTGAGTCTTTTATTTAACTTATATCTAATAAGCAGTAAAGTAATAAATTATAATTCATTAAATAAAAGATTCAAATTAAGTGTAAGAGTTTTTAAACTTATACTAGTATATATTCATTTAATTGTTTTATTCTTAAAATTCATTGATTATAATCGTTCCTTTAAGGTGTAGACATTCTTCCTTCAGTATTTCTTTCTTAGACAGGTTAAGACATGGGATAGATGTCTCAAGCAACTTTGTTAGTGCATCACTTTTCTGATTTTCTTGACTATTCTCAACTTCAAGAAGAGAAAGAATTAGAAAATAGATTAAAAAAAAAGGGGGTAAATCTTTCTTTGCCTAAAAGAGTGGTACTTGCTTTACTTCTTTTTATTAACAGTTATAGATCAAGGAATATGGAATGTTTGATGAAAGGTACTACGCCTATGCGCATTGTCCCAGGAGTTCTTTCTTCTGCCTTTTTTTTATCTCATTGGGTAAACTACAGGTATTAAAATCCCAATTTATTCCATAATTCTATGCTTTTTGGAGAATGAAAAGTTTATTGCAATAACATAATCAAATGTTTCGCAGGAGAAGTTAGTATAACTGTATATATAGTTGAACATCAGTAGGATCTCACTATTCACATAAAGTAATGTATGTTTGGGTTTGATTCCATTCAGAACTCAGGCATTGAATGAAGGCGATTGTGGGAGTAGAAGAATTTTGTTTGAACCGAAGTCACCAAAAACCACTAGAACCTCATTTTCAAGATACAAACCAAACCATTGCACAACTTCAGTGTGTATGTCTATTAGAGAGTTTGGATAGCACAAAATAGTTAACAAAGCAAACCATTTTTCACATTCTTTTGGCCAAAATTTGCGTCAACTAAGCACTGAGAGTTGCACTTAATTTATTGATACTCAGTATTCAACGTCCTAACTGCGTAATGCATTGAATAATGAATATCCAGCCAAAATAAAATAGAGAGAGGAAAAATCGAATAGCGGTGTATTTTTTTTAATTAAAGAAAAAAATTAAAACAAATATTTTTAATATAAATTTCATAATTTTCCCACAATTTTCTTTCAATTAAAACAAATAAAATGTTATTTAGAAATGTTAATAACACACTTATAACACATTCATTAAATTTTAAAACATAGTCTTTTAGTTTTAATTGTTTTTAAAATACACTTGATTAAAATCACAAAACCTTTTCAAACCCCTTCATTTTATAATTGATAGTATCCAAAAGCCCATTAAGAATGACACTGTGATGGCCCACAGAGAAATTGTCCATCTGGGCCCTCAGGAATCTAAATCATGCTCGATCCCCGTGGTCCCCCAAAAGAAAACACCAAATTTTTATTTCTATTTATTTTTATGTAAAAAATAAAATATTATAATTAATATTTTTTGTTTATATAACAATTTTAATTAATGTAAATAAAATATTTACACAAGTGGAATATTTTAAAAGTTAAAAAGAAGACTCATTAATAAAAAATAAGTTAAAAAATATTAAACAATTCTAACAAAATAATTAAGTTTTTTGGTATATATTTTTTTCTCTAAATGAATAAATAAAAACAAATATTTTATTAGATAAATGAAAAGGCATCGCTCATTTTTCTCTTACACAAAACTTAGGTGTAGTCCTGTAAATATTTTTATTACTATTTGTTAATTGAAATTATAATTTTTCTTTAATAATATATTATAATATTAAATTTTTAAATTTTTTCAATTTCATCTCTTAAGTTTGTTGTCCGGGTTAATTGTCGCATTATTAGTTGTTAATTATACTCAACAGATTTTTAACTACTCATTAATATTAGTCAACTCATTCACGCATTATTAACACATTTAGATAAATAATTTAATTAAATATTTAATAAAAAAGAACTTATCACCTAGAAATTTATTTATAAGCTTAATTATGAAACTTTTCAAAAGAAAACTTTAAAAAATATTTAACAAGTCTATCCATAAAATTTGTAAAAGCTTGTTAAAATTAGTTTAAAATTTGTATACAAAGTTTAAAGATATTTTTTGTAAATTTGAAAAAAATATTTAAAAAAATTCTTTCTAACATCCTTATATTCATAACAATCAGAAACGAATTTTAAAAGTAGTAGCTGAATCGTGGAGTTGAGGAAAAAGGATCTATACCCACAAGACTCTTGAGAAACTAGCTCAAGTTCTTCATATAAACAAAATTATAGTAGTATAGCATCTATTACATTAAGCGTAACAAGCCGAATTATCTATAAAATAGATCTATTAATTAAAAATAAAATTACAACTCCTTGAAACCTAACATGATTTAGTACCTAAAAAAAACTGAACTCATAAGTCACAACTAGAAAGAAAATTCGAACTAATAGAATCTCACCTATTTTTCGTATATGTTCGTTGGTTCTTTCTTTTAATCACCAAAAATACTTCATAATAATTCAATAAATAGTTTTTAATACGATATATCTATACCCAACACTTTATATAATATGGAACTCGCAATATCAATGTCAATGTGCTGTGTTGCTTTTAAGGTACAAGGTTTGAACATGGAGTTTGTTTGTTTCTTTGGTTACCAGTTAGCGTAAATGTCCAAGCTCCTGATACAGGCAAGAGAATATTGCCTTGGTGCAAGATTTGCGTTAGACATCAATATCTCACCAAATCTTTAACAACATTTTTTAAGTGAATTTAGCGGATTGAAGCAATTAGTTCAAGATAACTAACAGTTATCATCTTTAACCACAAAAATTTTGGTGGATACAAGGAACTCGTGTATAATCTTGTTTATAATCTGTGACATTTGTTGTGGGGTCTCGTCATGTTGATGAATTTTCCATCAAAGAGCATCCCAAAATCAAGAAAAAACAATCTTGTTTATTTTTTAATAGCATGATAGACTTTTTGCAATTCAAATATTAGCAGCATGTGTATAAGATTGACTTTTTTAATGTTAGTTATAAGAAGTGATCCAGCACCGATAAGATTCTCTTAATTGACGTCTTGTAATTACTTAAAACACAAACAAGCCAACGTTATGAAAACCACAACACATAAATTGATATTTTAAAACTTCAATGGTTAACCCAAACCATAAGCATGCTTGATGTCGATGTTTGGTGATTAATAATGACCATTAATGCCATTAGAAAGTAACCGCCAATTTTCTTCTGATCCACTTGATTTGTCTTATAGATTCAATGATTGCATCACAAAATTTAAAATAGCGGACATTTGCTAACGTACGAAATGGACATATTCTTCCAACTTGGACACTACCGAAGATGAGATTTACATAATCCTATTTTCAGGACCCTGAAAGAACACTGACCACAAAGGGATCTTTTTTCTTTGTTATTCACCCATCTATACATAAACCTCAAAACCCATTTTATTTTTGTGTCCCAAGTCATAATTTCCTTGTTGCAGCCCAAGTTAACAATTCAAGTTTCATTAAATCCTGTTACGGAGATGAACACAGATTCTAGTGTTCTGTTTGAGGCAGAGAATGAAGAAGATACTTTCTATGCTGAGATTAGGAAGCAGATTCTGCTCTTGACATCTGAAGACAACGAAGATTTACTAGAAACAAGAAGTTTAAACCCCCTTAAGGTCACCAATGGTAGTTCAAACAGCTCAATTTACAGTGTTAACAGTGTGCCACCACCTAGAAGCAACTTTTGTCTGTGGGAAAATCAGTGCTCTAGTTCACCGCCCGTTTGGCTAGTGAACTTGTGGAAGAATAGTAAAGGCACTGGGGTGTTCATTCCACAAGTTGCATGCAAGAAAAACCAAAAACCAGGTACACTTTTGTTAGCTGTCACTGTATGGTTTAAATATGACGAAATTGATCCAAGAAAATTGAATCTTTACTCGTAATACATTTGATTTTTGGCAGGAAAAGTGAAAAATAGGAGAAAAATCTATAGACCAGTGGTGAATAAGGATTGAAGAATCTATTCTTATGGAAATTTGTATTTAGTGGAATTTAATATGGTCGCTTGCCTTAACATAGTTTTCTTGATGATTCATTAGAACGAGAGGGAAAATGCGGGAGATAAGAAGGGGAAACAATTGTACAGTTTGCATTGTCATTCATTTGGTGATTTTATTTCTGCTAAACGTCATTATGTACAGAAATCATACCATTATTTCAATTTCATTTTCTAAACTACTAAAAATTAACACAAGATATACTACCCACTAGCAATATTCTCAACCTTCAATTACTTTTTATTTTTTATATTCACAGCATAGAAGATTAAATGTTAGTAATTCCTACATTTTAAATTTTTATTTTATTTTGCTTATGCTACTTTTTAAATTATTGTTTTTAATCTTATACACCAACAAGGTCAAGCATCCTCCTAGTAAGTCACATTGCCAATAGTGTTAGGGAAAACTAAACACAAGAACACAATTATCTAAAGTAAGCAGCGAAAATAATTTCTCAAACTTGCAAGAATCTATGAGGAACAACAACAATAACAAATGGCAGCAACAAACACAAGGACACAGAAAATTATTTACGTGGGAAAACCCTCTCAATGTGAGAAGTAAAAACTCACGGGTTTAAGCCAGTCAATCAAGCTCCACTATAATCAAATAAGGTTACAAGAGAGTCTCAAAATACTGCACAAACAACCAGCTAATACAACCAAGCAATAAAGCCTAACCAAAGAGAGAAAATCACAAAACAGGGCTGTTGTTCAGACACGATTTCTCTTAGCAAAAACCTCAAATCAACGATCCCAGCAGTCAGAACGAAGAACTATACGTTTGGGAACTGCTGTCAAAGTTTCAGCTCAATCCAACGGTTGAATAAGGAGAAATAACGATTTCTCTGCGGCTGGTCTTTGTAGAGTCACCAAAAATAGGGCTTCTGTGCGAAGACAATATCTCTAACTTCAGACCTCCAATTGATAATACGAACTGTCAGAACGAAAAGCACCGTGCTATGAACCTTCTGTAAAATTTTTAGCCTGATCCAACGGTGCGAATCAGATATCGAAGGAATGAAGTAACTGGTCAGGAGCTTCTTTCTTCTCTCACTTCCCCTTCTTCCTTTTTGATGTCTCTCTGCGAAAATACACACAATAGGCTGCGAAAAAAATACTCTAATATAGACTTCTCTTACCCACTCGTCTGACTTCTCACTCCCCTCAATTAAGTGTAGAAAATGAGCTTGAAAATTTAAATTTTTTAGACACATAGTTGAGAGTCCAACCCAACAAATAGAAATTTTTAAAAAAATGCAAAATCATAAGGACCATAATAAAAAATATTTGTTCAAGATTACTAAAAATTTACCGAAATGTATATTAAGTCAATCTTTAAAAATATCCAAAATATAAAAAAACATCTAAAAGTAAACCCTCTCCGGATGATATGTAAAAAAAGAGAGTAAAATTTATTAAGTGCAATTTTGTGTTCCATTAGAAAGTGTTAGAATTTGAATATATGAATCCGTTTGCCTCATAGATAAGAAAGAAATTGAAATCATTTTATATCTATCAATATAGTGATGTTTTATGAAGTTATTTGGAATGCTATCTAATCTAGTAGTCAGTGAAAAGGTAACAATGATATTCATCAGTGTACATCAACTTTTCCACGTTAACGCTCCCGATAAGAGTTGTTAATATACAGAACATTACTCAACAGTTAAAAAACATTAGTTTAAAAAACATTAGATCAGCAACTATATGTTACATGTTTTGAAGGTGCCAACAACCCATCATTGAGTTCCTACACATTAGGAGTGCTCCATAGATAGATACATGTGTTGTCAATTCTAGTACTCTTTAGGACACGCTAACCATAATGAATTAAGAGCTCGAAGTCGTGAGACATAATCATTTATGACAAGGAGAGCACGAGCCGCTTGGAGTGTGGTCAAAATTCGTCGCAGTTGCTGCAGTGTTTGTTGCCTCAAGAGGTCAGCCTAAGAAACAAAAACACATTCTCAGTATTACAATGCATATAAATTTTTTAAAGGGTGCTTGTTTGTAGTGAAAATTAGCAATGACTCATGTTCTGATCGCACATAGCACTCCCTAAGCTTTTTTCCATTTCACCCCGGTATGTACATTGTCATCGATCATCATCAACAAGCCTATTAAATTCACTGATTTCGATTACGTTTATTACCTGATGAACAAAACTCTCTAGTGTGGCAAGCTTGCCTAATGCAATTGCCATCTGGCCCATGTACTCGGCAACATTTCCAGAACCTGCAGGTCCTAGAGAGGTGGAGGAAAGTGTCTCTGAAAGAGATTGTTGCAATGCTTCCATGCCTTGTGATAAAGCATCCTCAGCCTGCTGGGAAGACTGCTGCAGATTGTAAATGCCCATCAGCTGTTGATCGGTTAACGGCTCAAGTTGGTTTCTAACTATCTGAATCTCAAGAAATATGCAGACAAGAGTCAACACTCAATGGAATATATATACTCTAAGCCTAGAGCAGAAAAAGTGAGCAACTGAAATGGTGGATTACCTTGAGAATTTCAGATGAACGAAATCCTCCAAGCCATATGAAGCATCTTTCTGCAGGTGTCATCCACATCCCAGAAAGTATGTGAAATACATCAGCCTTTGCTCCTATGCTCTTTAACCTATATAATTCATCATAATGTGCCATGACTCCGTCAACAAGAAGATGCAGTTCATTATCACCCATTTGAGAATTTATAGCTAATCTTATGTCATTGATCAGCCGTTGATGTTCGTCAACCCATCGGGCATAGTCCATGTCAAATGCTAACGCACCTGAAAGATTAAAAGAATCATCACAATCGCATATTAACATTCCCTCCTATACTATACAATTGTTCAAATCTCAACACGCTTAACGGAATCAAACACTTGCAAGAGTTTCACATCAATAACTGATTTACTTTTCTGCTACTGACCAAAGGAGAGTGCTCATGGGTCTCTCCAGCACCAGAAAATACACCAGCTTAAAACTTTGTTCAGTCCCTTAAGACGTCAATAAGATCTCCCAGAAGATGAAAACGCACATGTGAACGTCCCAAGCGTATTGTGCATGATTTCAAGATAGTAACAAAACATACTTCTCAAGGCATCCCATTTTAATAACAGAAGCACTCGCAATTTGGATTTTAGAAATGTAAAATGATTTAAATAATCAACCTTATTCTTGAATATGGCCAAAACCACACACACACACACGTGCATGTATGTATTCAAGGATTGCCAGAGAGACATTGTGAGAAGAGGTGTTCACATGTGTGAATAGTCATCTAATGCAAAGAATCCAATTTCCTATTCTCCCATTGCATGTATCAATGAAATAACATACGTTTCTTTTGAGTTCCCAAGCCAACAACTTTTAGACTTCAGAAGAAAACTAGATCGACCTATGATTGAAGCCTTAACATGGCCTCAGGTTTCCAATGCACCAGGTTCATGCGAATTTCTATTAAACTGTGGATATATCTTTCCTATGATTGGATATGGAATATGTATGTATTCATCTATGTTGCTATTTTCTAGGAATTCCAAAGAAGTGTATGAACTTCCAGTCCTAAATGTTATAACACAAATAGTACTACAGTTTCCATGTGAAAACATCTTAATATAACCATCATGTTTCTGCCACTGTGAAGGAAAATATAATCTTTTTAATTACCATTTCCAACAACTGAATGACCACGATCCCCCGTGATTCCAGTTGCAACAAATGCACCCTGGAGGAGTAGCAGCCAATAAAAAAATAGTAAGTACAAATAATAACAAAATTAAATAGAATGCAAATTATCAAGTGGAAATTTTAATTTCTAACACCTGTTGACGTGCACGTTGAACCTCTTGCTCTAATTGTGCAAGTCTAAGTCGACTGTTCTCCAATTGCTGCACATATGCCTATTTGACACCAAAAAATATAACCGGTAAGTCTAAGTTTATCAACCTGTTTCTAACTTAGTTATCAATTATAATAATTGTATGTTGTATTTTATAGTCTTTTTCATCCCATAATTCTTTAAATTTGTTTATCCCTCTATGCTTTATGATCAAATGAGCAATCTAGATTGTAGCAATTACCTTTTTCCTTAGCCTACTCTTCCTTGCAGCCTCTCGATTCTGAGCCAACCTGCGAAGAGTCTAAAAGAATGGATCCACAGAAATGAAGTATCAGCAATGAAACACTATTTGGTAAGCACAAGCTACTCACAATAAAAGCAGCAACCAACCTTGTGATCACCAGCTTTAACCTTAGTCTTACTTTGGTCCTGTGAGTCCACAACTACAAGCCCTCCATCCCGAACTCCATTGCACCATGACACCGTCGAGAAACACTGTCAAGGAACATTAAAACTCCCTCAATCCTCATCCATCAAAATCACAACAATGTACTCAATCTATTCACAAAAACATTGATTGGGAAAAACAGAGTAAAAAGAGAGACCCACTTGGTTTTTATCATCAGTGTCAATATCTGTGGAAGTATCTTCGGTTTGTTGGCTCTCAGCATGCTGGTTCGCAAGGGGCACGGTGGCATTTGTGGTTCCTTTGTGGAACATGGGTTGCGACCCTGTCTCAATGCACCCTGCAACTGCAGAAGCAAACTCTGCAGACCCAAGGTTCTACGCAAACATTGCGTTTGAGTCGAACCAAAAAATGTAATCACATAAGACACTCGCACACAAAACTTATCTACCTAGAATAAACGGAGAGAGAGGTTGAATACCGTGTGGAATGCTCCGTACTGCAAGTTGCTTGCAACAACAGCTACATTGTTCGACTTTGCACCAAACACAGAGCCTGGATATAATTAAAAATTGAAATTTTTTAACCAAGAAGGAGCCATTATATTATATATTTGTACACATAGAGAGAAAGAGAGTAACTTGAGCTTAAATCAATAGCATCTTGTTGTTGAAATGAATGTTGAAGATCCGAGAAACGCGTTATATTCCGGCTAGTGTCATCTCCCCTGTTTCACAACAGAGAAACTCTGTTTTACACCCCAACAATTTTTATTCTAATACAAAAAAAGGCATGCATATTTTGCTGCATACCATTCCGTTTTCCAGCTTCTGTTACCCATTTCACAAAAAGGAAAAAAAAAATTATCAAACAAGGGCAAAGCCAGAAAAAAAAACACTATAATCGTTTACAAGAAGAAGTACACTGTGCATTATACCGATGCAAGAAGGAAGAATGGCAATAGAGCGGTGAGCTTGATTCGGTAGTCTTGAAGCTTTGCATCTTTTATAAGCTAACTGAATAGGAAAGCATCATCATAGGAAGTTTAATTTAAACAAGTGGAAGTAGAAAATGGAAATGGAAGCTTGAAAAGTTGGATTAAGCTTTAAGAAGAGCGTAGCGTATCAGTACAGCTCCGGTTCTTTTTTCGATAACACCAGTACAGCTCCTTTTTTTAAATATTATTGCCGTTTTGTTTTGGCCGAATAAAGTGTTCATTTTTTATTAATAAAAAATTATTATATTAAATATAATAAAATCAATATTTTAATTTTATTGAAAATTCATTTTTTTTACATACTTAAATTCCATTCTAAAAATTGAGTTAAGTTAACAAAATTGATATAAGTATTATTGGATTTGGTGTCATGTGTTAGTATCATTAAACTTAATAAATTTTATTATATTAAACAAATCTAAAATGAAGAAATAGATCTTTTAAATTTTAAATATTTATAAAAATAAACAAATATCTAATAAAAATATAATATAAAAAATAATTTAAAATAAATCATCTAAAAACTATAATTCACGTTTTATAGATAAAATAAATTATTATGATTCAGATTTTGTAATACTAGTTTTAAAGTTCAATTTAAATGCTACAAATATTTTTTAACAATGTGTGTATATATATATATATATATATAATTTTCTAATATGTTAAATGTTTATTATTTTATAAATATGTATCCATTTTAAATATTTAGTATTAAGTCTTGAGAATTAAAAATATAAAAAAAATTGAAGCAATAGTCAAAAGTTTTATTATGTTTATATGTGTATGATTGATTGATTTTGAAAGATTTATATTTAAATTATATCGTATGCAAATGTTTCTCGTGTAAGTGGCAATCACAAACTAAATAAAAATTATTGTTAGAGTATGTGAACTTAAAATACAAAAATTAGAGAAATATTAATTTCTTAAAATAATTTAATTGAAATTTAATGCAATATCTGTATATATCTCAAGCTAGAATAATAATAATTAGCCTGAATATTTGATAATTACAATAAGCATTAACGGATTGTTTTTCTTTTAAGAAAACCTATGCTACTCGTCTTTAAGTAATTAAAAATCTTTAAAATGTTTTGGAAACACTCTAATTTTTAAAAAAAGAAATCTTTCCGTTGTAAAGTGAAAGATAAATTAGGCATGTCCTTAACTTGGATTAATGTTGTTGGCAAATAATACATTTTTTAAAATCGTTTAATAGAATTATATTGTTTTTAAATGTTAATAACGTATTGATAAATGTTCACTTGTTATTTTCAATCCGTTATTAACATTTAAAAACAATATAATTACAAATTAGAAAAGAATGTCACGTAATCAGAAGGAAGTTCTTGACTTATTGGCATGCATCTGTTTGAAGTACGATCGATTACAAGATAGATGTACAAAATATGTTAGAAGGGAGATGAAACCAACGATCATCTCAGTTGTGAATTATCAATACTTTGTATTATATGAAAATTTTAAAAATAAAATACAAAGATGAAATATAAATTGTAAATTATCATTAGTCTTTGTATATTCAATTGTATTTAAAATAAATTTATTTACGTTAGGTTTCGTAACGCTTTGACTAACACACAAAATTATATATATATATATATATTGATAAAAAAAATGTTAATTTTGTATTTTATAAAGATGAATAGCCTTTAATTTTATTTTTAAAAAGTTGCTTGACTAAAATTGCGACTTGAAAAAAGTTCGTTAATTTAGTTTTTAAAATTATAAATATAAGGAACTTTATTTTTATTTCTTGTTATTTTCAATACATAATTAGCTTAAAAAACTGTAAACAATTTTTGAAAGTATAAAAAAAAAATTCATCTTTATAATGTCAATAACCTATTGACTGTTTTTCTTTGTCTTAAAGATTAAATTAAGTGGAATATTTTTTTATGAATAAGATTTTGAGAATTTAGTGTTCATAAAATTACTGCTGTAAACAGTGTGTATAAGTGTGTATAAGGTATTTTGGACCCTTCTTCCAAGACATAAAAAAACGAAGTGTTACATTGCATGATTGATCCTCTGCAACTGCAATGCATGCTTCTCTCTCTCTGGATACTACACAACTGTGAGCTCTAGGTGCTCTCAGGTCTCAGCTCTGAAGATCTGCACAGGTTCAGATACAGATACAAATGGAAGGTTAAATCACCACTATTTTAAGTACAAAAAATTGAATATTCGTTTTATTTTCGTTTAAAATATATTACAATTCATATCTATTATCATTTAAAGGTCAAATATATTTTATTTAGTTTTAATATTTCAATTAAATTTTTATTGTATGTTAATCTTTTTGTTCCTTCACATAAATTTATGTTATTTTTTTTTAAATTTCGATAAGATTCTATTGCTTTATAATGTTTAAATCTAGTCCTGGAGATTAATATTAATATTTCAAAAAACTATTTGAATGATTTTACGTGAATAATGAAATGAATAAATAATATTTAAAATAACAAAAAAAAAAAAAAACTGTTTATACGCATTAAACGATATTCGTCACGTGAGCGAAAACATCTGAAAAAGAATGCATGGTGAGATGATAGAATAATGATGAGATTGAGCTATGAACAAAGATAAAACATAGTAAACTTAAAATTCTCTACTTATTATTATTATCGTTGCAATTTATTGTCTTAGTTTTATATATTTTTAATTATTTTAATTAGACTCAACGTATTATATTTAAAAAAAAAAAACTAATCAGTGCGTTTATAAATAAATTAAAAGTAAAAAATTACGAGAAAACACAATCACTTAAAATTATAAGTATATTTAAAATTCTCGTTGATATAATTTTAAATTTTAAAATATAGTATTTATATTTTAACTATTTAATGACAATATTCCAATTAAAAAATAAACTCATCGTGATAACTAATGCAATCAATGTTTTCAATGATACATTTGCTATTTTTTTGGATTTTATTATCTTCTACCTTTAACGTTCAATTTAAATAGTTAATGTTAACAAAATTTTATTTAAAAATAAAATATTAATTGTACTTTTATATTTTTAAGTGACAAATATTTTTTAATATATCTTTTTCGTTTATTAATTTAAATTTGAAAGACAATTGAAATTGATACTAATAAAAAATAAAAAAATAAGTTAAATAAAAAGTAAAACAAGAGAAAACTACTTTTTTTCATAATTAGAGTATATTATAATAACTTAAATATCTTATATTATTCTATTATATATTTTTGAATTGAAATTATAAAACAAAAAAATATACTTAAAAATAAAACATTTTTACCGATTAAGGTGCATGGTTGAGAGATTAGAAGAATGTATAGTGTGGGGTGTGAAGCAGAACTAGAGAATGGAGAGGAGTAGCTATAAGATAGGGAGAGTTAATTAAAGTAAAACCTTTGCTTGAAAGGAACCTCTTGAGCAGTGCAGCGTATTGTAGTGTGGTGTTTTGGTTTTGGTTTTGGTTTTGGTTTTGGTTTTGGGTTTTGGAATGGGGCTTTGTTCCTTTACTTTGCCAATCTGCAACAGCGTGTGTCAGACTCAGAAGAACAACTTTGTATGTTTTACTTTACGCTAACGTGGTGAATGCTCCGCCTGGAACTGCGGAACTGTGACCCAAAAGCTCAAATCGGAAAGCGTATGATTCGTTTATATACCCCTCATGACGCATCCCTTCATACTCCTCTTCTTTGTCAGACTTCATTTATTCTTCCACTTCCTGCTTTAAATATCTTTAGCTTCACACATAATTTATCAGAATTAATATGCTACCAACATTTATTTAAATATAATTATAATATAGAACACAAAAACTGTACAGTAAGAAAACATGAAATACCAAAAAAATCTGAAATTAAAGAATTTAGATAAGCTTGCTTACTGGAACATGAGCGCCTGAAACTGAGAACGTGATGCGGATGACAGGTGCTGAAGTTGGCCAGCTAGCACTAGGCACCCCTCCCTGCCTCTGCAAACTCGGCGTTTAATTGCTCATTGCTCATACGCGAGAAAAGAGTGAGACCCGATTACACTTTTTTCATTTTAGAAGATCTGTGCATTCATATCATAAAATACAACACTCCCATTTCAATTTCTAAAAACCCTGATCTATTTCGGTATAGTTTAACCTCTTTTTTTCTTTTAGAGCATAAAAGGTATATTTTAAACTTTTTTTGTTAAAAGTTCATAAAGTATAAATGGGCTTCCAATGGCCGTTCACTGACATTTCCGCCTTGGACCCGGGCCCATATATTTAAGAGTACAAACTACATAGGATAAATGTCTTTGCAAAAAATCACAAAAGACGAAGATAGATCTCTTGTTAGGCAGCACAAGTGCACGACACAGCCTTTGAGTTTCGAATGTCGTATCAGCGGCCGAGTTTTATTTTTTGTGATCTTTCAGGATCTCCTTCACTCTGTTTCTTTTTTTTTTTTTACCTCTTTTTATAGTTGATTTTCAGAATAGTAGCGTCTTCTTTGAGCGAACACACTATCCCAAAACTATGTTTGTAGGAATGTTTTGCTCAAGTGTTTTTGTTTGCAACAGTAATTAACCGCAGAAAATTATATAATCATAATCGTAAGCATTTTCAGGGCATATGAATCTAAACATCATTTTACAACTGATTTCAAACCGGAAGCCTTATAAATGCACAGTTTAATGCATTATTACTCAATGCTGTATTAACAATTAATTTAGTAAAATTAGCTACACTAAAAATTGTATAAAATGTCAAGTTCACTAATTAATATGATAAGAAAATGTTAAAAGTAACTGTAATTTTTTCCAATAATAATGCCTAAAAATTTAAATTTCTGTTATTTTAAATTTATAATACCTAAAAAATGTTAATTGTAAAATTGGAATTTTAAACTAATCTCAACATTCACCGAATTTTTTTTTTAAAAAAAATCTCAAAACTGTAACCGTGTGCTTTCTATGAGAAACTGTACATTTTTTAATAAATAACTATGAATATATGAATTCATTCACACGAAGACAAGCCAATGGACATTTCAAATCCAACATTGCTGACTTTTTCCTATTCCTAGTAATTTAAATGGAAATATGAAAGGAAAAATAAGCTAGACATATAATGGATAAATAAACAAAGTGTGGTAGTACCAAACAATGTGATCCCTCAAATAGAAGTATTTTCTCGTACACGGTCATCGAGTCGATTGTGGATTAAAACTTGCCCTGCTCGAGCACTCCTATATTGAAGTCGCTGATGAAGTGTCTCAGACATCTGGTTGAAAAATTCAGCATCCCATCTATGAATCAATAATGGGTCTTCTGCATAGCAAATGTATATGGATGTAACAGCACTTTCCACCACAACCATTGCCAATCCAACCTGAATAATTACAAATTTTATGTCACATGTTCAACAATATACAGCTTGACCAATTCCCATAGTAAACACAAAACAGGAAAATAATACACAAGGGATGTCATCATTAATTTAGCTTTGTCGTACATGCCTAAAAAATTATTTTACTTTCATAGTCAACATCTAACAAGGAGTTAATATGATAAGCATGACATGCCATTATTATAACTCAATGTTTCTCACCATTTCAAGAGAATGAAAGTTCCCCCAGAAACAAACTTGAAGCAAGGAGATTGTAAACTTACCAGTACCATCCCCATCAGCATGGATGTGGATCCAATCATAATAACTCTGTCCCTCCATTTAATCCATGCCCAAACACCAGAGCAAGTTCCAGTTATCAGCCCACCAAAAACAGTGCCCATTAGAAGGACAGCACCTGAACAATCATAGGCCACAAGTGCTTCAACGCCAGTTGACTGGAACAACTCCCATGCATCTCTGGCAGAATGATTGAAGCTTTTACCATGAACAGCAATCTGTAAGCGACATGACCATGAAACATGCCAAAGTAAGTTTTCCAAGAACTAGTACATTCAACAATCTTCAACACAATTTGCCTATATGCTATATTTCAATTATAATAGAAAATAGACAAGTGTTTTTAATGATCCCAAATTTATAACACATCAATACTGGAATGTGCTTCATGCCGATGATTTAGCACAACAAGAAATGCAATGCTGAGTAGTAGCAGAGTGTAAATGTTTTCCTACGACATTCTAAATTTTAAAATTTTTCTTTATCAAAATTCAAGTAATAGTTGTTCTATTTATTCATTTTTTACTATAAGATACCAATGCTTGAAAGGATTCCATCCTCGATATTTAGCTACTTTAACATACCAATACTTGAAAGAAATTTAATTTTAACCATTAGAAAACACGCCGCAAAGAACCTAATTCCAGACACTTGTATCTATTCCTTCTTTATAATTACCAATTGTTAAATTAAATATATATCAACAATATCCCACACTTGATTGTCACATAGAAGATGCAATTTCTATCATAGAGGACTAGTTAATGATATGGAAACACAGAAGTGTACCTGAACATAGGCATATTTGTTAAAAAAACGAACAAGAGTCTCCACAATATGGAAAAGGAAATCAACACAGCAAAGCAAACACTCATTATTGCCAATCCTTGATCGAAATCCCCGTATCTGAAAGACATTTCAATTTTTTAACACAAGAAAAAACGAAAAGAAAAGCCTCCACAAATGAAAGAAATGAAGTTCAAATTGGTGACAAAAGGCCAATGAAAGGTTACCTCCCACCGCAGTGTCCTAATAGCAGCAGTAAATAATGAGCCATAACAAATGCTGCCAAAAGATGTTGTCAAAGCATACTGTAGAGATTTCATTAAGGAGTTAGCAGGAATTGAAGCTGCATCTCTACCGCCGTGAAAAAGAACAAGAAACACCATCCCAGACACTATAACATGTACAATATTACAGAGTACTGCACCTGTCCAAAATAAGCTTACAGAGAAAACCTGCAAGTATGAATTGCAATATCAGTGTAATCAGATGACGAAAGCTTCAGCAATCAGACGCCAAAACCGGTCCAAACAAGAACAGATAGAATAAAGAGCAAAACTTGCCAGCTCACCACAAGAAGCCACCAGCGTCCACCATCACCCATGCTTGAAGCCACAACACCCGCTGCCCCAAATGACCATAAGGCCATCCATAAGAGCACAACAACCATAAATGCATATGCCACTCTCATGACCTCAGGAAGATTCCAAACCATCTTCACAGCTTTTTGCAGAACCAACATTGTAAATGGAAGTCTGGAGAAGAAAAATAAAACAGCTGAAGCAAAATTAGAAAGTTCCAAACGTTAATCTGTGGATGCACGAAAGCATACATTGTACAACAAAAAACAATCTTGAAAAAATGAATATAACTGCTTATTTGCATTTCCAGGGAAGATAGACTTTTGAAAACATAGGGATTAGGTGGCAAACAAAGAGAGAATATAGTCAAACTAGGACATCGTATGGTAGTTATATTGTCCTACAGAATGTATACTCAGTCAAACCACCACTTCCATGAAGAAAACTTAATCTGGATGCATGGTTGACTTTTAGATAAACCGAAATACTCAGAATAACTAGCTATTCCAATCCCCTTTGCTGATATGAAAAAAAAAAAAAACACATTTTTCTTGTTCTAAAAGAACATTGAATTGATACCTGAATAACTAAAATATTGTGAAACAAAACACTAACCAAGCACTCTTGTTCATACTCACATTCAAGGTCAATGCCTGCCTACCACCGATATGATAAACTTCAAATAAGTAAAAAGAAAACAACTTAAATCCAATACAACATAAAACATGTAAAGGATAATTTCAAGCCAATACCTGTCTATGACGGATATGACATACAAGAACTGCAAAGCTGCTCCAATAGCAAAAGCAACCCCCCAAAAAATCTGCTCAGCCCAGAAACACAAAACACTGATGACAGCAAGATAAGTGGTGAGTATGTGAATAGAGAACTTCATCATTTGAGTAGCCTGGGAACCCAACAATAACAACCAACTCCATCCAAGAACAGTTCCAACTCCACCAGCAGCAGCATATAGGGGCCAATAAGTCTCTGTCAACCCGGCTTCATTCTCAGATAACCGAAAGGTGTACTTATCAATATTAAGTCTATTCTCTTTTTCAAACCTATTGAGCCCAAAAACCCCCAGAAGGAATCCCAGGCCAACCAAATGAATCACAAATATTCCTAACCAAAAAACATCATGCCACCGCCGCGATTGGTCCGCCGCCGCGACTTCGCCGCTTCTCCGACTACGGGCTGCATTCTGTATCCACATAAACAACCCAATTCAGAAAATTCAATTTTATTGCTCACTCTTCAACGGAATCCATAACCATCAGGCAGAACAAAATAAGTAAAAACAATGAAAAAACAAAAGGTGATATTTTTAACATTGGAGTGTAATTGGGGCACCCAAGCAAATCAAAACCATACGAAAATTGATGGTCTTTTGCCATATGAGTGTAACTGGGGGGTATCCAGATAAACAAGATCACCCCTTTTTAAAAAAAGGTTGACTTTTTGACCCCTTGGAGAGTAACTAGACACCAAATAGAAGAACAAAATTAATAAAAATGATGAGGGAATACCCAGATAAAGAAAAATAGTGAAAGTGATTGATTGATTGGTATACCTGATCACCGGTGGCTATAGAAGCCAATTCAGAGGAGGAAGAGGAAGAGAAAGAGGTAGAATTCATGATTGGGAGCAATGAGGAAACATGGTGGTGTGTACATAGAAATAGAGAATTTGGTAAGAGAGTGGTAAACGTGAGGAATAAGGCGAAACCTACGAGAGAAGAAGGTCAATGGGTTGGGTGGGTGGATAATTTGTTTTGTTTATTTAGGGTTTTGAAATAGTAGTATTTATGTAAGAGAAAGAGATTGAATTGGTGGCTTTGTGAAAAAAAATGGAGAGAAAACTGAAAGTTAACGGCTAACAGAAGAATGGTCTTTGGTGTGCTTTTCGGTAGGCTTTATTAGACCAATCAGAGTGAAGCTCTCACGCGCTACTGTATGTTATCGTACATTCCTGTCATACTTTTAATAATGTTTGAATCAAAATCGGTGTCTTTGTTTTAATTACAGTTCGGTTTGAAATTAAGTCATTTTAAAAATATAATTTAAATGCGGTAATAGTGTAAATTTGTTATGTTATTGTTTGATCACAAGTTATTATAGGGATAAAAAATATTTTTTTATGATTATTATTTTAAAAGTAGGGTAATCTGTTTTGTGTGTGAAATTTTTTAATTGTAACGTATTAATAATGTATTAAAATTAAAGTCTAAATATATTTTAAAAATTAATGTCAGTGTTTTAATTCAATATAAGAGTTATTTTTTTAACTTACTTTCAAAATCTTATTTATGATGTGGTCGGGATATAAAGGAAAATAAAAAGGAAAAAATAGCGATTGAAAAACATATATAAAAATGTGTTTGTTTTTTTTTTTTTTTTTGCTAGAATAAAAATGTGTAATTTAGATGAATAAAAAATGCAAATCAGATGAAAAAAAAATATTAATTAAAACATTTATTTTTTATAAAAATGGACATTTAACAGCTTTCTTTATATGGTTTGATATTAATTTTATCAGGATTTATAAAAATATAATTTATTTAAATTTATATTTATTGAGATACATTTTTCTTATCAGAACAAAATTTTTATTATATTATTAATATTTATTTCAGATTATATTGAGATTTTTTATTATTAAAATTTATTTTATATTATTTATTTTCTATCATAATTTATATAATTAAAAGAGAATATTGTAAGAATATTTATTCAACATAGGAGTTTTTTTATTTTTTATTTGAACTCTCTTTTTTAAATTTTGTTTATGATGTGTATGAGTGTAAAGAAAAAAAAATTATTAAAATTGGAAGAAAACAAATATATATATATATATATATATAATTGTTATTCAAATAGATAAAAGTAATAAAAAATTTGAAAAAAAACTAATGATACGTTAAATTTTTTTTTTTTTTAAATTAGGAAACACTTTCTTTATTTCTTGAATAAAAATAATTGAATTTTATTAAGTCAACTTATAATTTATTAGTCACATTTTCATCTTGATTATGATCTCAATATACTTTCCTTAAATATTAAGATGATTAATTTGTCATTTCACATTATTATTACTCTCTTTTTCTAAATCAAACATAACTTTGAGAAAATAAAACAATTGATTGTACATCGATCATTGAGGACACATATAGTGCTTTTCTTAAATTATAGATTTAATTTTATATTAAAAATAAAAAAATTACTCATAATCTTTAAACGTGTTTATGTATTATTATTATTATTATTAAATTATTTTTTAATTTAAATTTTATTTTTTAAAAGATATTTTTATAATAAAAGATATTCGTGTCCACCTTACGAACAAAAGTTCAAACAATAAATTTATACTTTCACCAAAAATTCAATCCCCCTTAATTTGTTTACTGCACTTTTCCGCGTTACAAAGAAAGCCAAGTATGAGTTGCTCCCTATAAGCAATATTTTTTAAAAATATTATTGTGTGTGGTTAAAGTCCACGACTGTGATTGTCAACTCTACTCGCCCCAATAAGGTTAGAATCTACTAAATATCATCAACATAAAAAATTATAATATTAAATGATATGTTATAAAGTTGATTTATTAAAAGAGAAGATGCAGCGTAGACTGCCAGCAAAAAAATTTGATTATAATAATAACGAATATAATTGGCGTCATTCTATAAATAGGATTATTTAGGTGTTATCGTGTCTGTCATGCTAAAACGGGGTCAAAACAATTGGAAAGAAGCTTCTTACATGCATACATATTAATATTTTTTCTTCTTTTTCCAAATATAATTTATGAGTGACATGCACACTCTACCTATATTTACTTATCTTATTTTTTCGTTTTACTTTATTTTACTAATAAAAATTTAATTAGGGACGGACCTGTGTTTTGCAATGTGTGAGTACGTGCTTTCGCTTAATTTCAAAATTTTTCAATACTATTATCACTCCGTTTAAATTTTATAGTCTTTAATTTTTATTTTAATATGTTTCTTTATTAACCTTTATATCATAGATAAGCCAGTTTTATCTTAAAAGCGGGATATTTAATAAAATTATTCTATTTCAGTATTAGTCGTATATATTCTTTAGAATTAAAATTAATAAAAAACAATGTGTTGATTAGTCTAGTTTTATAAAATTTTAATTTTAATTATATATATGTATATATATATATATATATATATACTATTTTTAAAAAAATACTTGTTCATCACACATACTATTTACTAGTTTATTTCAAATGAGAAGTATTATCCCGTTTCCATTTCTCAGATTTTGTAACTCTTTCACTAATATGAAAGAAAAAAACAAAATAATGGGAGGAGACGTGGGCGTCAATGAGATGGGTGTAGATAATGTTTTCTGCAGCATATAATCTGTAATAGTTTTATAACAAACACATATTTGAAGAATGCAAAGGAAAGATCGCACAGTCAAATTATACAGTTTTTCAGTTGACTGCAAAGCTTGTTAATATGATAAGAAATTTATTTGTTTATTCTGTCTTGATTTATAGAGTGAGAAAGTTCTTAAGAAGAAACAAATTGTCCTGTTTAGGACAGGAGTTTGCATTTAAATGTATAATAAGTTGTGCTTTTCTCTCCAGCACATATTCGAAGATTCAATTGATGATATCTAAGACAAATATCACATGATACAGTCATAAAATTACATTATAATTTAGTTTAAAATATTTTAAATAAAGTTTTAAAGTTTATCTGATCTGATTTAATTCAAAATGGTGTAAATTGGATGATTTTTTTAATAATTTATAACACAGTATCAAAGCCGTATCACAAACACCGCTAAACAATCTATGACTTTCTCACCTCAATTGCCTCTAAATTTGTCAAGTGTCTTTCTATAACTGGAAGGTTATTGAATCATTATGTTGGTGGAAACGGGTTGGAAGATCAACACATCACGTAGCTATTGCAAATTTACATGCATGTGTATAATAGTGAAGAGTTTTATAGAACAATATTAAAAGTTTAAAATACTTTAATTTTATTTTCAAACTCTTAGCAAGTGTTTAAAGTGCTGTTGTTCGGATTTGTGTAAAACCAAATAATTAGGAGAGTGGGACCAACACAAGCACCTCACTATGTTGGCATGTTGCATATTTACGACCAAGAGAAAGAGGGTATTTTTGTTGTCATTAGATATAGTGGGGTTGAGTCCCTTTTTATTAGAACTAGGTTTATGGGTTTTGTGTCTACACCTCAGAGCAACTTCCTGGGTGGATCATCTTCATACTCTTATTTTAACTACTTTTGTTGGAGGGGCTGCTTGGGTTTGGTTTTGATTTGTTTGGAAAACAAAATGTTGGCCCACTAGTACTTTTGACTTTTGTTTCTTGGATTGTTTGAAGTTATCCAATTGATTACCCAACAGAAACATGGCCCAAAAAGATCAACAACGTTAACCCAAAAAGAAATATAAACAAAAAAAGAAAAAGACAAACTTGTATAATCTAGTAGTAAATTGTTTACAAGTACTTATTAAAGAGTTAACCAAAACGAGTTATTAATAAATAATTAAGAGAAACCTATTAGGCTATTAACTAATAGTAAGATTGTTGTCTTATCTATAGTTATTCAGTCTTGAAATTTTTTTATTAAAAGTTATAAACATTCAATACAATTTAATGCATTAACATTATTAAATACTACAACTTTTTATAAACATTTGCACGTGTTAAAAAAAATCATACTTTTATTAATCAGAAACGTATTTTATCCAACTAATACTTGAAATTAATTATAATTTCACATAATCATCTATGCAAGCTCTGACTTTCTCGGCAGAGACAAACAAAGTTGGGAATATTAATTTCTAAAAGCTATGCCTCTCTTTCACTCAAAGGTCACAAATGGTCGTATGCATAAGGTTGTTTGCTTCACGATTTAACTTAAGATTATCCAATTACATCATCGTAAGTCCATCTTTGTGAATCGATTTAATGGCACTGATTTTTCAAATATAATAATAATTATTAAAGCTATAAGTTGTTTGCATGTACTAGTTATTGTCAAACTTTACAATTATTATTAATATAAAAAAGGAAGAAGCTATCAAAATGGTTAACACAGCCAGCTTCCATAAACTGTTTTATTATTCAAACTGAGAGCGTTTTTTTTGGGTTAATCTGATTCTGACAGCTTGAAAACTACTACTCCGCACCCCTCCACCCACGAGGAATCAATCAAAGTATGTAAAGTTTCAGGTGAATATTATCCAATATTTTGTTGGTAGCACAACACTGTTAAATGTAAAAGTTACTTTATTAATTTATTATACTTATAAAGTTAAAAGGGTAGTTAAAACTTAAAAGCGGCCATAAAAAAAGTATTGTTAAAAGCAAGGGTAACAGATTTATTTTTTTTATAATTTTGATAACATTTTAGAAATTATGTTTTAATGAATTAAATAATATCTTTCGCTTAAAATTAGAAACACAAACGAAATCTTAAACAAAATGGAAGAAAGTAAAATAAAGGCAATTATAAAAGGACAAGCATCTTTCATTTTTGTGATGCTTCTATTTATCCTGATTCCGAGGGAGGGAATTGAATCCCATGCTCTGAATAAAATATTAATTTTTTTAAGGAAAAAGAATCCACGCGCTCACACGCGCAGTCTCAGTCTGAGTATATGTCTACCCTCCAATGTTCGTCGATGACTCTCACTTGAACGAAGACGCACACACCTTTTAGCTCTCTCTCTCTCTCTCTCTCTCCCCCTCTCTTTGTCCTTTTTCTGGGTTCAGCCAATATGAGCTCAATCGTTCAGGTTCTTCCGCTTTCAACTTTCAATCCAATAAGAGATTTCCCTTTTTACTTTTCTGTTATTGGATTTGCTTCTTTTGTGTTGACGTCAATCCTTTTGTTTTTTTGTTTTCTTTTTTTTTTTTATTAGGGTTTCACTAAGTCACTGGCCATGACCATTCTCTCTGAGATCGGTGACAAAACTTTTTTTGCAGCTGCGGTTAGTGCAATTTTTTTAAAAAAATATTTCCGTTCTTTATCTGTCGAATTCGTTTATAGATCGTGTTATTGGGTGCTCCATATTAATGGGTCGGGTTATGTGGGCCAGCGTGTCTGAGCGATTAGAGTGATGTTCTGCACTGAAACTGTCTGAGATATAGCCTTGTTTGTTTCTTTGTTTTTCTCTTAAATAATTTTTTGTATGTTTGTCTATTGGTTGAAATTTGACCATGGAACTACACTAGTAGTTGAAGTTATTTTATTTTAATGCATTTTATTGAGAATTTGGAAATCTGTATTTTGTTGCGTTTCCTGATTGGAGACGTGTTTAGTGTTATTTATTCTTCATTGCATAGTTCTTGACTAAAAAGAAAGGACCTTAATAATTTTCTTTGTGGTCTTGAGAGTAGAAATCGAAAATTCTGACTGTTTGATGTTATGATGCTTGTTTCAAGATACTGGCCATGCGACACCCCAGACGTCTTGTCTTGGCAGGTTGCCTATCGGCTTTGATTGTAAGAATCTTTCTTTTTCCTCCATTTTTGCTTCATTATACTTATTTTAAAGACATGACTATTTGCTCTTTATATGATGTAGTTAATTTTTTATGTCCAATTTTTGAGTCTCATAGCTCCTGGTAAATTTTGAAAATTCTAGGTGATGACCATTCTTTCTGCCCTTGTTGGCTGGGCTGCTCCAAATCTGGTCAGCATTCTGTGTTGCTTGTATAACTTCACAATTCTCATCATTATTTGTTTTTTTCTCTTTGATCCGTAAGACGTGCTATCATACCATTAATCAATATGTTACATGTATTTGTTGTCTAACTTTTGTTTGGCTATATTACTCTTTCTTTTTTTTACTTGATTTTTTACCTTAGTGAACTTCATGTAATTCTGTAGATATCTCGAAAATGGACTCATCACATTACAACATTGTTATTCTTGGGGTTTGGACTTTGGTCATTGAAAGACGCAATATTTGAAGAAGGGTGATTATTATCTATTGCTCACATCAACTTGCTAATCCTTTCCAATCCCTTCTGAACAGAGACTTTTGTACTCGTGCTTAATGATTTTCTTCGATGGACAGGGATACAGAAGAATTGGCTGAAGTTGAAGCTAAATTGGTTGGTTTTCCGCATCTATTTTATTTCTTAATTTAGGTCAAAACTTTTATTTTCTTCTTGACAGCACCCTTGTGTTGTGATTAGGATAAAGATTGGAAGGGTAAAAATGGAGCTACAAAAGATAGCAAAAAGGTAAAACAATACTTGTCTAATACCTCTTTTGTTGTCTTCATCTTCTGTCTATCCCCATGTCATAATACTCTTGATTTGAGCATGCATTGAGGTTCAAGTCAGGGACTCAGGTTTTAAGACCATCCATGGTCATTATATTTATGGACACTTGTGGGTAAGCATATGATGATTAAGCACCTATGTTATAAGCTCTTAATCAATGATAACTTATTCATAAGTTTGACTATGAAACTTATTAAACTAAGCTAAAAAGAGTTTGTTTTGATATGCTTTTCCGTGAAACTTATTGAAATAAGAAGAGCTTATTAGAAGGTTATATACTATTTTCATAAACTCAAATAAGTTCTTCCACATGCCCCTGTACATGTTTTTTTAATATAAGATTTTTGGTTTACTCTGTATGATTACAAGTGGTTAAGAGATCCTTGTAGTAAATATTCTTACAACTACTACAACAGAAGACAGAGAGTTTCTTAATAACTAGATTGCAAATAAATTGCTCTATGAATATTCAAACATTGAATAAGGCACTTAATATCTTGTAGGCAAAGCTTTAATAGCAAAATTTAGAATTGTGTGACTCCGGATTTGAGAACTGGAATGAGAATTTTGCAACTTATTTCCAGTAACTAATTGATTATGATATTGTAATAAAACAGAATGCTCAGACTCTAGATTTGTTTCCTAACACTGTATATACTTCATGTGTCTCATTTCACAGGGTGATGATGCCACAAAAAAGTATAAACGGTCATATTTATCTCAGTTATTTTCTCCTATCTTTTTACAGGTAATAAATTAATAGCATCTCAATAAAGTATTTGAATGAACACTGAACTAAGTTAAATTTGATCTCCTTTATCATCTCTTTTCTGCAGGCATTTTCTATCACTTTTTTTGGTGAATGGGGTGACAAGAGCCAGGTGAGCATACTGCAAAAGCTCCATGAATCTGCTTCATTACTTCACTAATTATAATTACTAATCAAAGCTTTTTTTCTGTTTCAGCTGGCTACCATTGGTTTGGCTGCAGATGAGAACCCATTTGGTGTGGTTCTGGGAGGGATTCTGTAAGTTTTGATTGTTAATTTTTCTTTCTCTATTTTGGTGTCAACCTATTTCCTTTGAGCTTTGACTGTTTTTCCTTTGGTTGAACATGATGGCATATGTTATTTCAGTATTTATTTTTGCTGTAATTGTGCATACATGTGTATGTACCTTGCAAATGTGCAGTGTCTGTCTGGAGGCATAAATATGTAGGATGTGTCACATGCCTAGGGTCCTGCAGTTTAGGAGGAAAGGAGTGTAATTCTTAATTGCTTTTCACAGGGGACAAGCATTGTGTACTTCTGCTGCTGTTGTTGGAGGGAAGAGTTTAGCTTCTCAGATATCTGAAAAAATCGTAACAATTTCTATTCCTTTTTTATTTTCACTGCTTCTTGTTCATCTGTTTTTCCCCCTTTGGCATTTTGTTAACATTTTTTCAAATTCAAATTTCCATATCTTAAAATGTTCTCATGCATTAAGTTTAAATAATTTCAAAATTAGTTTCAGACCACCGGCAACAGTGGGAGTTAATGAAAACATAGTATATAATAATTAATGTTAAAAGGTGTTAGAATGATGAAGAGGATGCATATATGTGAACAAAAATTACATTACAATCATGAGTTAGTAGAACACTTTTTGGGATTATATTACTGGTATGCAATTAAGCTTAGCGTGTGTATTATCTAAATGTTGCACTCAATGCTTTGCAGGTTGCTCTCTCAGGTGGAATTCTTTTCATTGTTTTTGGAATTCAGTCGTTCCTTGCTCCTTTCGAATCATGAGGGTTGTGCTATTGGTTAGTGATTATTCTCACTGCACTGTTCACAACATTTGTTTGACAAATATGTTATTATGGTTGAGGTTGGCTGCCCAAAGAGCTCAGCTTCATGCCTTTTCCATCCACCCTGGGTCAAAGATTTAATTCTTTTACCCTTTTATGGTTCAAAATAAAGTTAGCATTGTAGAACCTGAGCCAAATTCAATATATAAAGTTAGTTTGAGTGGATTGTTCTTTTTAAATACATGCCTACACTTAATCGCTTATTATTTTCCTCCCTCCATCTGTTTAATCCATGCTTAAATTTCCAATGTTTTATTTGCTGGAGGAATATAAAGGACCAGTTATAAAAAAACCTTTTTAGTTTCCAAGGTTGCTTTATTGATGTGCCCTGGGAAGCTGTCTAACTTGGTAACTGCGAGAATCCCTGCATCTTGGAGGAAGTAATAAAACAAGAAGGATAGGAAGGAAGGTGGGTAGGAGAGGAAAACCAAGCTTGCTTGTATACCCTCTTCAGCTTGTATGCATCATCAATGTTTACACTGTTGAATCAATGCTCTTGGGGTGACCTTTCTGTCCTTGCTTGTGTAGAGTGGATGAAAAGCCTTTTCTTCATTGGTGTATAAAAGTTAAAAGTGAGATTGATAGGAGCCATTAAATGCCATGTTACAACGTACTGTGTACCCAATTCGGGTGCACTAAAGAATGTACAACAATCTCTTCTTGCAAAGTGAGATTCACAAGAAGTTTCGTTCGTGTCCCTAACGAATCTGATCTTTAGTTTGGAACTACTTAGTGTCGATTTCCTTTGTACAACAGTACAAGCCTTGGTTTACCCCGCCTAAAATACTAAAATGGAAATTCTAGCTGGTCAGCATAAAGTTTGTGACAGTGATTCTTTTATATTAGTATTCGTCAATAAAGTGTTTTTTTCCCCCTAAAGAAGCCAAATCCAGCTTTTTGGATGTCTCAGGACACTTAATTCGAGTCATCTTTATGTAGAAAGTGTGAATTTATTTTAACATAATAAATTATAGTTTTCAGGTTAAAATGTGATTTTATGGAGTTTTTAAAAATGCACTTAATGGACAAAAGCAAGCCCTCTCAAGTTAATACGCAAAGGAGGATGAACTTGGTTCGAATAACGCTTATCACGACCTGATATTTTGGTTGATTTGGTTGCAACCAATGCTGATAGGATCAGTGTCATACTTTTAAATTTAAGGCGCGCTTCATTCAAGTTTCTGTTTTAAAGAGTTTTTTTTTTTTTTTCTATTTTAAGAGTTAAAAAAATATTTTCAAAACAATGATGAATAGGCTTGGGAATATATCTAATTTTGGGTAAATTTTGCTTGGTATGATGTCACATAGTATTTGAAATATGTGTATATTTTTTTTAAAAGTTAGGCTTTTCTTTAACATAAAGATGATTTTTTCAGGATTATGCATACACACTAGAAACGATGGCTTAAAGAAAAATTATATTCTCGCAGCTAATTTTAAAATAAGACAATAAAAAGAGATGACATAAATAGCAAACCAAACGTAAGAATTAAATAACCTTGTTGGTCACCTAATTAAAATGAATTACGAAAATTAAAAAGAATGATGATAGAAATTGAGTTGAATGAATGCGATTGGAGCTAAACGAAGATAAAGAAAAAGAAAAGTCTTTGGAAAAGAAGATTTGGGAGAAGGTGCGTGAACGGAAACCCAACATGTATTGTGTGGTGGGGAGGAGCCTCTCACCAAACCAAACCAGAAGATACCTCAAAATGGTTGTGGCCTCTCCCTCGAATGTAAAATCCCACATAACAGAAGATACCTCAGAATCTTCTATTTTCTCTCTCTTCTCTTATTTATCTTTCGACAATAATAACAACACACATAACAGAAAAACGGAAGAAAAGAAAGAGAATGAGAGCGCTTAACTCGTCCCACGTGGTTCTCATAGATCTTCACTACCACCACGTTCCCTCCTCAACTCTCGCTTACCTCAAAAACTCTCATTTCATATCCTCTCTCCGTCGCTCTCGAACCAACCCAATTCGATGTTCCGTCTCGCCCGCGATTCGCCGTCCCTCCGATCGCTTCCATTCCGGAAATGCCTCTTCGCCGTCCACTTCCCGCCCCGAAGCTGCAACGGAGCTCAACCTCTTTCTGGAATTGCTCCCTCTCAAGATGCGAAGGGAATTGTATCGCCATCGCGAAATTGGAGGCCTCATAGAGGTCGTCATGGATTTAGGTAGAAAACCTCTCGCCAGGTTCCCTTCCGGTGACTGGATCATCTCCGAACAACCAATTAAGCACGAAGATTTACGCCACGCCATTTCCAAGGTATTTGGAGTTTGTTTTCATCATGTTTGTTTAGTTTGGTGGTGATGAGATTACTGATGTGTTGATGAATCGGTGGTTGTTTTAGGTTGGTGAGTTTTCTGATGATAACCGATCGGGTATTGATAGGTCTTTGCATCGGATAAGTGCGATTCGGAATCGTAAAATGCAAATCATTGGGCTTACTTGTCGAGTGGGTAGAGCCGTGAGTGGCAGTGCTGAAATCATACGTGATTTGGTTGAGGATGGAGGTTCTATATTGGTTATTGGACCTCCTGGAGTGGGTAAAACTACTCTGATTAGGTAAACATTTTCGGTAGCTGAATGCATTGCAGTTGTGCTCTCTGATTGTTCATGAAGGTGGTTTGTCTTGCTAATGCCCGTAGAAATCTGTATTTTTTCTTTTATTTACTTTTAGTTTTAATTTATGTATTTGTTAAGTGTAGACACACAAAAAAGGGGGCTTTTTAAGTTCTGTGAATGGCTAAATAGGTTGATTATTATTGGCCAACTAAAGTTTATTTAGACATCTTTAGCCGTTGTTTTTTCAGCTGCCTTTTACTTGATTTGCGTGTCTGAAGATTGAGGAAGCTGTGTTTGTGCAGAGAGATTGCTAGGATGCTGGCAGATGAGTTCAGGAAGCGTGTTGTGATAGTGGATACGTCCAATGAAATTGGAGGTGATGGAGATGTTCCTCATGAAGGCATAGGCAGGGCAAGGCGGATGCAAGTTCCAAACGTAAACATGCAGCATCATGTTCGTACTTATCTCTGTTGTTTGGCTTAGTTGATTACTTCATTTCTATGGAAAAAGCTTCGATACTTTGCAATCTTCTGTCACACCGTTTTTGTTAATTTGTGCAGGTTATGATTGAAGCAGTTGAAAATCATATGCCTGAAACCATTATAATTGATGAAATTGGAACTGAGCTTGAAGCATTGGCAGCCAGTACCATTGCTCAAAGAGGAGTTCAATTGGTTGGAACGGCACATGGAACATCCATTGAAAACATAATAAAAAATCCCTATCTTCAGATTCTTGTTGGTGGCATAGAGGTGCAGAGTTGCTCTTTTTATTTTCCTTTCACTTTTATTTATGTGATTAAAATAAATACTTTATCCTCTTCTTTCAAAGAGTGAATTGATTCAAAATTTCAGAACCATCTACAAATGCATGAGCATAGTGCTTGCCCATATTAGTGAATATTTTTTGAACATTTCTTTAATAGAGCGTAACCCTTGGGGATGAGGAAGCCAGGAAAAGGAAAGTGCAGAAGACAATTCTTGAAAGGAAAGGACCTCCTACATTTACATCCGCTGTTGAGATGATATCTAAAACTGAATGCCGTGTTCATCATAGATTAGATGCAACTGTGGATGCCATTTTGGCAGGTATAACTAGCATTCTATAATGGAGTATTTCAATTAATATCAGATTGAAATAGTATTTGCATAGTTGTCTAGATTGGAGTTTAATTAGAAAATCTCCTTCATTACAGGTAAACCTCCATTATTTGAAATCCGACAATGGGATGATTATGCCAGTGATTTGGTCAAATATGCTCCAGTGCCTGAAAAAGATCATGAAGAACCATCTGATTTAACTAACAATAATAATATCATGGGCTCTGACATAGAACCTGGTAAGGTTGATAAAGACCATCCTCGTACTTGGTCGAAGAAGTGGAGTACTAGTGAATCTGTGATCAAGAGGAGTTCACCAATGCAAGTTTATACTTACAAGGTAAATTGTTTGACGTTGCACGTGCTAGGTATTGAATGATGGGCATGTTATCAGGATTCAGGAGCTTCAATAGTTGTCTCATTTTCCTTGTTGCACGAAATTGAATTTCGTACTTGAAAGAATAAATTGCCCAAAACTTTTATTGTTTTTTACCCATTAATCGGGCACTGTTTTCTTGTTGAATGAGTTTAGATTCTTGAAGCTGATCTACTACAAGTGGCAAAAGTAATGGGTCTGGAAGATGTAATAGATTTGACCGATGACATTGGAACTGCTGATGCAATTCTAGCAACCAGTTCTGAGATACGTCAAAACCCGTGGATCCGTGGTGTGGCCAAATTCCACCGCTTGCCTGTTTTTGTCATCAAGGTGCCCTGATGTTCCCCGTTTAGCCATTCCTTCAATGTAGTCTCCTTGCGTCTTACAATGATTTTTTGTTTCTTTCAGTCCAATACCATGGCGCAAATGGTCAAGGCAGTGCGTATGATCCTTGGGCTAGACTCCATTGACTCTACACCAAAGAAGCCATTAAACGACTCTCTGGATATTGAAATTGAGGATGATGAACCGAAACGAAAGCCGTCTCTGGAAGAGATTGATGCGTTGGAGGTATGCCATGAACATATATTTAATTGGTATCTGATTTCTCCTCTTGAAGTTCCATCCTGTTATGGAATTAAAACATGCAGTGTACTAGCTGTTCATGACTTCCGAAAGATGACTTTTTCTTCTTTACACGCTTGGCTATATTAAATTAGTTCCTTCAAATGGGAAATAGATAGGTGCCCTCCTAGAGGTTATCTATGATATTCTCTGTTACTTGTTTCTCTATTTCATGTTTACCTGCACTGCAGTGATTTTTCTATCTGATTTTATGCTTGAAAGGCCTTTGCTGTGATTTATTACATTCATTGGTATTGAGGGCAAGTGATAGGATCCCGAATTTAAGAAGAAAATATTGAGACTAGCTCCTTAGAGTAGAGATGGGCATCTAGAATTCCACCAAATAGAAAATAAAAGATAAGAGACCATAAAAATTCTCCAAATACTCGTTGAATAATTGCCTACCTCTTCGCTATCTACTCTTCCCACACATATCCCCACTCACCCCCTCTCCGAATTCTCCTTTTACCCTTGGTCCAAACTGCTTTTCCTTTTTGATCTATCCCCCATTATACATCTAATTATTTAAGGGTCTGTTAGCAAACATTGGCATAACAGTAAGGTTGTCTGCCTTCTTGAAGGTCACGATTTGAATCTTGGAAATAGCCTCTCCACTTGCAAGAGTGAAACCGTGTATTAAACAATTTGGTGGAACCCTCGCTCGCCCTCATATATTAAACAAATGTGTTTGACTTAAAGAAAACCTTGAGTATTATATCTAATATATTTAATTTTAACATTATTCTAAAAATTTCTTGTACGTGTCTGGCAGGAGGTCCGGCTTGCAATAGAGTACATAGTGATTCCTGGTGGAGAGCCTGTGGAACTTCTTCCTAGACGTTCTGAAATTATTGCTCGGCAGCTTGAACTTGTGCAAAGTTATCAGTTGGCTGCTGAAAATTCAGGTACCGAACAAAACCCCAGGTTGCAGATTCTTCCCTTGAGGCTGAATCCCAAAAAACCCTCTAAATCTAGTTCTGTTGCCCGCAAGAAAACTACTGATGATGGCGGCAATGGTACCACTGTTACCAGGCTTCCTATTTTGCCCGAATGATTAAAATTATTCTCCGATTCTAACATATTTTCACTTCACTGGTTTGTACATGAAACATGTACAGTCATGCAAGTGGTGTAAATAATTTATTTAATGTCAAAGAGCTTGTAGCTCAATTGGGGTGTGGTGACATTTTTGACGGAAGTTTGATCCTCCGCCAAGCTACCCATTCCTGTACCTAGTCCTTGTATCTCCATTATATATAAACAAATTCATCAACAGACAATGCAATGATTTTAAGCGTGACAAATTTAAAACGGTGTACATATATTAGTACTCATGTTGTCTTATAAAATCAGTTAAAAAACATGTCCTCTAAAATTATCTTTATCTTACTTTTTATTTTTGCATATACTTAACCCAAAAGTACACTGAAAAATAAAAAGGATAACTTTAAAAGTTGTTCAAAATATATTTCCAAAAGATAAGCAACCATTGCATAGTAAATCGTTGTTTTAAAGTTTTTAATGCAAAAAAAGGGTTGCATTAGAAAGAAAGTTGCTTGTATAAGCAACTACAAGCAATTATCGCATATCAGAAAAAAGAGACATATATACATGAATTTGGAGTTGGACAAAATTATGCAAATTTTTTCCAGGATGCCCTTAGATATTAAAAAAAAAAAAAAAAACTCTTTGAAAACTGCCAAACCTCTTGTCAACTCGCCTCACCAACAGAGTTTTTAATCTTTTGTTCACTGGAGATTTCGACAGCAATTTTGTTACTTAACAAACATGGAATTTGTTGGTGAACCTAGATTGTCTTTCACCAAATGTTCATACTATCATGGTAAACATCTTAACCAGATATAGATTTCTATGGAGTTTGCGTTCCAATTTGGGCTTCAACAATCCTTACTATTTGTTATCACCATGTGCCTTTATAAAAGGTTCGGAAATATTTTTAATGACTAAAAATAGCTTTAAAATACGATGAAGTAGTAAAAAGGTCTTTAAAATCAAAATCAACGATTTTACCTAATTAGGGAGTTCTTTCAAAACGCTGGACAAGAAATCCCAAGTAAAGAGAAGACAACTCTACCCCAAATTCAAGGCGAGTAGAGCCTTGCAAACCTAACATTTCAGTACTAACAAAAAACCAAGCGGCGCCGCTTGCTGCTACGAACACCAATAACTTACAAGATAAAACTTATTCGTCGTTTAAGTTGACAAAAAGAAAAAGGGGAAGCGGTGAAATTCAGGAATATTTTTTATATATGAAATTTAAAAATCATATATGAATGTTTTTTCAAATATTATGAAAAATATGAAGTTAAAGAGATTATAAAAAATTATAAAATTTCAAAAATTGTCCGTTACAATTTTTCACAAAAATGTTAAAAATTATAAAAAGTCAGAACTCGTGGATGATAATATTTTTTAAAGATAATAAAAAATTTAAAAATAAAAAATACTAGTAATAATTTTTAGAAAATAATAAAAAATTTTAAAGTACCAAAAAATCGTCATAATAATTTTGGAAAAAATTTATATTTTTGTATTTCTTTTGTAAAATACCATATTTTAATATTTATTTATTTATTTTCCATATATATAAAAAAAAGAGCCTGAAATTCATGGAGTTGTAGATATAACATATTTTTTCTCAACTGGATTTGGTTTTTGTGCAATATATATAAATTTATAAAATATTTCATATTTTATTATTATACTGTAATTTATTTATATTATATTTCTAATAATATTTTTTTTATTTTCGTTAAGTGTATATTTAATAAAAAAAATTTATAACTTACTTAAAAAATATTAAAATAAAAATAAATAAAATAATGAATTAAAATAATTTTAAAGAATAAAAAATGTTATGCAACACTTTTAGTTTAACTTTAACAAATTTAGACCAAAAAACTAACTTTAACGATATAGATAAATAGATTCTCATTTCGCTTGTACCAAATAAGAATTTTCAAAATTATTAACAAAGAAAATGAAATTTGATTAACTGGAAATTTTTATTACAACATAAAATATATCAATAAAAGACTCTTCTTAAAACATTTTTATTTATTGATAATTCTTTAAAAAATATATAAAACTATGTGAATTCTATTCCTAATTTAATAAATTTTATTCATAATCTTATAAATTTTAATAACAAATAGATAATGTGTCAAAAAAATATTATTAGCCGTTCTTTCTTTACTGCATTTTATAAATATCATAAACGACCATGCATTTTCAAGCACATCTTCTTTCTGTGACCTTTCTTTTAAAAAAATTTAAATAACTTTTATAAGAGCTAATTTATTAAAGTCATACTATATAGTATTTATATCATTTACACAGCCACAAATACTAGAATTTGGCTAAGAAATTTTAATAATTTACATGAAATTGTAATTTTAAAGTCATAAATTCAAATTTCATTAAAAGATATAAGAAGTACAATTAAGCCCAAAAAAAAAAAAAAAAAAAGGCACCGCTCACGAGTTAAAACTTAAAACCGAGGAGATTTTTTTTAGGTGCAGTTGGAAGCGTTGTTCTTCAATACTCCACGAACCTTCAACTTCGAGGGTTTCCTTCAAAACCCTAAAATTTCCGAGTAATTTCCACAACTACTCTTTCGTTAGTATCCTAAAATTCAACTTCGAGAAGATTTGTTTCTCTGTTCTATTGATTAATTGATTTTGCAATTGTTGGCATTTGGATTTCGATAGCTTGGGATTGAGCGAGATTGAGAGTGAGTGATGGCTGCAAAGGAAGAGAATCGAATATTTGTGGGAGGGTTGTCCTGGGACGTTACGGAGCGTCAGCTCGAGCATGCCTTTGGCCGTTACGGCAAAATTCTTGAATGCCAGGTACCACCTTTCTCTTCCAACCTCTTCACACTTTTTCCATTTCACAGAATAATGCAACACATTTTGAAAAAAAATGGTAATTTAGTGTGAAAAGTGTTTTTTTTAATGGCCTTGGTAATGTTAGATTTGCAGCAATGTATTATTATTTTTAGAATTAGAATTAAAAGCGGAAGGGAATATTTCCTCTTTGACGTTTTCATTGAACCTAATTGCTTATTTTAAAAAACAACCACGAAAACATTTTTTGTTGTTTTGGAGTGATTTCTATTGTTATAGCCCCTTTTCCGTGCTGTTGAGGTCTACTTGTAGTTGAGGATAGGGGAGGTAGTAGTCTTAGTTTTGGCTCAGCTTACTTCTCCGGAAACGCATCTTTTTTTCTTTTTTTTTATCATTTGTTTTCTGGTTGAAGATTATTTTATGATAGGGTTGTCTACTAATTATTTTCTTCTGTTTTCCTTGTCTTTCTGGAATGCCGGTTGTAAATCTTGTGATCTTTGAAATGCTGTAGATGGAATTTTTAAAAGATCTTTTACCAGAGTGATTTCTGCTTGACTGAAGCTCATTTTCAATTTTCTGATAAAATGATAGCTTGTGGTAACTATAGAGCTCAAGATGGAGATTAGCATGACTTGGATATGTGGATTTTGGTGCAAGGAAATTAATTAAGAAAATATCAGTCTGACTTATCTGCTATTTGGCAGAGAGATTTCTTGTCTTTGCTGTGCTTATGATTCATTAGTATTCAGCTGTATGATTGCGCTGGCAACTGGACAACAGTTAATACCATGGAGTGCATTTTCGAGTACCTTTTTTTTCATACCTGTTTAACGGATCTATGCCCTGATTTTGTGGTTAATGAAATGAGAAGTATATGGCACTTGTTTGACTGAGTTACACATAATTCCTTTGGGTGAAGGAAATTTCCCCCGTCCAAAGTATAGATACATAAGAAACCATGCCTTGTTATGTATATTGGCTTTCTTCCTGTTATAGTAGTAAATCTATTACCCAATGGTGAAAGTTACTATTGAGATATATGAGAAGCTTCTTATGCTGGACATTCCTTCTTTTGCTTCTGGCTCTAGATAAATTATTGTCTGACATAATTGTACGAAGTTAGAAAAAGGACATTAAGACTGCTATCTCACATGATGCCTTTTCAAATCTTTTGTCCCTTCATATATTGATATGTTATGAACATTGCTTATACCTGTTTCTTTAGATGTAGAGGCATGGACAATGGACGTGCCATATTATGAACTGACCATACATGTGGTAAAGGTGGCATTTCTAGTGGTCCTGAAATTTGGAAAAGTTCAGATACATTATACGTAATGCAGTTTCTGAGGAAGAAAATAGTGTACTCTGTCTTTATATGGAAATGAGAATTCCCTCACTAACTAATATGCTGTTCCTTTCAGATATAGATAGGACCATTTCAGTGGCTGTGATTGTGTGGTGCTCAGTAGATCAGTTAAAGTGTTAAGTGAGTTGAAGAAGTTTTGCATGTTTGCTTTAGTTGCACAATCCAATTTTGCTGCACCTTTGGCAGTTTTTGATAGTTTTCTCCGAGCAATGTAAAGGTCAGTTGTTTGGACTTTGGACATTGTTTTGTGTCTGGTCGATGTCATGGCCATTGTAACATGTACTTGTAAGAATCCAAACTGCGTGAGTAAGATACGACTCTATGCTTCCAACACCAAGTTCTGCATCATTACAGATCCTGTGAGTACTTCAGTGCTGCAGAGCTCAAAAATTTTCAAGTCTTAAGCATTAGCTTCATAGACAATTGCTGCTCTGCTCAGATAGTGGGTTCCTGTCTTCATGATGAGATACTGTATCTCTCACCAATTGATCTGTCTATTATAGCTAACAGTATTGAAGGTTGAATGAATGCCTTTAATTTAGTCATTGTTTTCCACATTGGTATAGAGTTTATTGGTTGGAGAGGTTTTCTTTGGTTTTGAACGGTTCTGCTTTTGTCAGTGTACTCTTAGATAAAGAATTCATATCTTCATAAGAATGACTTTCTACTAAAATGCTGGTGTGTTGGATGAGTCAGTTAAGAGGCAGCAAAATTACCTAGGGTGATAGGCATATAATTGCAGTGTAGTCAATATTGTGCATTCGACTCCCATGTTGCTCGGTATTATTCCTGCATAAAATTGATTATTTTTGCATCCGGTGAGGGGAATAAAGCACAGAAGGTAGCTGAATTGCTTATGAAGTGAAAGCATGATCTCCATAAGGAATACTGTCAATAACATGCCTATGTCTTGCATGGTGTCTTTCAGAATTATGGAAATTATTTGCTGCCAGAGTTTTGTTTTGAGGACATATCCAATGTGATACTCATGGTAGAATTGGAGTTGCAACAAAATGATCTGGTCACTGCTGAAGTGAAAGCAACAGTTGGATTTTCATGATATACCATTCATTTGTGGCTACATATTGTTATGTTAGTTCTTCTGGGTCTGAAAATAATGCCCAATATAATACAGTGCTTTTTTTTAATAAGTGAGATGCTAAGATTATGTTTGGAGGATTAGATTGTTTAAAAGGTCAATCAGGAAGTCCTGAACCAGTATGGAACATGCTGAAATTCAAGCTCAGATTGTGGAAGTAATTGTTGTGAGAGATATTTGTTGTCTAATATTGGCTTGGGATTCCTCTGAATGGCTTAGCTATATGAAAACCATTCTGGTGATTTATCATTGTAACAGAGAAGTAAGTCATCTGGTTATAAGTTTGCTTTTTAGTAAAATATTGTTTGCATCTAGTAAATAAAATACAAAAACTAATATGCAATGCACGACTTCTGTAAATTATATGTTTCCATTTTTGTATATATAATACTTTGCTCTATGCTGAATGCCCATTTCAAATTTTTTGAGTTTGTTTATTTAATCATCATTTTATTAATCACCGCAATTTGGAGTGTGGGTGACAGGTTGTTTACACCTTTGTAGAAACTCAATATTAAAAAGGATGTATAGCAGGCAACGTTAAAAATGGATGATGCCCTTGAATGTTTATTAGAAATTGGTTGATCAGTATTGCAGTCAACTTGTTTCCAGCTTTTGTAATAGAAATCTTATAAATTGATACTATTGGATTGTTTACAAGCAATCATTAGCTACAACAGTTTCTTTCAGGCCTCCAATTAGGGTAAGCAATTTGGATACAGGGCCATTTTTGTTTGACCTAGCTTGTTTTTCCTTTGTATCCTCCTCTTGTTTGTATGATGTGGTTCTATTTTACTGGTTTTCTAGATAATTATAATGAGAGTAGCTTCTTATGTGCTGTACTTTCTTCTACTAACTCCAGTAATATAGGTTTTCTTATTTTACTTGTACTGGATTAGCTAACTGTCCATTCCTACTAAATATGTTTTGTATGTTGTGCTCAACTAATATCTTTTCTTGCAAGTCTTACAATAATGGTTATGCAGTGGTCATCCGCATCAGGAAAGCATGTGTTTGTCCTCATAAATACCATTAAATATATTGTTAGCATTAGTTGTGTGAATTGCTGTTACTCAGCATGAGGTTCTCAAGTGGTTCTTCCTGTAGATCATGATGGAAAGAGATACAGGCCGTCCACGTGGATTTGGGTTTATTACATTTGCAGACCGTAGGGGAATGGAGGACGCAATCAAGGAAATGCATGGGCGGGAAATTGGGGATCGCATCATCTCAGTTAATAAGGCACAGCCCAAGATGGGGGGTGATGATTTAGACCAAGGTTACAGAGGTGGCTACTCATCAGGTGGTAGGGGAAGCTATGGTGCTGGAGATAGGATAGGGCAGGATGACTGCTTCAAATGTGGGCGTCCAGGGCATTGGGCCCGAGATTGTCCTTTGGCAGGTGGTGGTGGTGGTCGTGGTCGGGGTGGTAGTTCCTTTTCTTCACGCCCTAGGTTTGGAGGTGCTGGTGATCGCCTTAGTGGTGAACGTGATCGTTATATTGATGATCGTTATGACAGCGGACGGTATGGTGATCGGGATCGTTTTGATAACTGTGACTACAAATATGGCAGCCGTGATCGCTATACTAGTGACAGGTATACTTGATTTATGGCTGTTATTAAAACCAAATTTTTTCTTATTTCATTTAATTGATAATGTGGCAATCACAACAGCTGCAATTGCATAAGATTTTTCTGGTCACTTGTCTGGTTTGCCTTTAAGTGTGGCATATATCCATTCTTCATTAATAAAATGGAGTAGTCCCTTTATTGTTTTCTCAATGGGTCCTATCTATTTATTTGCTACTATATTTATTGCTCAACTGAAAACTCTGTAGGTATGCAACTGGTGGAGATCGATTTGCAAGTGATCGATATGGCAGTGGCTCGGATCATTACCCACAGAATGGTTATGGCAAGGAAAGAGGCTACGACCGGTATGGCGGTGGCGGTCCACGAGGAGGTGCTGATAGGTATGGAAGTGGAATGCCAGCCCGAGAAGAAGGAAGGAACTATAGGGGTAGGCCTGGTCCCTATGACCGCCCTAGTAGGGGTGGTCGTCCATCATCATTTGACCGCTACTGATTGGTGTTTTTGAATGGGAAATCCAAATGCAGAAGCAACATTAGGGACATTAGTTCTTGTTTGTAGGACTTCCAAGTTTCAGACAACTGTTAGATTGTACTTTCTTAGATTATGGATTTGATAGTTTGTTTATTTATTCAGATCGTGCGAATCACTGTTGAGTTCTTCCCCCTCGTTTGCTTGACGCTTTGACCAACTTCTCTTTCAAATGCTAGCAAGCATGATTTACATTGTTCCGCTGTGTTCTAAAAATTTGTGGTGAAACTTACGGTTGAGTTATCTCAGTACACTCATTTCTCTGGCAAATTTCAGTGCATAAATGCACAACCAACTGTGCAAGTCAAATTTCCTAATTCAAATATGTAGAATTGTTAAAACTTGAACTGTTTAGGGGTGTAATTCATCATTCGTCAATTTTGTAAACAACAATTCATTCATGTTCAAATTTGATTGAAATATAGTAGGTTAATAGTTTTATTTTCAACATGAAAGTATTTAATCTGAACTATAGTCTGCCGTCATTTATGCACTTTCATAAATATAATACCATCTTTTAGATTTGGATAAATTAAAGAAAGATTGCGATAAAGCTAAATTGATTTAAAAGTTTAGGAATAAAATTTGACGAAGTTTAAAAAAAAAAAATTATAACATCTGAAGTTAAGCTTCAAAAGTTAATATATTCAAGTTAATAAAATTAGCTCTTTGGTCCAATTAAATATTATAAGATGTTTTTAAAGGGTGCTTTTTTTTGGTTCAGGTTGAAGGGGGTCACTACATTGATGTTACGTTGCAGTAATATCAGACTTAATTCCAGACTACCAATGTGTGGTTGATTTCAGGTAGGAAAATGGTTGAATGAAAAGTTTGTCGATCTAACATTCTATCCTACATATTGACAAATTATTATAGTCAAATTATAGTTTATTTAATTTGTTTTTGTGTCACCCTGATAAAAAAAATTGATAAATGAGTTTTTCTTATCACTCACTAGTTTATAGAGTTTTCTTTTATATGTTATTCAAAAATAGGGTTCAAGCTTATAACTTATAGTATATGTTGTTATGTTTTTACTCCTACTATAATAACTGAGAGTGAGACATAAATCATGCTTACTTCTCCAATGTGAGCTGTGTAAACTGCACTTCTCCATCTCATTTGGAATTTTCCAACATCTACTAGAAAGTTGACTCTGAGAGGCTTCTTTTTTTCTTTCTTTTTTTTTCAAAATAGGGTAAATAAAAAAGAATTCTCAAAATAGGGTTAAATAAAAATATATTCCCTACGGAGTTATTTTTGCCGCGTTCCTTATTTTGAGAATACATTTTTTTTATAAAAAAATAAAGCCACTTTAAGACAAACCCACTTGTGAGCCAACAAATGCACACTCTCATTAGTCAAGTGGACCCTCCAAATGGACTTTGGATTCCATCTAGAAGAGTTTTTTTTTTCTTTTCCTATTATTATGATTTAGTATACAAAATTGATATAATTTACATATTTACAAATATATGATTTAATATTTTTTATCAACATTTTAAATATTATATTTTACATTAAAATAAATTTAATAGATAAAATATAATTAATTTTTAAATTTTATAAATTTTATGAACTTAATTTTTTATGAAAAATTTATAATTATCAGTTAAGTTAATAAATTTATTTTGATAAAAAAATATTTAAATATTATTATATTAAATTATATATAATTATATAATGCGTTGTCGTATTCCTGTATTGTTAAATTTAGTCATCCCATCATATCACGCAAATAAAAAACAAAATATAAACAGCCATCGTGAGAGAGAGAGATAAAAATAAAAATAAAAATAAAAAACTAACTAAACTTAGTTTGTAACGCTACTAAATAAAAATCAATTTCCATAGTTTGACGGTTTGTCCACACATGGCAAATTCCTTATCCATTACTTCAAAAAAATAAAAAATATATAACAGTCTGATAATAATAAATTTTTATTTAAAAATATGTATTATATTTTATAATTTTAATATAATAAATATATAAGTTTTTATAAAAATGTTTATAAATATTTAATTTTAATTTTAAATATTTAATATAGTTATATTAAAATTTAAACTCAAAATTATGATTAAATTAAAATATATTTACTGAAAATTTTATTCAACTCAAATATAATTTTGTTAAACTCAGTCCAGCATTCATAAATAAAAAAATTTATAAAAAATATATAATTATTATAATTAAAATTTTAATAAAATTTTATTATTATTAATTACTTATTGTTGATTTTATAATTAAATTTTATTAAAAATATTTATGATATATATATATAAATTAACATAACGACTGAGAAACTACTGCTATCATATATTAATTAGGCGATGCTTGGGAACATAGAAAAGCGAGAGAGAGTATATCCAATGCATTGTTTGACCATCCACTTGCCTGCCTTTGTTGAATAAATATCTCTGAGTTGACTCATTATTTCCACTGTAAGCAATACCCCATTCCCTACCAATATATATTACTCCACCTTTTGTATTTATTTTGCAATCAATTATTTTTACTCAATATATGCAAATCAAACTTTATCATAACTAAGCATTTAAAAAATAGTTACAATATTTTTAAAAAAATTAAAAATGTTATAACTAATATTTTTCAAATTTATTAAAAAAATTCATAATAACATTAATAAAACATAATAGTGTCCAAAAAAGAACTAAATATATATCTTACTTAAAAACCTCGCAAGGTAACAATTTTTTGTTATGCTATAGCCTAGTTTGAGTAAATTTATTAAAAACATTAACATAAAAATACTAAAATTTATTTTATAATTTAAAAACAACTTATAATAAGCTTTTTTTATTTAATTTCCTGTAAAATTTAAGATGAAAATATAAAAATTTCTCTTATCTGGGCTTATATATATAAAACATCTTGGTCAAAACAGGAAAAGACTCAGCTAGTCAAGGTTTGTTAGATTTGATAAAGTGAGAAGTTAAAAAAGTCAACCATACGCCAAGTTGGATGAATAATTAAAATTGCTTGGACTGTGATCGCTCAATTGTGCTAATAATATTTCAAATCACAGTTATTGTTGAAAAAAAAAACATGTACACACTTTTATAAACTTGTTTTTTCTAATTCACATGTTCATCATTATTCAGATACTTTTCAAAGATGAGTTTGGAAAGGATATTCTTAGCCGTAATCGCCAATCGACATAATAGATATATAGCAAATTGTTACAAGTGCATATACGTTGTTTTCATATGAGTTTTATTTGTAATGAAAGTTTGAATCCAATTATATTATTATATTGCAAGTAATATTCAACTTGCGTGGACCGACCCTTCAAATTATGCAAGCTTTGGATTTTAATATTTCACAGATAATGTTCACACAGTTTCAGCTTTCATATGGTGATTTTGATTTTGAAGTGCGAACACAACAATACGTGACCAAGTGAGTGTATTAATTGGGCAATTCAACTTCAAAAGTCATGTTGTGGTCCCCTTAATGATTCTTCAATACCTTTGAATATTCTCTTATCTCACTTTTTTTTCTTCCTTTAAACAATTTCAAGCAGAGAAAAATTAAGTAATACTTTGATGCCGGGGAAGTGGTGCCATTGACTTGTGAGATCTTATCAATACTAATCACAATCAAACTGTTGATACTTATACAATTATAATACCATTTTATATGCTTTCAACAAAACTAATAATCAACAGTGAATTTAACGTTTTCTCTTATTTTTCAAAATGTTTCACGTATTTTTAACTAAGCATGCTCTAAAGAAAATGCCAAATACAAACAAGAGAAAATGTTAGACGTTATAGTTGTTTCTATTAATATATCTTTTTCTACAAAATAAAATATACATTTTTAAAAACATGCAAAAATCTTATTTTATATTACTAACGATCGAATTCAATGAAATGCTAAATTAACTTAATACATATATGTTATATCAATTTAATGCTTAATCGTTAGTTCTTTTTGGTTGTGATGTGATGACATTGATGAACGGAACTGTATTTACAACATTTATCAAACCAAAAAACCAGTTTTGAGTTTTCAATCGCTTAACAACTTACCTATCTGCAACACATAAAACAAAGGCTTTTTCTATTACTGACTTTTCCACGTTACCAAATACCATTATGTTATGTTGCTTTTTCTAGTGCTTCTAGAGGGAACATACATTTCATTGAACATTCAATGCAAAATTTGGTTTAAGGTTGTTTAATATTTTTAAAAGAGCTCGTAGCTCTTCAAATTAAACGGCTTCAACATATCTATAACTTGCGACAGCTTAATTTGGTATTTGCATGTGAACTTCTATTAATTTGATTGGATCAGAGAACAAGAGTCAGGGATGGTATAATTAATAGGCATAGTTTGGAGAGGGTATTCTTATACTTGTGTTTAAAAAAAATTATTCAATTAATCCGTTTTTATAATTGTGTGACTGAGTATCTAAATTAAATAAAGTTCCAATTTATTTAACCTATTCGATTAGTTGTTATATATATTTTTTATCACGTTTCTTTTATCAGAGATAATCTTGTTATAGAATCATTTTGAATAGCAAGAGTTGATCTATGTGTTGTTATATAGATATTATATATGAGTAAAGGATTTTCAACCTCTGCCATTTTAACCCATATATGTAAATAATGCATCACACTTTGAAATTGAGATGCCTTTAGATGTTCAAATTTTTTAAAATAGTTATGTTAACTTCAACTTTTAATATTTATTCAAAAATAATGATTTTTTAGTGAAAATTAATTATTACATTAAAATTATAGATTTATAATAAATAATTTAAATAAAAAATTAGTAGTCTTCCAATTTTTTTTTCTTTTATTCTTCCAAGCCTTTATCGAAAGATATGCGTGCACTGAACACCTTGGCAAGTTTACACGCACAGGGAAGAAAAATTGATATTGCCAAAGACATTTTAGCATTATTTATGATTAGTGTTGGATTCGGTGTTAGGAGGCTTTGTTAAGTGCTGCATGTGTATGCCTCTCTGTCAGCCGCACTCCAAGCTACAGCGCCCCCATTGTTTAGACCTTTTATAAGATATCACAGTAGATAGGATTCTATCATCATCTTCTTTATTATTTTTAATTTTAAAAACATTTCTTACTTTATTTATATTTATTTAATAATATCATCCACTGTATCTAAATCTTTATATCTATATTAATTATTTACAGTTTTTAACTAAAATGAATTTTATCTTATTTTTAAAATAATAATAACATACAAATATTGTTATAAAATAAAGAAAATTTTTAAAACACTCAAATAATTTTTTTCATTTTAAAGGTAATAAAATATTAAATTATAATATATATATATATGGAAAGATTTTCTTATATCAGTGCAAGTTTAAAAACTATTACACTTAATCTGAGAGTTTTGTTTAACTTAAATTTAATGGTTAGTAAAGTAATAAACTATAATATGTTAGATTTAAGTTAAATAAAATATTTAAATTAGATATAAGAGTGTTTAGACTTATACTGATACAAGAAGATTGTTCCTATACATATAATTGTTTATTAAAAATTAATATTTATTAAAACACTCAAATATCTTTACCAGGAAGGGATGCTAATTGTAGCTGCTATTCGGCGGCTTTATTTTATAGCTATGATTGTCAAAAATATCTGAAAGGTATGCATGAAATATGAATAGTCTACGTGAACACTCTCTGTGTTCTCTCATTTAAATGACAGTGTTTATATGTTTCGCATTTAATAACGTCACGTTCATCTTAAACATAATATGCCATTGACGAGCTAAGTTTGAGGAAACGACGAGGCTGAGAATTGAAGAAGTGATATGAGAAGATTTGATAAGTTGAATAATGGACATATATATATATATATATATATATATATATATATATATATATATATATATATATATATATAGTTGTAATTGCAAGACTAAGAATACAAATGACTATGACCGAGCCACGTGCCTACGAAAATTGTTCTATATATGTAGATGTGTGTGGAAGTGGAAGTGGTAGTGACAATCTTTGAGATGTTTACGAAAGCAAACATGGCCACAATAAATTTTTGCATGCGCTATTTACACAACTGGTCAAAATTTTTAAATATATTATGGTAATCATAATATTTGTTAAGCTTTATATAAATTTTATTTTACAATGATCTTGAAATGTTAATTAACTGCTCATAAAAATTCTGTAGTCGTATAAAAGTCCTCTTCTGATCATAACCTTGAAAAAGAACAAAGAGGCATAAAGCTAATTACAATAAAAGGATTTTCCTATTTAAATTTCTGTTCCCATTTTTTATTTTCAACTTTAACTTAATTTAAAATATATATATATCATCGAAAATCAAACTTGATCTGTATACACAGTATTTTATATACTGTTGTTGAAAAGCATACGTGGAGATTTAGTCAACATTTATTTGTTAATGAAATTTCAACGAAGCTCATTTCAGATTGACCAGATCTGGTTGCTTATCCAGATTAACGGAAGTTTTAAAATGAAATTTTATAAGATAAAAATGATTTATTTGGATGACCAGTTGAGCACATTAAAAGGTTATAAGATAAAAAATTAATTAATTTTTATTATGTAAAAATATTTTTTTGTTTGGATGGTGATTGGCAATTTTTTATATATGCCCAATAGAATACAAATTTTTTTTTCTGTATGAAGGCTTTTCCGTTTTTTAGATTGGGACATCCTTCTCTTAACTTGAAATTATATTATCAAAAGAATAAAAATAAAAAACCGCGTGTTAATTTGGACTAATAAATTGTTAATTCAACCAAATCGTATGTAAGTTTCATGTTATCTCACTTATTTGGTCTGATATGTTGCCTCCTACCGTTTTTTTCTTACTTACTATATTATATAATTAGATTTTAAAACTAACAATGTCTAAATGTTTTCTAATACTTAATTATGAAAAATTTACATTTTCAAGGTAGGAGATATCTATAAAGTTTTTATTAGAAGTTTGATTTTTATTAGATAAAAGTACATTAATCTAGGTTAATTTAACACTTAATTTTTTTATCTATTAGTAAATAACTATTTTCCTGTAGCACCATATAAAAACATGAATCCATGAGATTTTACATTTTTAAACTTTTTAAATAAGACTACGCAACGTTACTCATAATCCAGCTACTCAAATTGTGTTGAAAATCTTTACATGAGAAATAATTTAACTTATTTTTTTAGGATTAGAATTAAATATAATTAAATGAATTTGATTTAGAAATCATAATTATTTTTAAAAATTTATTATAAAAATTGTTAATTTTAATTAATTATTCAAAATGATGTCCGTTTAAAATATTAATTTTAATTTTATTAAATAAAAATGTGTAGAAAAGATAATAATAACTTTATATAATTAAAGTAAAAACAAAAACAAAAATCTAGCCAGTCTTACTATAATTGATTGAATTTCTAAATCTAAACAAACAAAATTAAAGAATTATCGCTATCAATCATTTTCGGGTTAATATTATAATTCCTTTTCGATTTTCATCTAGATATACTACTAATATGAATGGTTGCCCTAATCATCCTTCCTCATGTATAAGAAGTCAACACTCAACATTACCGAGACAATAGGAAGAAGACGTCAACTTTGAAATCATAAAATTAATAATGTCTGTGGACACGTTATGTATATATATTGTGTCAGATCTCAACATTATCAAAATAGAAAAAGAAACACAAGACTATCAATTTTGACGTAAATTAGTTACTTATCTTTTATCAAACCTAATTATTTTTACTAATGCTTGTATATATAAACAGGCGCGTACATAAATATATCTTTCTGTTTGTTCAAAGAATTTTTTTTATTTCTCATATTTTAAAATAAATGATACAGACCATTAATTTAAAAATAATCTTTGTTTTCAAAATCTAATAATTCTGTGTATATTCTTAACACATTTTATAATAAATATTTTAGATAAGATCATTTTTAATAAATCTTATCTTATTTTAAAATATATATATATATATATATATATATATATTATAATTATGAATATGGTGCTTCCTTATTTAAAATGTTTTAAGTAATTTTTTAATAAAACTTTCTAATTTATATATCCTTTCATGCGTACGTTACTAATTAGACTTTATATCATTGGAGTGTAATCGTAGGACTGTATAATTATATACATGCATCCAATATACTTTTGAATCAATGAAAATAAAATATTCTCAACTTCTTTACGGATAAAGGAGAGTGGTTAAATAGTACAATATTTTAAATAATTTTAAAAAATTATATTGATATTTTAGAGACAGTAGGTAATATCTTTTTACAACTAGAGGTAATTAATGAGATATTTATCCCATTGACATTCGAAACTTAGTTTTTTATTTTCATGCCTTAATTTTTGCACACGAACTTTGTGCTTCTTTTTCTTCTCTTGGAAAGTATGATATATTCGATTATAAAAAAAATAATTTTCTGAACAACAAGAGTAGAAACAAATTAATGAAAAAGAAAATTTCACAAGAGAACGTAATTTCTACTCTTGCCTGTTTGCCAAGTCTATATATACTATACTGCATATTGACTTGAATTTCGACGCAATTGCACTTAGTAGCAACCTGCTACTGCTAGCTATTTCGTAACAACTAGCAAGAAGTGTTTGCGATTCACTAACATGGCGGCTGTGGGAGGTTCAGGTTCCATCGGTGTTCATGGTTTGGGAGACATGAAGAGTCTCACCATCCAAGTCATCACGGGTCGATGGTTCGTTGTGTTTGCCTCTTTTCTAATCATGGCTGCAGCAGGAGCCACCTACATGTTCGGTCTCTACTCAAGTGACATAAAAAACACACTTGGCTATGACCAAACAACTCTCAACCTCCTTAGTTTTTTCAAGGACTTGGGTACCAACGTTGGTGTCCTCTCAGGACTCCTCAACGAGCTCACTCCACCTTGGATTGTGCTAGCCATTGGTGCCATACTAAACTTTTTTGGGTACTTCATGATATGGCTATCAGTGACTCAAAGAATAGCAACACCGAAAGTGTGGCAGATGTGTCTCTACATTTGCATAGGTGCTAACTCTCAGTCCTTTGCCAACACTGGTTCCTTAGTAACTTGTGTCAAGAACTTCCCTGAAAGTCGTGGGGTTGTGTTGGGCATCCTCAAAGGCTATGTGGGTCTTAGTGGTGCAATCATCACTCAGCTATACTCAGCTATTTACTACGATGACACAAAGGCTTTGATTTTGCTCATAGGTTGGCTTCCAGCTGCTATATCTTTTGCTTTCCTTCGAACGATTCGATACATGAAGCCGATTAGACAGCCTAATGAGCTAAAGGTTTTCTACAATTTTCTGTATATTTCTCTTGGCCTTGCTGGGTTTCTCTTGGTCATGATCATTATACAGAAAAGGGTCAACTTCACACAGAGTGAGTATGGTGTGAGTGCTGCTATGGTCATCTTCTTGCTCTTCCTCCCACTTGTTATTGTTTCTATTGAAGAACATAAGATCTGGCAGAGTAAAAGGCTTGCATTGGTTGATCCCTCGCCAGTGAAAATAATAACCGAGGGTGAAAAGGTCAACCCGAATGGTAATACTAACTCGCCAACACAAGCAAAGGGAACGGTTTCACTTTCCAACGATACCAAGTGGTGGCAAAATGTGTTTAGTCCACCAGAAAGAGGTGAGGATTATACCATACTTCAAGCACTATTCAGCATCGACATGCTAATACTATTCATAACTTGCATTTGTGGTATTGGGGGCACGTTGACTGCAATAGATAATCTGGGTCAGATAGGAAACTCACTTAAATACCCCAAGAAGAGCATAAGTACTTTTGTCTCCCTAGTAAGCATTTGGAATTATCTAGGACGTGTTTTCTCTGGATTTGTTTCCGAACACTTTCTACAAAAACACAAGTTTCCTCGTCCTCTTATGCTTACTTTAACCCTCCTCTTATCATGTGTTGGTCACCTTTTGATAGCATTTGATGTTCCAAACGGTCTCTATGCGGCTTCGGTAATCATTGGGTTTTCTTTTGGCGCACAGTGGCCTTTACTTTTTGCCATCATATCGGAGCTTTTTGGGCTTAAATATTATGCAACTTTGTACAACTTTGGAAGCGCAGCAAGTCCACTAGGGTTATATTTGCTTAACGTGAAGATGACTGGGCATTTGTATGACAAAGAAGCCAAGAAGCAATTAGCAGCATTGGGGTTAGAAAGAAAGCCAGGACAAGAATTAAATTGTGTTGGGGTCCATTGCTTCAAATTATCCTTTATTATTATCACAGCTGCAACTTTTTTTGGTGCCATTGTTTCACTCATTTTGGTGGCTAGGACGATAAAGTTTTACAAAGGTGACATATACAAGAGATACCGGGAAGATGCCACGGTGGCAGAAGCTGAAATGGTGGGGGTGGAGAACGGTGGCAGAGAAGGCCAAGATGCCAAACTTGGCCAACACTTGGTGCCTGCAACTCAGAAATAGGACATATGGAAAAGGATGATGTAGATCATAATTAAAGTGTAAACAAAATTTTAATAATGTCAAACATCTTATACCATATAATATGTAACGTTGTGCTACATTTTCTTTGCCGTGCTGTATAATTTTCATTTTCTCGGTCACACAAAGCGACGTGCCCCTTTATTAGCATTGATTCTAACTCTAAGGAATATAATAGAAGAAACAAGACATGATTGTCTTGTTATTGTAATAGTTGATATACTTTAATGCGAGTTTGCTCTTTTAATTGCAAGTGGTTGGGTAATGCATGTGTGGTTATCTTCTATTAAGGCTGAATGCTTCAGCGTAAGTTTCTTAATTAATACATTGAAAGGGTGTGTAATAGTAAAATCTTAGATTCGTAAATGGAACATGACCATAACCAGCTCGCTGGCTACACCTGTCAAGAGTCTCGCCTAAGCCTAATACGAGTTGTTGATGGTAAAATGTTTGGTGTATTAAAAAAGATAAGGGCATAAAATTAAAAAAGTGATACATAGGATAGATATAAATAAGGATAATAGAATGAAATATACTGTTATATTTTATTCTGGTTCTATTTTTGTACGAAATAACCTAAGACATGCAAACGACTTTTCTTATGTGGATCTTTCATAATTTTATTGATTCTAAAGTTGTTCATTAATAATTTTATTCCGTATATTAAAGTTGTTCGTTTTCTGTATAGTTCTTCGTTTCAGTATGGAAATTCGGTATGGAATAATAGATTTTAAACCATTTAAAAATTTAAATCCCTTTTAAATTTAATAATAATTAGCTTATTTAAGTAGACACGTATAGTAATATTGATAATATATTGTTATTATTTTTTACTGTTATATTTTTAAATTATATATTTGTTATCTTATTTTAAAGTTTACGCCTAGCTATTAACTTATTTTTGAAAAAATATTTTAAAATACGCTTTAAAATATTTGTTTATGTCACACCATACTTTTTTAAATTTGAATTAAATTAAAAAATATATATATTTATATCAGATAAATATAGATGGAACTCATCTTATAATAAATTTCAAAAGTAGATCAAGTTTCTTTGAAGTAAAACTTGATATGGCCCAACCTGTTTTTGCAAATAATGGGCTACTCTTGAATCGAAACAATGAGTATAAAATTTATTAAAAAATCTAAATTTATTTTAAAAAATTATGACACATTTTTTACATATATTTATGTAAAAATACAATTTAATTAAATCATTTATATTAATTGGTGAAAAATACTAGTAACACTATTTTACATCTTTTTATTTTTTTAAGTTTTGATAATTTCAAAATTTTTCAAACATCACTTCTAATTTAACTAATTACTAATTATAATTTTAAAAATTTTTAATTAATAATAAGATGTGTATTAAAAAAATATAATAAAAAATTATTGTTAACATTTGTTTTAATATATTTTAACATAATAAAAATATATATTTAATTTGAATTTATTTTTAAATTAAATGTAATGTATATCATATTTAATTTCCAATAAAAGAATAACCAAGTTGTCAATATCTCACCCTCTGGGAAAAATTGTCAGCGTTCTTGGATAACTGTGTCAAACTGTCAAAGGCAAGTTGGTGACAAAAATTTTTATTTTTCTGAAGAAGTGACAGATAGATGCTAGCTCACGATTGGACACAAAAGACAAATGTTATATTAATGAGACAAAAATTATGTATAAGCAATTGATTCCATAGCTATCATACATCAATAAAATCTCTATACCATGTTTCTTACCAATAATTATATATCTCACTCTTTATCTCCACGATTTTACTATATATTATAGCCAAATGTTTTAAAATTTAATATGCATAAATTTATTAACAAAAAATGATAAATAATCATTTTTTAAAATTAAAACTAAATTATGTCTGTCAAATTGTAAACAAATAAAAATGTTAACGTGTGGAAATTAATTTTTAAATTAAATATTATTTATTTAACCTTTTTTTTTCCCTTCTCTTGTAAGAATAGGTTGAAAAGCTTATTCAAAAATCAAAACGGCCTCGGTGTGTGCTGTGTGTAATGTGCATAAAAATAGACACAACCAAATCTAAAATATTTCTAGTAAAAAAATTAAATTAATGCAGCTAAATTTAAACACTAAAACAGAACAGACTGAATTAATTAATTTTTTCAATTTAATTTGGTCAGTTTTCATTAATATTTAAAAAATATATAAAAATGTATTTCTTTTTAGAAAATATCTAAAAGAAATTGAAATATGATATTAATTTTTTATGGTAAAGTTTTCTTTTATATAAACAGACTATACACGTTCATTTGACGGATCTCGTTTATTAATAACACTGTTTAAGTAATAAATGAATAGTAAAATTTTATTAAAAATATGCTTATAATTCATTTAAAATTGCAAGGCGGGAGCTGATTAGTATTTTATTTATTATATTGATGTGGATTTTTTTTTGTTTCAAAACATGTTTATACATTAAATTAATTTTAAATAATAATCAAAATTCAGGACAGCTTTTTTTAATACATTTATAGATATTAAATTCATAATAATTACTTTTCTATTTAGTGCTATGTTAAAATATTTGTTTACTAATATAAAAACTCATTTATCATATAAATATATTTTAATTAACAAATATAACATTCAATTGAGAAATTAATATTTATTATATTTTATCAAATGGCTTATATATATCGTTTAATAAAAATAACATTAAATGACAATATTAAAAATATATTTGTATATATCCATTATATTAATGTGCAGGTAAATTTTAAAGTATGTTTATAAATTAAATGTATTCTAAATGAAAATAATAATAATTAATAATTATTTTTTAATAATAAATAATTTGTAATTTATATTAATACAAAACAGTAAATGTAGTATAATTAATGGAAAACAAAATTATTTAATAAACAGAAAAATATATACTAATATACAGTTAATTTTACGTATATTTATTTGTTTTATTGAAGTACAGTTTAACTTTAAAATTTGAAATATTACTGAGATTTTATTTTGCGAGCAAAGTTATCCTCTTTGGACTTTGGTGCTTGATTATAACGTTTCACGTGCCAATACCATTGGTGTTAGACTAACCATGCTTTACGAATTTGTGATATGTTTTTCAAACAATTTTTACACATATATGTTTCGAACTTGAGTTTCCATTGCGAGTGTAGCACCAAATATTTGTCAGTTTTCAGAAAAGAATTTTAAAATTTGCTTAATTATACTTATAATTTTTATATTTTACGTATTACTACTAGGGATATTTGGGACCTATCCAAATATATTTATTATTTAACACTGCCTATTTATATACAAATAATTAATCTTTCCTGTTTTGCAAGTTTAGCTAACTACCTAATTAAGTTCAATTTATGCAAGCAATTCCAGGCGGTCCTCAATTATTATTTTTATTTAGCATAAAATTATTTACTTATTAAATTAATTTGAACTAGAAGATTAAAACAATTTCAAAACAAATAATATTTTTTAAAAATATAATACTTGGTTGTGTTCAGTTGTTCGACGCTACATTATGTAGAAGAAACTCACATTCCAGTTGAATAAACGGGAAGCTAATTAAACACGTCTTAAATACAACTAAAGGGAGAGGAAATCTTGGTGTGAACAAAAAAAAACATAATAAATTTAAAGTTTATTAATGGTTGAAAAGGGTTGTTTTATATATTTAAGAACTAATATCATATCAATGTTAACTCATACTATATATCAGAATTTTTGTACATCGTTTAATGTAGAAAATGAGAAAAAATATAGACAAAAATAGAAAAATAATATTAAAAAATATCGTCCTCGAAAAGCATGATGCGACTTTGCATATGCTTCTGAAAACCGTGTGGTCCCAATTCGTAATTGAACGGTGATTGTGTAGTAAACTTGATGGTTGGCTGAAAAATTGGTCCCCCGTGGACTATAGTCAACCAATGAGTAAGGATGATCCATATTATCTATTGACTATAGTTAAAACTTCTTCAAAAGGAAACCAACTAATATAATATTAAATTTTAATACAAATCTTGTTATATTTAGATTTTAAAATTTAATGTTAACAGATTTAGTCTTTTAATTAAAAATCAGAAATAAAACTTTTTTTAAAAATATGTATTTCTCAATTTGTTATAATTTATCCGAATCATAAATGCAATAATACAATGAAAGGAAGAAAATAAAAATATTATTAAAGTATATAAATATTATTATTATTATTATTATTATTATTATACATAGATATACACACGTGTTCGATTTCTGGATCCATCCATGATAAGGTCTATATATACGGTAGCATTTAGGTATGGATTAGCAGTTGCTCAAAACCAGTAACAGCAACAGTCTCTGTTACTCAAAAACATGGCGGTTGCAAGTATGGGCTCCGTCGGTGGTCTGTGCGACACGAAGGGCTTAATCGTCCAAGTTGTAACGGGACGGTGGTTCGTGGTGTTTGCCTCCTTCTTAATCATGGCAGTCGCCGGAGCCACCTACATGTTTGGCCTTTATTCCGAAGATATAAAAAGGAACCTCGGCTACGACCAAACCACCCTCAACCTCCTTAGTTTCTTCAAAGACTTGGGTGGCAATGTTGGTGTCCTCTCAGGCCTAATCAATGAGATCACTCCTCCTTGGGTGGTACTCGCCATGGGTTCCGTTTTGAACTTTTTCGGTTACTTCATGATATGGCTTGCGGTGACTAAAAGAATAGCAACACCCAAAGTGTGGCAGATGTGTCTCTACATCTGCATAGGTGCTAACTCTCAGTCTTTTGCCAACACTGGTTCCTTAGTCACATGCGTCAAGAACTTCCCTGAGAGTCGTGGGGTTGTGTTGGGTATCCTCAAAGGCTATGTTGGTCTTAGTGGAGCTATCATCACGCAACTCTACTTTGCTTTTTATTACACCGACTCGAGGTCTTTGATTTTGCTCATAGCGTGGCTTCCAGCTGCTATTTCCTTTGCTTTTCTTCGAACCATTCGCTACATGAAACCGGTTCGCCAACCTAATGAACTAAGCGTTTTCTATAAGTTTTTGTATATTTCTCTTGGACTTGCTGGGTTTCTCTTGGTTATGATCGTAGTGCAGAAAAAAGTGTCTTTCTCTCAGAGTGAGTATGGGGTGAGTGCTGGTGTGGTGCTTTTCCTTCTCTTTCTCCCTCTTGCTGTTGTTTTTGTTGAACAGTACAAGATCAGAGAGAGTCAGAAGCTTGCTTTGGTTGATCCAGTGCCAGTGCAAATAATAGACGGAGGAGGGTTTGAGTCTGCAAATGGTAACTCGCTCTCGGCTCCAACATCGAAGGTTGAAGAAACTAGATGGTGGCAGAATGTTTTTAGCCCACCAGCTAGGGGTGAGGACTATACCATTCTTCAAGCCCTTTTCAGCGTAGACATGATATTGCTGTTCTTCGCTACTACTTGTGGTGTTGGTGGCACTCTGACAGCAATTGACAATCTGGGTCAAATTGGTACCTCATTTGGATACCCAAAGACAAGCATAAGCACATTCGTGTCCCTAGTAAGCATTTGGAATTATCTGGGAAGGGTTTTCTCTGGTTTCGTTTCTGAACATTTTCTAACAAAGTACAAGTTTCCTCGACCACTCATGCTCACGCTAACTCTCCTCTTATCCTGTGTCGGTCACCTTCTTGTAGCATTTAATGTGCCCAATGGTCTCTACGTGGCTTCTATAATCATTGGGTTTTGTTTCGGCGCACAATGGCCCTTGGTCTTTGCCATAATTTCAGAGCTGTTTGGGCTCAAATACTATTCAACTTTGTACAACTTCGGCGGTGCAGCAAGCCCAATTGGCCTTTATGTGCTTAATGTCAGGGTCGCAGGGCACTTGTATGATAAAGAAGCTATGAAGCAATTGGCTGCAACGGGTATTCCAAGGAAAATTGGGCAAGAATTGAGTTGTGTTGGGACCAGTTGCTTCAAGTTGTCCTTCGTTATTATCACTGCAGCCACATTTTTTGGTGTCATTATTTCGCTGATTTTGGTGGCCAGGACTATTAAGTTTTATAAGGGTGACATATACAAGAGGTACCGGGAGCAGGCCGAAGAAGCCACCACTGAGATGACGGTGGTCCAAAACGGTGGCGAGAGAGGACAAGAACTCAAACGTGGGGTGTAATTGATGTAGGGTAAGATTCAAGTTGTGAGAGGGATCTATTGTTACTCTTCAAATTTAAATTTTTTTTGTTTAAAATATTTTTATAATATTTTAGCAACAAAAATATTTTAAACAAAATTATTTAAATAAAAAAGTGACGATAAAGTGAGCTTAGCAATAGTTGGATTTCAATTCCCCAGCCACTACGTCATCGACCGCAAAGAAAAATATAGACAGCTAAGCTTTTTTCTTATTTCCTCTCCTTGTCTTTCATCCACTGCATTCATATGCTAATTATGGAGAATTGAAGTCAGAATATGATTGACGTTCAACTACTACTTTCCCACTTTGTTCTGTTTGGGCAACATTTCCCTAACCCTGTGTGCCTGTTTTGACATCCAGTTGTGTCACTCACTGTCAAAAGTTATCTCAAGATTAAAGTACACAACCAAAGTTATCTTTTTTAAGGTTAAACATCACTTTAATCTTTCAAAAATGCATTAAATTTTTATAGAATTATTTTTTATTTTAGTTCTTATTCTTTTTTTATATCATTGATTTTAGTCTTTAGTCTTTGTTAAATGATGATTTGACAAACTCGGATACATGTCATTTTAAAAAGAATACAACTGTATACAGGATGAAGGGAAAAAAAAACGATGCTAATGAATGGAGGGGATGAATAATACATTAGACTTTTAATGGAAGGAGAATAAGTTATATTAAGTAATGGGATGATAGTTTTAAGTATTTAGATAGTATTAATAAATTATTATTATTAATTTAGTAATCACTATTTTTAATTTGTAAATATTATTATTATATAAAAAAAAATATTTTTTGAGTTTGAAGACCTTATCCAAAGGACGCCCTTTCTTTTGGCATTTTTGCATGGCAGGCTGCTATACTGCCTATACCTTATCCTGATTGCACGTATTATACACAATTAGGTTGCATTCCATGAATCCAAATTTGCACTGTTCACTCACATGAAGACTATTGCAAAGGTGTTTCCCACGTGCTAGCTGAAAGGGATAATCTATTTTTACTCTAAAGTTTTATAATATTTTCCATAACTCCATTTTCCTTTTTTTTTCTCCTTTTGTCTTTCCTTCTTATTATAGATATGTTGTGAGAAAATACTGTCAAAATAACATTATTTTAAGCTGCAAAAATACTTGGCCAGGCTGAGAGTGTGAACATGCTCACGTGTAGCAGTAGCTCCATTATGGAAGTACAAACTAATGAGGACTAATTGCAGACTGTAATAAACTACACCTCTGTTTCTCAAACGATTTATGGCAATAACAAACAAAGGATTCATTGGTTCCTGGCGAGTTTGTCTTTGTAGCATATGGTTCAACGCTGTCTTAAAGTACTCGCCAGCTTGCAAAACTTTTCCTTAAATAACGATGCAAACACTTGGACTATGGGTATGTTTAGAAGAGTTCCTAAACAATTTATAAAAAATACTTTATAACAAGTTTTTGTTTAAAATCTTTTGAGTTGTGGATTCGAACACTTTTTATGAATAAGTAGAACAAAACTGGACAGTTAAAGTTTAAATTTAGTTTGGAACAAATATAATTTTTAAATTTAACTCATCTACTTAAACTGATTATATTTAGAGTTTGGGGTTTAACTAGTTGAAATATTATAAATTTTATGCTTATAATATTTAGTTAATTTGTAACTTGGTTATTTTTTTTTCATCAAATGTATTTTAAATATATTTAAATTTAATAATTTAGTGTTTATTTAATAAATATTTGTTAAAAGAGATAAGTTAAGAAAGGAAAATAAAATAAAATGTATTTAAGTATAAAATTAAATAATGAAATTTTAAATAAAATCATAACTGACGATGTATATTTTTCTATATAAATTGAGAATCTTTATCATGTAGTTGTCCATTAAATACTTATTTTAAAATTGTACCTTAAATTGAAAGCTAAACTTGTTTGTTTTTTAAAATAAATTATTTTAGTTAAATATTTATCGAATAATATTCAAATTATTTATTTTTTGGAATACGTAATTCTTATTTTATATCCTGAATAACATTTGCCTCTTTTCTGGGTCATGGATACAAAAAAAATGTTAGAAAGGCCCAAGAGAAGACAAGCCCAATGAAAACATATGAGCATGTTGTGGACGAAAAAAAAACGTGTTACCTGACGCAAAGAAAACAAGTACTAGAAGCAGCATCATGAATGCAGCAAGTCGACGCCATCGCATCTGCATGCAAGATCTTCAGAAGTTTCATATGCCCAGTTGAGTTTCTTAATTTACCCAATTCTATTTTATCTATATTGGGTGATATTTATCATTTATCACCCAATACTTTCAGTATTAAATAATGTTAGATTTAACCTCTTTTTCTAATAAAACTAAAACCAAACTAACTAAAAAATGAGTTTATTCGGGTTATAAGTAATTGTATATTTTTTTTTCTTTTGTTAGTGTATATTTATATGATATTGAATATTTATAATCCATAAATTGCATGTTATAACGAAATAAAAAGATATAATATAAAATTTTCTCATATTTAAAAATAAATATTGATCATATATTTTTTAATCTTTTTTACATGAATTATCTTATGTGTTAAATACACATCAGTGTTTATCATGATTTTGATATATTTCTTTATACGAAGTATTTAAAAAATGATAAATTATTATGGTGCACTCTCGTGCGTCATAGTCTAAAATGTTGATAAGTAGAAGAATATGTTGTAATAAAATTAGTGAAAATTTAATAGAAAAAAAAAAGAGTGAACATTTTACATATTATGTGAGTATTTGTAAATACACATGCAATCATACAAATTTAAAACATCCAAAATATATAAAATAAAGATTGAAATACAAATGTTTGAAATTTTGTTTACTTCAAAAAAGTATTTAAAAAAGTCAAGTACAAGAAAACAAACTTTTATCGATCTTTTAATTGAAAGAGTTATATATATATATATTATTTTATTTTTCTCTTCAGTTAAATGTAAGATACGCTAACTCAATAGGATCATTAACAGTATTCCTATTTCCTTCACGGGAATGATTGAATTTTGCAATGAAATAATTGCAAGTGACAAAATATTTTATTTGTGTAAGCTAATGATGTATATGGTAGTATCGGTTTAAAATAAATTTAGATCTATAAAATATTTAACTTTAATTAAAAGAATACACTCTCATTATTACTTTAAATATATTTATTTATTTCCACTTTAGTTAAACTTGTTTTTGATAAAATGTTTCTTTGCTTTCCCAATGAGACAAACGAATGGGATTTGATTATTCTGTCCTTGTGTTTGGCAAAATTGGAAACAAATAGTTTTGTACCTTTTTTTTGGTCAATAATAATTTTGTACCTAAAATTAAGGATTTAACAAATGTAAAATTAATTTTGGGCCGGGCCTGACTCTCTGGAATACGAAGTGTCTCTGCATGGGTAATCCCATGCCACGTGGCAGAAGGTTCCCATTTTTGTTTGACAAATTAATTTTTGAGGAACAGTTTACACCTCACTCACTCAGTTCCTCTTCTTCCTCCTTCGTCTCTCTCTCTCTCTCTCTCTGCATGCAATTGGCGTCGGTCTCGCTCAGCATTTTCTTTGGAAATGACGATCAAGAGCAAGGGCAAGGGAAAAGCCAAGGCCAAGGATGTTGCCGGAAAATCTCCTGCCGGCAAGCGCAAGTGCGGCTTCGACGATGACAAAACGGGCGGCGGCCGCAAGAGGAACAATAGAGGAGTGCTCCAGTTTTTCGAAGACACCGCTGACGTTGAGGAAAGCGAAGATAGCGACGACAGCGATTTCAGTGATGGTATATAATATGAATCCCTCCTAGTTCACTTTCTCCTGTTCTTGCATTTCTTAATTTGCTACTCTCTTGAGATAATTGTTAGGGTTTCTACCTCATTTATATGTTCCTTTCTATTTTCAGTCCTTTCTTCTTTTAGATGTTTTCACTCTGCTTCGAGGATACATTATTGAGAAATGGTTGAGTTTCATTTAATTTCATGGTTTTCGAGTTCAGTTTTCAACGCAAGAATTTTCAGTGGTATCATACATTCCCTTAGCTTGTCTGAACCCTCTGTGAACAGAATTTTTTGACGAGGATTTTGACGCGTTACCAAGAATGATGAACGAGTCAGCTAAGGGCCAGAGTAGCCTCCCATTTGTCCCCAAAGAGGAATTGGTGGATGAAGAGGAATTTGATAGAATGATGGAGGAACGCTACGGAGACCCTTCTAGATTTGTCTCATTTGCTGAAGACGAGTTTGATGACAAAACAATTGACCCAAGCTTCTTACATACTGGTGACAAGGATTTAGTTCCAACCATCTGGAAAGTCAAATGCACTGTATGATTCCTAAGACATGGCTTTAGTGTTTTTGCTAAATAAATTTCCTAGCATCGCCTTCGAACTTCTTTCGGTGCTCCTTTTGTTCATCCTTTGCTGTGCTTTCGCCGATGCAGGTGGGGCGCGAGAGGCTTTCAGCTTGCTGTCTGATGCAGAAGTTTGCTGACTTGAATTCACTGGGTACTAAATTGCAGATAATATCTGCATTTGCAGTAGATCATATGAAAGGATTTGTGTACATTGAAGCTGAGAAGCAGTATGATATAAATGAGGTAATCTCTGTGCTGGGGATTTTGTTCAGTTTATTTTATTGATATAATTTACTAGTGAAATGCTTTGACCATGCTCCAATTCTATTTTCATCTGGTACTATCGCTCTGCTTCAGGCATGTAAAGGGATTCCTGGTATCTATGTCACTCGAGTGCAACCTGTGCCGAGAGGTGAAGTTCCTCATCTTTTCTATGTTCGAAGTAGAAGCCCTGAGATTTCTGAGGGCATGTGGGCACGCATAAAAAGTGGTAATTACAAGGGGGACCTAGCACAGGTACTGCATGACTGCCCTAGTGATGTTTTCGAGTTGTATTTGCTATCCAACTTATTCCTTATATTTATTATACCTTTCTAGGTTGTGGCTGTGAATAATACACGCAAAAAAGTTACAGTGAAGCTTATTCCGAGAATTGATCTGCAAGCTCTGGCTGCTAAATTTGTAAAGAGACCTTTTCCCATATGATTATCTTATTTTACTTTTTTATATTTTGCAGTTCATCTTGGAAATTTCTGCTGTTTAGTAGATTCAGGAAACTGCTCCAACTGGCATCAGGCCTGTAACTTAATGGACAGTCTATTCTCTTGTTTTGTCTGTAATTAGATTTGATCATAAGACCCGGTAAACAATGAAAAAGTTCTGGTGGTAATCTCTGCTATGTCATTATGAACATAAAATAAAAGTGGACTCATGTTACAGGTTGTGTTTTCTGTTTTCAAATGAAGCATGTAGTTATCTTTTAGAGCAAGCAAACTTCTATTTCCACACGATCCCCTTCTGACTTTGTTGTTGTTCTCCAGTGGCCATGTACTCAATATAGATAGGATAATTGTTGATGATTTTTTTTACTCACCGTTACAGGGTGGAGGGTATAGTCGCCAAAAGGCTGCTGTACCGGCACCAAGATTAATCAGTTCAAGCGAACTTGAGTAATGTTGCATATTCTCATAATTTGGTCTTTTTTGATTGGTAGTTTTTTCTATCATGATTATTTTTCAATAACCCTGCAGGGAATTCCGACCTCTCATACAGTTTAGACGTGATCGAGATACTGGCAAGGTTTTTGAGGTTCTGGATGGCTTGATGCTCAAGGATGGATATGTATACAAGAAAGTATCTCCAGATTCATTAAGTTTATGGGGTGTTGTACCAACAGAGGAGGAGCTGTTGAAGTTTGGGTCTTCTGAAAACAATGAATCAAATGATTTGGAGTGGTTATCTCAGCTTTATGGTGACTCAAAGAAAAAACGGGTTATAAGGGCTGACAAGGGTGGTGGAAAAGGGGAGAGCTCATCAGGTTCTGGTGTGGTAAATGGTTTTGAGCTATATGATCTTGTGTGTTTTGGGTATGTCCTTGTTCAACTTAGTTACATTCAGGATGCCATGTAATTTGCATCTCTCTCTCACCCTGACGTACACACAAACATGCAGATGTGGCATGCACATAGATGTACTTGCACATTCCTAAATATATGGATGTGTGTATATATTGACTCTACCAAATGTTTGCCATTGCAGTAAGAAGGATTTTGGTGTAATAGTAGGCATGGATAAGGATGATACCTACAAGGTACAGCATTCAGCTTATGCAATGTCATTTGTTCAAGCTTTTGATTGAGAATCATCCATTGCTTTGGAAAGTTCTATTCTAATTTCCTTATCTGTTATAGATTATAAAAGAGAGTTCTGATGGACCTGTTGCTGTTACTATTGAACGACATGACATAAAGAGTGGGCTATGTGATTTAAAACTTAGTGCCCAAGATCAGCACAGCAAGACTATAATGGTTAATGATAGTGTTAAGGTTCTGGAGGGTCCATCTAAGGTCTGGTTTTTATTTCTAAATGGGATTTGTGGTATACTTGTAATATTCATGCCTCACATAATATTTTGAAACTATTTCATCTCATTTTACAGGATAAACAAGGCATTGTAAAGCAAATTTATAGAGGGATTGTCTTTTTATATGACGGAAATCAGGAAGAAAATGGAGGTTACTTCACCTGTAAATCTAACATGTGTGAGAAAGTCAAGCTTGCTGTTGGTGATTGCAGTGGAAAGGTTTGAATTTATTTCTAGTATCCTGCTAGGTTATGAACTCTATGATGACTTCATATGAATTTTTTATGTCCTTCACATTGATCCATTCTCAGGATAGCAATCCAGGGCCTTTAGTCTTTGAAGATGAACCGTCATCACCAAGATCCCCCCTATCACCGAAAAAACCATGGCAAACAAGAGAGAATAATCGTGAATGTCTGTAAAGATACATGACTCCTTGACAAACCTTTTAGTTGTGGGTATGCTTATTTCTTATTTTCCTCTATTCAATAATTGTGCATGCAGTTAACCGCAGGGACAACAATAGCTTGTTCACTATTGGTCAGACATTGAGAATTAGGATAGGTCCCTTGAAGGGATACCTGTGCCGTGTCATTGCCTTGCGCCGCTCTGACGTTACTGTGAAACTAGATTCTCAGCAAAAGGTTCTTACAGGTTTGTATATGACAGTCTGCTCTTGATTCTTGAGATATCAAATTAATATTTGTAACAAGTTCTACAAACCTATTTTACTCAGTTAAATGTGAGCATCTTTCTGAGGTTCAAGGCAAGAGTACTGCCATGTCAACAAGGTATTTCTAGCATCGACAATAACTCCGTATATGCCACAACTAATTCTTACTGACTTCTTTGACCACGCCTGTGAATATTGTCCTGAGTTTCTGTATGTACCTTATTTCAGCGGTGATCCAGATTCTAGTTCATTGAAGCCATTTGATCTGCTGGGTACTGGAGGCAGCTCTGGAGGTAGGAATTCCTCATTCTCTAATTTATTATCAGCTTATTTGTTATTATCCTTCACCAAGAGAAGATTTTACCCATAAATTGTTTACAGTATCAACTGACTTGCATGGTTGCTACCTTGCGTTCACTCTGTTTGCCATTAATGTTTTATTGAGACATGAATATTGACAATTGGAAAGGTTGGATGGATGGAGTGGGAACGTCCACAGGTGGTGCTGGATGGAATACTGGAGGGACATCAGCTGAAAGGTATATTTCAATCCTATTAGCTAATTTACTTGATTTTCCTCTGCACTATAGTCAACTAACATATAATCTGGCTAATTAATTTTTATGGACTTAGTCATCAATCAAAAGGAAAGTTTTCATAATATCCAGTTATTGCTCATTAATCTAAAAAATCATTAAATTTGGGAATGGCAAATTATCGGCTATAATGCATAAATTCAGAGGAGCACATGCTGCAGTATGATAAAGATGGCAGCACACCTAAGATGTATTTCAGACAATTATAAAGCATAAATGAAATTATGATTAAGTATTAAAACTAAGAAAGCACAGCTAAATTAAGCATGATATAAGTAGTGTCCTTTTGATATTTTATTTCATTTTCTGAATGTCCTGATATGGACAATTCTCTCTTTAAGAAGCATCTCTAATTGATATATGAAGGGATAGGAGTGGCTTATTGTCGTGACATCTTTGTGTGTTGTTTTAAAGCATTGTCCAGTTTATTTAAAATTGCAAAGACCCAGTCTTTTCTTTTCTTATTCATGATTATTTTTTAAATTCTGTCTTATGATGATGTTTTTCAGGAGTGCATGGTCTAACCATTCTGGTCCAAGCTTCTCGGTATGTGTTTCAACTTTGACTGTGTGTGCCTCCTTTCCTATCTCTCCTATCCCCTTGTGCATGTGTATGGTAACCATCCTTGTTCTAATATATGCCTGCATACCCATTTACGTTCAGTTGTATTTTGTCTATGATTTTACTGCATTTTAATTTAATTAGTAGACATATTCTTGTCATCGCAGAAGCCAGAATCTGCATCAAATCCCTTCAGCTCTGAGGGTAATGATTCTAGTGCAGATAGTTTATCTTGTTTTTGTTTCAACGTAAGTGTTCATCAATTGCCTCATTGTTATTGTGATGTGTAGGTGTGGAGAATACTGCTTGGGAAACAAAAAACACTTCAAATCAGAACTCTGCATGGGGTGCTGCTGTTGAAAAGAGTGGAACTGCTTCTGATCCAGATCAGCCTAGTGGCTGGGGAAAAGGTGGTGGAAGCTGGGGTCAGGCAGAGCATAAAATTGGAAATACGGGTGATGAAAATTTTGGGGAAAACCAACCCTCAGGATGGGACAGTAAAAGCAGTTGGAATACAAACAAAGCTTCTGAAGGGGGGTCCTCTGGTTGGAACAGTGTCAAAAGAACAAATGAAACATCAACTGGATGGGCTGAAGGCAGTGGTTTTAAAAGTGGATCAGATGATGGGGGAAACTTGAAATCGTCTTGGAGTGGCTGGAATTCTGGAACAAGTGGAGTCACAGAAGCTGGAAACTCTGCTAGTGCTTCAGATATTGATGATAATAAGGGTGCGGGCTGGAAAAACAAGTCAAGTAAGGCTGGGAGCGACTCATCTGGTTGGGCAGCAGGTTTTGGTCAAACCTCTAACTGGGAAAGGGGGTTGGGTGAGGGAGCCCGAGAAGTTTCTAATTGGGGCAGCATGAAATCTGGTTCAAGTGCTGTAGCTGAAAGTCAGGATTCTGATTGGGGAAAAGCCAATAATTGGAACTCAGTATCTGGTGATGCTGGTAGACCAAAACAAGTTTCAAATTGGGGTACTTGTAAATCAAGCAGTGGGAATGAGAACCAGAATTCTGACTGGAGATCTGGGCATACCGATCCTGGAAATCAAGATTCCAGCTGGGGCAAGAAAAACAATTGGAACACTGGAAACAGTGGAAACCTGGCTTCTGATCCAAACAATAGCAATTGGAATTCTGGATCTGGTGATTCTAATAAAAATTCTGACTGGGGAAACAATGGCAACCAGAACACAAACAAATCCTCTTGGGGTACAGGGAACGAAAACAAACATTCCAACTGGAGTTCTGTGAATACTGATCCTGGAAATCAAGATTCCAGTTGGGGCAAGAAAAGCAATTGGAACTCTGGAAACAGTGGAAACCTGGCTTCTGATCCAAACAGTAGCAATTGGAATTCTGGATCTGGTGATTCTAATAAAAGTTCCAACTTGGGAAACAATGGCAACCAGAACACAAACAAATCCTCTTTTGGTACAGGGAATGAAAACAAATATTCCAACTGGAGTTCTGTGCAAACTGATTCTGGAAATCAAGATTCCAGTTGGGGCAAGAAAAGCAATTGGAACTCTGGAAACAGTGGAAACCTGGCTTCTGATCCAAACAGTAGCAATTGGAATTCTGGATCTGGTGATTCTAATAAAAATTCCAACTGGGGAAACAATGGCAACCAGAACACAAACAAATCCTCTTGGGGTACAGGGAATGAAAACAAACATTCCAACTGGAGTTCTGTGCAAACTGATTCTGGAAATCAAGATTCCAGTTGGGGCAAGAAAAGCAATTGGAACTCTGGAAACAGTGGACACCAGGCTTTAGATCCAAACAGTAGCAATTGGAACTCTGGTTCTGGTGATTCCAATCAAACTTCCAACTGGGGAAGAAATGCCAACCAGAATTTTAACAAATCCTCTTGGGGCGCTGGAAATGAAAACAGGAATTCCCACTGGAGTTCTGGGCATACTGATCCTGGAAATGAATGTCCAAATGAAAATTCTGATGATAGAGGGGGCAGTGGGAACTGGAGAGGTGGTTACCGTGGTAGAGGAGGTTTTAGAGGTAGAGGTTTTCGGGGTAGAGGAGAGCGGGGGGGCTTTGGTAGCCGAGGAGAGCGTGGAGGCTTCAGTGGTCGAGGAGAGCGTGGAGGCTTTGGTGGTGGTGGTAGATCAGACAGGGAAGGTTTTGGTGGTAGATGGGGATCAAGCAGAGGGTTTGGAGGTCGAGGAAGGGGTGGCCAATCTGGTGGTGGGAACAACAGAAGGGATTCTGGTGAGGATGGGTCTGCTGACTGGAAGAAGGGATCGGATAATGTTGAAGGGTGGAAGAGTGATAATGGATCTAGGGCTTGGAACCAGGATAGCAGTGACAAGGGTGGGCAGAGCTGGAGCCAGGGAAATGCAGATAAGAAGTGTCCAAGCTGGAACCAAGGAGGTGGAAGTAATAAGCAATGGCAGAGCTGGAGTTCAGCAAGTGGTAGTTGGAAAAATGGGGGGTCAGGGCAATTGACAGAGGCTAAAAATGGTGCGGGATGGTCAAAAGAGGGAGATTTTGCCCAGGAAAATGCTTCAGTCACTGGAGATAATGGGGCTTCCCAAGGAGCTTGGAATTGTGAAACTGGTGACAAGAAGGATGGGCAGAGCTGGAGCCAGCGAAATGCAGATAAGGAGAGCCTGAGCTGGAACCAAGGAGGTGGAAGTAATAAGCAATGGCAGAGTGGGACTTCAGTAAGTGGTGGAGCTAGTGATAATTGGAACAACAATGAATCAAAACAGACCACAGAGGCTAAAGATGGTACTGGCTGGACTTCCCATGGGGACCACGGTTCTAGCTGGAAAAAATCCACTACAATTGAAGAGACCAATATCCAGGAGGGTGGGTGGAATAAGGGATCTAATTCAAACACCACTTCTGGGGGCCGGGACAATCAAGAGATGGGTTGGAATAGGAGTGCTGTTTCAGGGGATGGAAGTGAAAGTGGAGACGGAGTTCTGAGTTGGGGCCAATCAAGTGCAGCAGACAAGGGTCAGTCATCTAGTTGGAAAGGATCAGCTGATGATGGTAAGGAAGAAACAATGAACTGGTTTGCATTTATTTTTCTAAAAAAATAAATTTAAAATTTTGAAAAGATAAGTAGAATTACAATGCAAATTAATGATTTTTATGAATCATTATTAATTAAAAGTTTATGTGCGAAATAGTATTAATCTTACGTGTTTCTAATAAATTTATGAACACCAGATTTATTCTCACCTTATTTCCTTAATGTCTGTTTCATTATATGTAGGTGCAGCTGGTTCGTGGGGCAAGAGAAGTGATGGGAGTGACAAAGGTGGATGGTAATTGCTTTCTAGAACGTGCTAGATATCAAATAAGGAATTCTAGCTCAGGCATTTGTAACTGATGGCAAACTTTTCTTTTGTAAATCATTTCTAATCTGTCTGATAGAACTTGATGTTTATTATTTTTGTCTTTTAACTATTGTATGCGGAACTGATGAATACCAATCCTTTTTTCCGGGTTACGCTATGAATGTTGAGAAATATGCTTCCCTGAAATTGGATGCTTTAGTGGTATTACAATGTTCTTTTATGTGATTTTAGGGTTGGGATTATGTTTTTTCTATATTGTGAAATAGTCAGGAATGAATAACCGAAGGAGTTGACAATGGTGATTCACGATGTCCGAACATCAAAATTGATGGCAGTTTTGTAAGGCATAGGGATGAATAAATTATAATCAGAAGTTAGTTCGAGCTTTTGCAGTGGTGCATAAAAAATATCAAACGCAATACGAACCGTGATAGCTTACCTGAACAATGTTTTTTTAATTTTGGATCATAAATATTTACAAGGGATAATTTATTTGGATTATATATATATATATATATACACACACACACACTACAGTGAGATTAGTTTTTCAATTATCTATTTATAACCTAAATGATAAGTTGACATTATTTAAGTTATTATGTATTTTAATAAATATATTGTTATAATTTAACAAAATATAAAATTATGTATACTCTTAAATATTTAAGTTTTTTTTAAAAAAAAAAAAACTATAACATCAACGAAACTTTTAGAAGAAAATATTATGTCTTTTGATCTCTTGAAATTATTATTCATTTAGAACATATTTGTTTCAGTTTTTTTTATATGAAAAATCCTTTAATTTTAAAACAAATTAACATGCCTGTCTGAGCTTTTAAATATTTCTTCGAATCTGTTCTTAATGCCTCCAAATTTCTATCTGGCCTAGAATTTTCTCGCGTCCCAAACAACACATCTAATTCTCCCCTTGACAAATTTACCGATTTTTATTTATGTGAGTGAAGAACGACAACGCCTTGGATTGAATGCGAGTCAATTTCCGCTTCGTCGTGGTTTACGTGGCAACATGATTCGGCGTTCCCCCGAATCCAACCCAGAAGCCGCACCATTAAGGCTTCTGCTACCTCAAATCCAAATTCCGCTTCCTCCCATTAACATTCGAACAATCTCTCCCAATTTCTAGGGCTTTTGATTATTCATTCCCACAACAACTCCCTCCTCCAACCAAATTCCATTGCATTCCCCAAAATGATCAACAAGATCATAAAACGCGCCCACAAAAAATTAGTAAAATCGGAATTCCCCGAAAATTCCCCAAACGCAGACCAATTCTACGAAGTAGTCGTGAAACACGCGTCTCGTGCCGCCAGCGCCAATTCCGATCCGCTAAACTTCCCTCCGGCGGCGGCGTCCCCCAGTCCCACCGTAATCGAGGCACTTCCGCCAATCGGAGACGTCGCCGTTTCAGAACGGCCCGCTCTGTTCCTCCGAAAAATAAAACTCTGTTCCTTCCTCTGCGATTTTTCAGACACTCTCAAGTCCGTTCACGAAAAAGAAACAAAGCGGCAAACACTCGAAGAGCTCGTCGAAATCATCCAATCCGGTTCATACGCATTCAGCGATAATCAAGAACAACTCGTTAAGATGGTTACCGTTAACATCTTCCGTTGCTTGCCTCCGTCGTCTCGCAACACTGAAAACGTGGATCCTGAAGACGATGACAAGTATTTGGACCCGTCGTGGCCACATTTACAACTCGTCTATGAAATTCTCTTGCGTTACGTTGTGTCACCCGAGACTGATATAAAAAGTGCGAAGCATCACGTTGACCATGTCTTCGTTTTGAAACTCATTGACTTGTTTGATTCGGAGGACCAACGAGAACGCGAGTATTTGAAAACAATTCTTCACCGAATTTATGGGAAGTTCATGGTGCATAGGCCTTTCATAAGGAAAGCCATCAACAACGTGTTTTATCGGTTTATATTTGAAACGCAGAGGCATAATGGTATTGCTGAGTTGCTTGAGATTATGGGTAGTATTATAAATGGTTTTGCATTGCCAATGAGAGAGGAGCATAAGCTGTTTCTAATTAGGGCTCTTGTACCTCTTCACAAGCCCAAATCGATTTCCTCTTATCACCAACAACTGTCGTATTGTGTTGTTCAGTTCGTAGAGAAAGATAACCGACTTGCAGATCCTGTGATCAAGGGTTTGTTGAAGTTCTGGCCCGTCACCAATTGCCAAAAGGAAGTGCTTTTTCTTGGAGAACTTGAAGAGGTTCTCGAGGCAACTCAACCGCCTGAGTTTCTGCGGTGTATGGTCGCTCTTTTCAGGCAGATTGGGCGCTGCCTTAACAGCCCTCATTTTCAGGTTTGTTTATATACCACATTCATTCAGTTAACTTGTTTTAATTAGCTTAATTTTGCATATATGTAGCTTCTGGGGTTTGCTTTTGTTGAGATTCCTTGTCTATTATGTGTGCGTCTTTTTTTACTTTCATTGGACGGTGTATACTTGAGTGGGGTTTTATATGGTTCCTTGGATTTTGGAATAGTTACCGTTGCCTACTGTCTTTTCCTTATGAAACTATGGTTGGGAAACTTGTCATCCATTTCGTCTGCTGACCTTCACCATCCATGCAATGGGAAAAGTAAATAAGCAATAGATGGAGAAATATTCAAATTTGGTTTTGTTCTTTTTCATTTATTGTTGGGGCACTTCTTTTTTTCTTTTTGCTTAGGATTGTGGAACTTCGCTTGAGTCTAGCTCAGAAAAGATGTTAATCGTGATTATATCTGTCAGTGATTGCTTCCATTTGGGCTGACATTTTATGTGGAGGAAAATTGAAAATTTTCTTAAAAATGACCAGCTTGTACTCCAGGAATCAATGTAACCTAAACAATAAAGGAGCAAATACAGAGACAGTAACTGAACCTTTTATTAGTGTCATGAATTTGTGACGATGATAATATGGTATAGTTTATGTGTGCTTTTCAACAAGAAAGAACTCTCAAATATAGGATGTAACACGGTACGTACGCAAGCAAGCTTCTAAGCCCTAGAATCCGCAATGGAATTGAAACTAAAACTCAAACACTATCCCTCTCTTTACCCTGATACCACCCACATTCTATACTATATCCCTCACCTGCCCCTTTCTCTGTCCATCACTCTTCATGCTATAAAAGTGTAACTATTTCCACTTTATTTTTCTGACATCGGCTGCAATATTGATGAACTTGTTTTCTTTATCTGTGGGGAAATACTAAGCTATAAATTAGTTTGGTTTTAGTTGGCTGCAATTTCTTGATAATATTTGACCGAGATCTGAAATCCTTTTTCTTACTCGTGGGGATGCTACATGTATCTAAGCTTTTTGTGATGTAAAGATGCTTGGGTGTCTCATTGTGATTAGCAGGCAGGGCCTGAGGGACATTGTGGTTAAGTTTAGGCCTTTGAAATTTGGACCTAGTTTAATTGGTTATGCATTGGGTTGTTAGTATTTTATTATATGTAATATCAATCCTTAAGATGGTAAAGGGAAATGTTTCTTTATTATTTTCTCTTGATTGCTCTCTCTTATAATTGTATTCCATGGCAGGTTGCTGAACGAGCACTTTACTTGTGGAACAATGAGCACATTATAAGTTTAGTAGCTCAGAATCGAAATGTTATATTGCCAGTAATCTTTGAAGCTTTGGAAAATAACATGAAAAGCCATTGGAACCGAGCAGTAAATGGGCTGACAGCCAATGTGAGGAAGATGTTCCTGGAGATGGATGCTGCCCTTTTTGAAGAGTGTCAAAGGCAGTACTTAGAGAAAGAAGCCAGGGCTAGAGAATTGGAAGAAAAAAGGCTATTAACGTGGAAGAAATTGGAAGCAGTGGCTGCACAAGCCGTGAGGGACGATATGGTTTTGGTTCGTTAAGGGCTCCAAACTCTTTTTTGTTACACGGTGGTGGTTGTGCAGAAATTTCTTCCTAAATTGGGGTTGCAGTGACTGACCAAAAAAAAAAGAATTGGGGTTACATCACTGCTGCATATCAAAGTTGGAAAGGAAGAAATTGTAATTATATTTTAATTACAAGGCACGGTGAACAAGATATGCACAATAACAAGCTTGCAAGTCCTCTTTCTCAGTGAAACAAGGACTACAATCTTCATTTGATCCTTCCCTTGCTTCTTGGTTTATTCTTGTGTCAATTGTAAATACAACGTTACATTTTTCTTCAACTAAGTTGTCATTTAATCCTTCACATTCACCCGCTGAATGAAAAAATGGTGCCGTTGGTCACCACATTTTGGTGAATAGGAAGAGCTTGTGTCATTTATGGTTAGGAAAAAACAACGAGCAACTACTCATCTCTCGTCATTGTTGGCCTTCACAATTTTGAAATAGAATAACTGAATTAATATTGTCCAAAATATTGAATAATAACAATAACTTTTTTAACACATGTAAAGCACATTTAATAAAAAACTATATATAATAATTTGTGTTAAAATAATAAAATAACAATTTAATATATTACTAACACTAAATGTGGTAATTTTTATTTTTTTAACATACATTCTTAAGTATATAGGAAAAGATTTTAAAAATATAAAAATAATTGCATACTATATGGAATAAATTAATAAATTATTTTTTTTAAGTCTTATTTTGTTTTGATATATTTCTATTTGAAGAAGTAACGGACTGATGTATTTCATCTGGGAAGCAGTAAGTTACTGTTGAATGAGTCAAGTAGCCAACCATTCCTTGGGAAGTAGTACTAAAATACACTCACTACTATTTTTAAACAACAATGGCTGTTTTATCGTACTACTTAAGAACAATAAAAGTTTGTCTTCATTTTAGTAAATTCTGTTTTTCCACTCTTTGTTGGGTAAATAAATGCGGTCACTTTAACAAGTTTTTATTCCCGTTACATATCACTTTTAAACCTACCAAGACTTCTTTGAAAACGGCACTATATAAAATTGTACAAAATTAGTAATATTAAGATCAAGCACCCTGAAATAATCAAAGATAAAACCATTTTGATAAATTTGTCCATATATTGTGGAAATTAAAGATGTAACTCTTAATTTTTTGGCGAGAAAAATCAATCATACCACAAAAATAGCTGTATATTTTATTTTTTAAAATTAAAATATCAAATATTTATTCACTTTCTGGCATAATAAATCAACTAATACTTTATCAACTTTCAGGTCATTATATAATATCTATGAAAGGAATCAAAACTAATTTTTGGTAAACACCGAAGGAATATGTAAATAGAAAAAAGTGAATACCTATTTATTATTTATTTTAAATTAGTAATATTATAAAGTATTTTAATTAAAATTAAAAGTGGATAAAATCTCACATTTTCACTTATATAGTTTTCACTTTTCTAAATTTGGTCCAACATAATTATATTAAAAAATTATTATTATTTAAAAAAGAAAAATAGAGACTATATATTTATTAGTTAAAATTTACTAAGAAATACAAAAATAAAGAAGAAAAATATCAAATAAAAAAAAACGAGACCCAAGTATTTTTTATAAATTTTAATTAATAATTAAAGAAAAAGAGACAAGGAGTTAGGAATGGACAGAGTTCCGATGGTATAAGCATTGATTTGTCCTTTTGTTCCAAGTAGATTATTTGTTTTATCTAATGATATAATACCTCATTATTTATGGGCACAATCTAAAAAATGTTTATTTTATGGGCACTTGAATTGTTTTTATCATTATTATATAGATATTGTAGGAATGGCACGAAGAGAGAAGATGAGGGGAAAAAACCATCTAATAGAGTTATAATACTTCCCAGAGATATTCACATTCAAATGCAGATAGCAAGATTCTTTAGAACTGGACGGTTTGACAATTTCTTCATGATATGGAGACAAGCCATGTTAATCAATTCATTATTACATAGAAAAAAGAACACTGAAATTAAATAAAAAGAGGACATGAAATTGACATGGCTTTAGAAATGCCACTCCATCCACCCACATCCTAATCTTCTCTTTTGGCTTTTCCATTGGTCAGCTGAATCATTTTTTTCCATGGAAGTGGAACCACTAAGGATGAACTCCAAAATTAAATTTAGAAAAAACCCAATAAGAAAGTGTTAGTATTAAACATTACAAAGGCCAAGAATATCTTATAATAATAACTCAAAGTTGTTGTACCAATTTCACAACAAACCAAGATGATGCTAACACAAGTGAGGTAAAAGCACACCCAAAAACACAAGTAGAAGACCCCACATATAGTGCAATAAAATTGTATTTACAAGTTGGAATAAACCAATTCTAAGTACATGTATATAATTATTGCAGCAAGTAATGTGCAGCTCAGATAACTTACATAGAAAAATGTGCATTATTGATGTTGGTGAATATAGCAAAAAAAAACTAGGTCACAATCACCATAGCTATGAGACAATTTGTTTTATGCAAATAATATTATTGATAATAATTTATATGAAGCAATATACAATAAACGCAAGTTAGGTTAAATTTTGTTTTTTACACTTCGACTTTTTTATTTTAGTTTTCGTATTAAAAAATTATATTTTAGTCTTTATATTAAAAAATATAAATGAATCCATATTATTTATTGAAATTATCAGGATATTGGGGTTTTTTTTTTTTATGTATGACCTAAATCAAAAATGATCTTTCATGCACTGGGACCAAAATATAGAGCTTATAAATGGAGGTACCAAAATAAAATGCAAATGTAAAAATTAAAACAATAAAATTGTATTAATTATTGAAACTAAATTTAATACAACTTTAATTTGATAAACAGCAAAAAGTAATTTATAAATAATTTTGTATACAATAATCAAAATTTTTACCTAAGTATTAAAAAAACATAAGAATTATCATCTATGATGTATTCTAATTGAATGATAATATCATTTTTTTTTACATTAAAAATGAATCAAAATTAAACTCCGAATATAATTACTTTAAAAGTTCTGTTTGAGACAATTGTTAATGAATGAAATGTGTAAAATTATTTACGTTAATAATATGTTAAAATTAAACACTTAAAAAATGGTTTTTTTAACCATTGTCACAAGAGCATTAGTTAAAAAATCAAAAATAGTTTTCTATTAAAATATAATATTTAATTACTCTTTTTACATTCTTAAAAAAAATTGAGCCTTGAAAATTGAAAATTTTAATAATTTTTTTAAACTAATATACTTGAGGTAATTGACCTCTATATATTAAATGGGAGCTTTTATTTTTAAATTAGAGTATTTTTAAAAGTTATTATTTTATTATGTCATGTAACTTCTATTGAAGTTTTTGAATTTTATTTTTATTTTTTGTATAACTTATTTTTAATTTAATATTACTTGGTATAATAAAATATTTATTATTAATGATAAAAATATTACTTTTCAAAAAGTTTTAAAAAAATTATAAGTTTAAAAATAGTCATATAGCATATTTTAAATTTTCATTAAAAAATATTTCAATTTAATAATATACGATAAACTCACTAAAGAAAAATAAAGCCAATGTTAAAAAAACCCTTGCCTAGTTTTCTTTAGAATTTTTCACTCTATCTATTATTCAGCATGGAAAATATTCTTATTTCTTTTTATCCATCTTCGCAGATAATACATAAATTATAAAAACACAATTAGTACTTTTATTTACATTAAAATTATTTTAATACATTGGATAATTATTAATATTTTTAAAAAATGAACATAAAAATATAATAAAAAATTATAACTAATATTATTTTAAATCTTTAAAAATAAAAAATAATAATAATTACTTTCATTTTTAAAAGTGAGCAAATAGAAAAAACGAAAGTAATGCATCTGAACATATCCCAACACGGTATCGAGTTATTAAATTTAAATCTATACGGCGAATGATACACTGCAAATTTATAGGGTGTATATTTAAGCGGTGTCTTGCATTATCAATGTTTAAACATTTTCAAAAATGAGTTTTAAACCTTGAGATTTAAATGGTCAAAGTTCATAAAGTTGGAACCAGTATACAAAATATCAACCGAGATTAAAAGAAAGCAAACTAAATTCAATACATTAATCTATACATTTGAGGAGATGACCAATCATATTGCACCTAGCCCTGTTTAGATTTATAATAGTTTAAGAGCTGTATGCATAAACTAAACATGATTTCTAAGTTCTAAACTTAAAAAGAAATAATGGAAACTTTGATCTTTCTTTTCCTTTTGATAAATTTTTGGGTATCAAAGGAATTTTTTTTTTCCCCACTCCCAATCGTATGATCATAGAAATGATAATAGAATGGCATGGTAGGTGGTAGTGTCCAAAATGAAAATAATTAAAAGAGACAAAAAGGTTGAAACAAATACAATGGATGAGAAAGTTAATGGTGCTGCTGCTTGGCTGCTGCTACCTCTGAATATCATCCCAAAGAAGTCCCCATCGTCACCGCTGGACCCCTCATTGTTACCTTTGCTGGTGGCTCCGGTTATGGTCCCACCTCCGTTGAAACCGGGATATAAATCCCCATTATCCCTATTCAATTATTTAGTTATAAGAACTCAAAGAAAAGTACTTGCTTTGGTTTGGTAGACATTAAAAAATAACTGATAATGATAGAGAAAAAACATTAGCTTCAAATTGAAGGAAAGACAAGGACAAGTTTCTTTCTTGTTTAGACTGCACTGTTATGGGCACATCTTGTTTAGACCCTTCACTACACCAAATCATCTTCCTTCCTAAAGGCTTCGACTTGAAGAAAAGCAAAATATCAAGTAATTTGATTATTATTAATATTAATAGTAATAGTAATTTGTTGTGGGAGCTAGCCTCCCGCGAGTCATTAACACCTCAGAGTAAGTTGAACTTTTTCAAGAGTGTCAATGCTCAATTGTTACTTGCCGCCTTATTTGATATTAGTTAAAATGTGTATAACGACAGAGAGTAGGAAAGAGTGAGTGGATCTCAGACGTCGGAAAGATGGGCCTTTAGCCTGTAAGCCGTGTGAGAATGAGTCAACACATGCATGGAAAAGATCAGGAGAAAAGATGCTTTAGAATTAAAGAAACATGCGTGACTAGATTCAACAATTTCAGGCAAAGAAGTCAAATTCGAAATAAATTAATTTAGGTAGTAGTTTGAAATTCAAAAGAGAAGTGTTAGCAAGTAGCAACACTTTTATGTATTTAACATGCTCACTGCTATTGGATGTGTTTGAAAACACATTAAAAAGCCTCTAAACGTCGAATCCACCGATTAATGTCAGTCTCGCTTCGTATTTTGTTGTAATCATTTTGTTTATAGTAGGAGCAGTGTTCTGAAGCTGTCCTAGAGAATGTTATTAATAAGTATACAATGAGGTAATGAGCCAATGCAGTTTAGAGTAGCTTAGCCAGTTATAAGACTAAACAGAAATAAGGAAAAAAGGTTAACGGTGGTGGACAGCGAGAGGAAGTTAATAAGGGGAGAGTCCCTTTCCCAATTATGATCGGAAGATGCCTCTTGGTGGTGAGTGAGTTGTTACTGGTATGTGTCGAATCAGAAATGGGCCCAAAAACACGTTATACCATGAAAGGTCCCACTCTTACTTGCTGGAAAGCAGATAAAAAGGAATATAATTTCAGCCATATCCCCATAACATCTGACGTGGGGGCAAGTTTCTTTTACTCTATACACTCCCAAGTCCAACCCTAGTCTTTAACCTCCTATTTCCCCACATGCACCTCCTCACCACTCCTTTTTCGCCCTTTCTTTTTTTTTCTAACTATTTGATTTATTGGAGTTCAATGACACTCTACTTAATTTCCAATTTCAAGTCTTTTTTTGGTCAATCCAATTCCAAATGTTTTGAGTGTTTATAATATATCACATGTACCAGGCGGACAAGAAGCACAGTACCCACCCCCACCAAAATGTCCAAAGGGGATCAAAAAAAGTTCACTGCTTTCAAAATCTCCCACAGAAAAAAGAAAAGATTTTACCTAGTCTAGTGCATATTGAACTTTAATTTATGCAGCAAGGAAAAGACAAATGAAGTGTAAACAAGGATGTTGCCTGTTGGGCCATATGACCATGAGGTAGAGATTCCCATTTCCCAATGACCTCACGATCACGTGCATTGGCCAAAAAGCCCCACTTTCCCACCCATTTTCTAAATTATTAATTAATATTGCTAATCCCGATCTCGTGTTACTCCATTACTACGTTGTAAAGTGAGATTTAGCATAAACCCAAGTTTAGGATACAAGACAGGGAAAAGTGGAAACACGCTAATTACTAGCATCGGAACAACATTGCTCCCAGCTTTTCACAGAATTTGGACCAATAAGCATCGAAATTCGAAACAACTTGTATCGTATGGTTGGCATTGTGTTGTACCGCGTCATAAATTAATAGAAGTGAAAAAGACGACACTAACCTTTTTTCGTATTAGCTAAATACGAGATTACCCTTTCCAAGGACAGTTAGAAGACGGGTAATGTCCGTTGTTGGGACAGATTATTTGATTCGAGAATTGAATAGGAAAGGCAAAGCATTATGCGAGGGAATAAGAATAAGTGAATAATAATAATAATAATAACAACATGCTTCTACAATAACATCGAAAAGCTAAGTTGATATAAAATAAAATAAATAACAAAAATACCTGGGATCACCGAAGACACCGGAGTACATGGTGAGCTGGTCAATCTGCACGGCGGATTTGGGTTGGACGCTCGTGGCTTCCGCGTACTGAGCACTAAGGCCTGCACCCGAAGGCACAAAGAACGCTCCATTTACCATTATGTCCCCCTCCGTCCTCCAGTTCCAGTCACTCCACTGCCCCTCGTCCGTGTCCACGCGCTTCGTCACCTGCCACTCCAAAACCCTAATCATGTTGGTCACGCGCCACCCATGCGAGTACAAGAAGCATATATATTCATTCGTTTGAAACAGGAGTCAAACAAACAGTGACCCACATACATGACATGATGTACAATTCCCATTCCCAAGAACAGGAAAAAAAATAATTTCATGAATTAATTAAAAAAAAAGAAAAAGTGAAATTAATTAATCACCTCTTTGGCATTAGGGTCGGAGGGAGCAGTGTAACGGTTACCCTGGCTGTTAATGGTGGGGTTAGCGCTACCGCCGATAGCATACATCTGCCACTGTGTGAAATCGTTGTTGACGACGTGGATATAACCGAGTCTGCACCGTGGCATGCGCTGCACCAAACCCTCCCCAAAGTGATTAAACGCAATCGTAACCTGCATGCCCCTATCGGGTAAGTACTTGTCGGTGTGACCCAAAAGCATCACCTCATCATGGTGCGCGAAATGGTTATTCGAAATGGTTATCCCCGTCGACCCCATGATGGCGTCGATCAAGCCGTCCGTGCAGTACGACAGCGAACAATGGTCGATCCAGATCTTCCGCGAACCAAATATCGATATCCCGTCGCCGTCCGATACGCCTCTCCACCCTACGTGCGTTGGACTCGCGCGTATGTTAGTGTTCCCGGAGGGCTTGCAGTGGTGCACGTGGATGTTGTGGATGATCACGTTCGACACGTACTGAAGCGTGATGCACCCGTGCCCCGTCACGTGCACGTTGGCTCCGCGCCCGTCCACCGTTTTATAGCTGTTGAAGATGAGTTCGTGTTTTAGCGTTATGGTCATGTCGGCGGCGAACACGATCCAGAGTGGCTCGTCTTGGATGACGGCGTGCCGGAGCGTGCCGGGCGTCGGGTTGGCAGGGTCCCGGTCGGAGGAGTCCGTGACAACGTAGATCTGACCGCCCTTTCCGCCCATGGCGTCGCGGCCGAACCCGACGCCGCAGTCGGCCAGCTTCTGGCGGTTGGCGGCCCAGTTTGGGTCGCAGCGCCAGCAATCGTCGACGGGGTTTCCAGTGAGGCAGGGAGCTTGGTCCTTTGAGAGCATTTGGCGTCTGGAGAGTGAGGCATTGACTTTCCTGCAAGAGGGAAAAGAATGAGAGAAATAGAATGCAATGCGAAGAGTGTGAATGAGAGGAAGGGTTTTGGGTCACTGCTTACCGTTGAAGTTCGTGAACGACCGCTTCAGGGTAAGGGTGTTGGTGGGGTAAGGTGAGGTTGAGGTTGTGGACTGCCTTGATTGGGGGTGAGAATGAACTGAGGAGGCACATTAAAAGAATGCAGGTGATGGGAAGCATTGTTCTTTGTTCTTTCAATCAGCAATAATAATGACTCGGGTTTTGCGGGGTAAGAAAAGAGGGGTTGCGGGTTTTCTCTGTTTTTTGTTTCTTTTTTCCTTTTTTTTGTTTCTTCTTCAATGCACAACTACTTAGGAAGGTCGAAAATTTTGGGGAAATGGGATGGAGTTATATAATAAACAAGGTTTATAATAATAATGATGGTAATTATTGGAGAACGGAAAATTATGTTGCCTTTTGGGTGGGGTTTTGAGGGGGTTTTGCTTTGCGATGGATTGGCGAAATGGAAGAGAAGCGAGGGAAAGAGAGAAAGAAAGAAAGAGTCTCTTCTTTCCCTCTACGGTTTTGTTTTCTAATTCTTCTCCCTCGCAGTTACTCACATTCTTTGCCTTACTTGCTAGTCCTTCCTGGCATTGCGGCTATATAATAACAATATAATAATAATGAACTAAAACTACAGAGAAAGGGAAACATAAACAGAGGCTTATCCGAATGGTGAAGGGAAGGGAACCCAACTCTTTTATTTTCTTTTCTTATGCATCAAAAATTAGTCGCCTCTTTTTTTACTATCTTGTGTGGATTAAGATTCTTTGCGGCAACTTTGTGAGGTCTTATTCCCATTAATCCCCCACCTCCACTTTTTCAAAACCCTTTTATCTGTTGTATCACTTTATGGATGGGTGGGAAAAAGATTTGAGGTTGATACTAATGAACAAGATTGCATCTTCCGGTCAATTTCTTGCTCCCAGAGTGCAAATGCAGGCGCCCCTTCCTTACAAAGATTTCCTTTTCTTTGCTCCTCAAGAAAAGTAACAAAGATACAAAGTGGAGAGGCAGGGAAAAAAAACAAGTATCTTTGCGCTTCCATGTGTAATTTGGCGCAACCTTTCCTATTCGGAAACAGAGACTTCAAAAACAAGTTGCAATTTTGGTAATGTATTTAAATACAGACATAGATATAGATGCAGATTTGTGCCTTCAACTTTATTCATAAAATAAATATTGCGTGTATTCATTTAATTTTTTAGATTAAATCTATAAGATGAAATTTCCAAGTTTAATTTACTATTCAAAGTTTAATTTTGACTCATTATCCTTCTTCTCATACTACATTTACTCATTACAGAGAAAAAGGAATGCAAGTTAAATGTTCTGCAGCCAACATTTTCAAGTACATATTCACTTTCTAGTTTCAATCAAGTGCATTCTCAATTAAATCAGATGTCCATATGTAGTTTACGCGTACCAACCCTTTCACTTAAAAGAAGATAAAAATATTTAATAATGTGTTGAAGAGTTTTATATCTGTTTATTTCTGAATAAAAACTATTTACTTCAACTGAAAACATACAAGTTATTGGTGCAAGAGAAACAAAAATTAAAGAAAATGAAAATAGCTACAAAATTCAAAGAAGGAGAAAGTGATAATATGCTTGTGATGTATATTCAATATCTCGATTCATATTTCTGAACTGTGACCTACAAGAAGCCGTGAGTTTATAGAAACACGAAACAGACATCTACGATAGTCTATATTCAAATATTGTAGGCTCCACTGGATTTGTATCCAACGAAATTAAGTTTTCTTTCATGTCTGTCGATACCTATTATGGAGTATACTCTTTAAAGAATATGTAGTCCATGTAATAATAATTGATTGATTGATTGATTAATTTTAAACTGTTAGCTATAATTAGAATATAAAAATAAATTAATCTTGATTATAAAATTCATACTATAACGTGGGTCACGGCATGAATAATTGATTTCATGCATTCATTAAACGAACACTTGAACCATTTTTTGAAAAATGGATGTTAATTTCATGCCTTTGAAAGTGACGTTCTTTTTTCATTTTAATAGTTTAAAAATTTTGTATTAGTGGGAGCAACTTTTTTATAAGATAGAAAGCACATATCGTTAATTTAAATAATTTAGAATCGTGTGCACCTAACCTCATAATGTCTATTACACAAATCAAATGCATCTATAATTGATTTTACCAACCATGCTAGTATCATTAATTAAAGTGTAGATTTTATCCATACAATCCTTGACTTTGTGATTAGAAATTCACAAGTCTAGTGGGTGGGTGTTTGCCTCTCCTCGTCTAGTATTAAGGCGTTCAGGTAACTATAAGCGGTGTCCACCAATATCCTTGCCCAATTCACATGCAACCCAATGATTACTAAAGCCCACCCAGCCCAGACCATCAGGACTTTGAGAATATTGCAGCATTCGACCCAAAAGAAAAAATGTAATATTACAGCACTGCTTTGAAGTGGGCTCGAGTCCGTTTCTTTAATCTTTGTTTGGATTTTTGGTGATGATATTGGGAGGTAAATTCCATAAAATAAGATTTTCAAAAGAGAGAAATGTTTGTAACAATTATATTTTATGGGAACGATTCATGGGGGCAAAAAGGGAGATTGGCAAGCTAGAGTGATTGTGTAAACCTCAAGGTTTGATGAAACTCTTATATTCTTTTTAATATTGGAAAAGATAGAAATACACTTTTCACATTCAAGCTTTCTAACCAAGAGTTCGATAATAAACTTGTAAGTTGAATTCAAAATTTACACCACATTTTCTATAATATTTATAAAATTAAAAAACAATGTTACAAATAATTTGTTTGTATAATACGTTACTGAACATATTTAAAATTTAATATTAAAAAAAACAAAAAAAAAATTATAATAGTTTGATTTGTGATAGTATACATAGTTTAACTTTAACTCAATATATGAATTGGATTAATAATTTTTTAATATGTATTATTAATTTTTTAAAGTTATAAAAAGTTAAAGTACACCTTATATTCTGAAATTATTTTTAATAAAATGTGGATACTTAACTAAAAAATAAAAGTTGAATATAATAGTAAAATATTATAAATAATTGTGTTTCATTAAAAATGATTTTGTAGCTGATTTGACAATTAATAATGATATTGAAAATTTTTTAAAAGTGCATGCCTCTTTCATAAAAATTAATAATAAATTGATAAGAAAAATGTATAACAAAATTTATAAATTAATAATAAAATCTCAAATTTGACACACAAGCATGGATAATGATCCGCTCAGTGGATAAAACTTGACAAGTTTTTTCTCACCTTGGATTGCTATAATCAGATTGATGAAGACAACTTTGCTTTCTCTCCAATCATTAGTCTAATTTCCTTAGACTTGGCATATCCATCTTATTAAATTAGAAGTAAAATTCACATCTGTTTTGCACAAAAACAAAATCTCCTTATCAAGCGAGGATACTATTCATGATTATTAATCAACAATTAATGATATATATTTTTAAAAATAATATGTAAAAAATATTATATTAAAAGAGTATCAAATATCATTTGTCTTCATCAACTTGCGTATGGTAACCCGATCCTATAAAATTTGTAACAAAATAGCTTCACATTTCGTTATAAAAATCCTTTAATAGATCTAAATTTAATCACCTTCCATTAATAAGTTTTAATAAAAATAACACGTAAATGAATTCAATGTAATTTTGTCCGTTTTAAACATATGAAGCTATTTCTGACTACTTTGACGGCCTTTTTCACTTAAAATGGGCTTCTCATATTCATTGCAACGGTGCACCAAGTGTCCATTATTAATCTGATAGAGAAATGTTATTCATATTAAAAAAAAACTATATTCCTTAAATGCAAACTCTTGAATTTTAATTTTTTGTATGACAAAATTTATTAAAAGAGTTGATAAAATACATTTTTTTAAAAAGTGAATAATATATTTTATAATAAAATTTTGTTAATTTCAACTCTTAAGACTGATAATAAACAGCTAATAATAGTAAAATTTTATTAAAAAATATATTTATTATATTTTTATACCTTTAATACAATAATTATGTATTTTTTTTATTTATAAATGTTTAAATTCAACCCTAAAAATTGAAGATAACAAAATTCTTTATAATAAAAATAAATAGATGACATGATGAGAGGTAAATAAATAAAAAATGTGAAATTAAAAATCTTACTACTCTTCTTTTCACATTGCCTACTAATGAACAGATGTAACATTTTTAACCCTTTTTGTTATATAGGAAGTTTTTTTTATTATCATTATTGTTATGTGTCCTTAGTATTCAAACTAAGTATGAAATTACACATCGAGTCAAAAATAATCTTTAAAATTGAGATTAACAAAATTCTTTATAATAAAGAAAAGAAAATAAATGACATGATGAGAGATAAATAAATAAAAAATAAAAAATTAAAAACCTTACAACTCTTCTTTTTACATTGTCTACTAATAAATAGATGTAACATTTTTAACCCCTTTTATTATACAGAAAATTTATTTATTATTGTTATTGTCATGTGTCCTTGGTATTCAAACTAGGAGTGTGAAATTATGCATCGAGTCAAAAATAATCCTCAACTAAAACCTTGGCTAGAGTACCAATTTTACAATTGAAATCAATATTCAAAAGAAGTTTTAGTGAAACTACGGTTCACTTTTAACGGATCAAATGCTGTTTGGGATTAAATAAATATATTTTATTAAATATAAAACTTTCAATGAAAGTGCATTCTAATTATAATAATAACTGAAAATTTTCATCAATAAAATGAAAGTTTGGAATTCTGAAAATTACAAGTCAATAATATCACAAGTTTTGTTTCCCTCTTATTTTGAAAGCAATGAGAACAATATTTTGTTTTAAAAAAAGTGGAGATTTTTTTTTCAAAAAATATATCACTTAACTAACTATCTAAATATATTAATTTCATTTCAATGCCTTATAATTTGCAAAAATTAAATTTTGTCGTGCAAACCATGCTTGTCTTGGTGCCAGAGCCACAATCCACAAGGCAGTACCCGTTTGTCAATGAATTCTAACGTTTTCAACGAAATAGTTAAAAATAATTTAAACACATAACTTAAGTATATTTAACAATAAGATAATAAATAAACTCACGATCTATTAGAATAAGAATTATAGGAATTTTTTATGTGCATAAAGATAGTTTTAAATAAAGTTTATCTCCTTAATAAATTTTTTCTATCCACGTAATAAATAATCAAATTTTAATTAATATATTTTAAAAACTCAACCCATCTATAAAATACTACGAATAATAACGGAAATTCCAACATAAATGTACCACACCAGAGAGACAAGTTTCAGATTCAGCAATATTTCATAAATAACTTTCAAAATAAGTATATATGGCTTAGTATCAAGCTAGACAACAAGGCTACCATATGATACATGACAGATGGCACCCTCACCACTTGATAAGTGTTCACGAAAAAATGATCAAGAGTCAATCTTCCATTTGATCTACATTAATGCTCTTCCTCTGTACATATAGGTGCTACTAAACATGTGTACAGAATAAAACATCCTTAGCAACATAGCAAGATATATATTATATATACAAAACATGATAATCATTAGGAGTTAAATTAATTATGACTAAATATTCTTTTCATCTACAAATGTATACAAAAAGAAAAGGGTTGAAATTACAGCAAATGCTAAGACATTACAGGATCTTCATTTTCATGCTCGACAATCTCAATAACATTCTGGACATGAGATAGACGACACAAAGGTGAAGAAGCAAAGGAAGAAACAGCAGAAGAATAGGTAGTTGAATTAGTACAAGAGTTAGATGTAGAAGCTGTGATACTAATAAGCAAATCAACAAAAGCACCTATTATAAAGCCATGATTTTTCTTACCATTGACCCTCAAATACCAACTCAAAAGCTCCTCCAAACCCTCCCAATCTCTAACACCATGAGACTCAACCATCTCTTCCATTGATCTCCTAAAGTCCTCAAATGGATCCTCTGATTCCATAGCAAGCACCACACTTTCTTTGAACGGAAACCCACTAGCCTTAGCCTTCTCCAAGATGGAGCTTGTGTCACCGGGTTCGAAAAAAAGCCTCTCTGACCTCACCCCACGTACTAACATCTCCAAAGACTCACCATCACAGTTGTAGTTGTAGTCTTCAGACTCGGTGGAGATGCTGGCAGATTCAGACGAGGTTGTGAACCAAGACTTTGGAGTTTCAATAGTGCTCTCAGAAGGGTCAAAGAATACAGAATTAACTGTCTTGAAGATGTCATCTCCATCACGGAAAGAGAGGGTCTTGGGGTGGCCACAAGAGGGCATGAATTGCCATGAATGCTTTCTAGGTTGTGCTTCCTTGGTTTTGAAAAGAGAAGGAAAAGGAAGCTTCAACGCTTTCTTTCCCATTGGATCTATATGATATAGTTTGTGTTTTTCTCGGTGAGGAGTGAGTGGAGGCTAGAGATGGAGTTTCTATGGGATTTGGGAACGTAAGTTTTGGGTTTTGGTTGGTGCCTGTAATAAATTTGATCAGAAGGCAGTATTTAAAGCAGAGGCTGTGAGAGGAAGCAAAAGAATATAACAAAGAAATGGGGTCTGGTAAGTGCCTTCATGTGTGAATTTAATTTGTAGGTTTGTAAAATTCAATGTTATTCAATGCCCCATCAACAACTGAATGTAACAGCACTTTTTTCCAGCAGTGTCAGCCTCATAATCTTCTTTAAAAAAATTGACAGATGTTTTTTCAGAACATTTTCATATATCTTTGACCCGGGAACACATTTTTTTAATCTTTGTCCAATATTAAACTAGGAAACAGCATGTAATTAATGATTGTGAATTTCAATACATAAATTAAATTAATAACTTTTTTATATAAAATAATGTCATAAATTTAAACTGCTCTTAATCAGCATTTGTTTCGAAATCCATGGTTGTGGAATTGTTACTTTGCCTCAACCTTCAAAAGGTTAAAGTACCTTTTATCTTATAAAAGAGTGATTCAGGTGAAAAAGAGGCTTATGGTAGAGGAAGTGAAATCTTTGTGGTTAGAAGAGACAGTGATAAAGGAAGGAGGGTGATTTCATGTGAAGTTTTTAAAGAGAGAACGGTTGCATCACGCATACTTTTCATAGCCAAAAGTATTTATTAGAAAAGCAAGATTGAGATCTAAAACTAGGCTCTCTATTTATTAGCAACTTTGTTCTGTTCCTTTTTTTTACCTTTAACCATCAGATATAATAAATAAGCTGTCATCTGTCTTCAAACACAGATAACATTCAGAATCAGCACAAAGTTACCTATTGGATGACAGAACAATTCCAATCCAAATATTATATGTTTAACAAAATAAATAACTATGTATGATTAGCTTAAAATTTTGTTTAATCAAACAAGTTTATTTTTGTAGTTTATAGTGTTTCAAAATATATCTTTCATGCAAGTAGTGTTTGAACTCATAAGTTTTTATTTATGTTGTCATCCTTGTTTTATTAAAACAATTTTTTAATGTATACATAAACAGATATATATAGCAAATTGTTATTGAAAATTGTTCAAATTTATTTAAATAGTATTAATTCATTTAATTATTATGTAAAATATTTTATCACGTGCAATATCGTACAAATTAAAATAATAATAATTATAATTATTATTTTATTTTTTAAATTTCACAAATCCTTAAAACACATTTTTTTCTATCACACATTTATTATATTATCTCATTTTATTTAATAAAAAAATTAAAAGAAAAATAAAACTACCAAATATTATCTTATTTTTTATGAATAAAAATATTTAAAATAAATTTAAAAATAAAAGTTATAATTATTTAAAATATATATAATCAATTTTTAAATTAAAGTTAAGTAATTAAATATAAATTTTACATGGTTTTTATTTATTAACTATTTTAACATTTAATTTTAATAAAATTTTAAATTCAATCAGTCAATTTTTAGCTAATTTTCCATTAATTTTTGTGAAACAAGTCCATTGGCTATTCTCATCTTCTATTTTTTTCTTAAATGAGTTACCACTGAATTTATTTCTATTACATAGATTTTGTGTTTTCTACAATTGAATCGTTGAAAATATTATGCACTAATGCATCCTTATTAAATGTACATGAATGTGTGTTGCTCACTAATAAAATAGAAATTCCACCACTTTTGTAGCATTATGCTTTATAAATTATAGTTCTACTTATATATAGTTTTTCAACTGCTGACATCGCCCAAAGTTGACCAACATCTGCGCCATAAATATGGTAAGGTGAGTGGTGGTTTAGTTCTTCTCCCTTCGCCTAAAAAAGGTTGATGCTGACTTTTCTGAAAACATAATTAATTTAAAATTAACTTTAGTGTATATTTTAAAATCACGTTTGGAATTAGAGTTAATTTGTATATAAACAATTGTATTTGATTGACATTTAAGTGAAGGGTAATTTTACGAGACAAATTTTTTTTCTCTTTCTTTTTGGGCAATTATTTTTAAGCATGAAACTCAGAAAAATAGAAAATAAATATTAAAATTAAATTTCTTTTACCATATAAATAAAACTAATATCAGAAATTTATTTTCAAATGAAGTATTTTTAAAAAAAACTATTTTAAAATTGATTTTTCAATATTTTTTAAAATTAATTCTATCAAATTTTGAAATAAACATACTCTTAATGGATTGCAATTTATTGTGTGTTGCTTGAGGTTCTTGAACAATTTTTAGCCTATTCAAAGAATTTAGCTTTTGTATTTTTTTAATGTCGAAAGCCAATTTTGTTTTCTAGAGTACTCTTGTCATTGCTGTAACTACCCTTTGATCTTATGGTCTCCATCAACCAATCAAATTGACTACAAAATGAAGTTATGCCTTCAGGCTTTAATTGGGAGTTGGGACCTCTTATATATATCCAAAGCTTCACCCAATCCATATCATAAAGTAAATTGGAAGAGATGCACCCTTTTATTTATTTATTTACTTCTTGTGTGTACAAATGCTTGTACATTAGTCCATGTGATAATGGGTCCGAAAATAATAGCTTAGTTGTACAGAAAAGCAACATTTTGCAAACTTGAGAATGAGAGGTTAGTAAAGGTCCCCATGGCATTTCTTATCAAATAAAGCAATGAAACTTTTAGAGAGAAACATGCCAGAGAATAATTGTAGCCTCACGATGCATAAGAGGAATGATAACTATATTACACTAATGTTGGTGAATCAACAAGTACTTTGGTAGTGATTACACCCAGTTGATGCCTTCTACATGTGGAGAACACTCTTCTTTAATCATATTGAATAATTGTCATTATTCAAACTCCTGTTTTCACACTGTCCAGTTTTGATATATCTCAATGAATCTACATGGGAAATTTTCCATATTCTGTAGTTCGGATGACAAATTTTTGTGTGGTGGAAAATTTTTCATATTGTATAATTGTCCCATTCGGATGTAATATTGGAAATAATTTCCTTCTTTCAGTTCAGAACCACGAGCTAGATGATGGTCATTTTATTCCATGCACAGTTGAAATTTAATATTGTTGTTTCATATCCAAAATGATTAGTTGATGAAATGTGGATATAATTTAATTTATCTAATGTCTTTAAAAGCCCTAGAGCTGGAATCTGTATATCACTGTGTCTTCCAAATCTTGGGCTTCTCAAGATAAAAATAGGTGGAACTGAACTGTTATGTCTCCCAACTACATTAATTGGCTTTGACCATCCAATGATGCACATGCTCCTTTCAACTCTATGATTGTTCCCCAACATTTGTTTCAAGAATAGTTTAACTTCTAAAAGTGTAACAAGCTTCAATTATTATTAAGATTTTGCAGTGAGCAGCCACTCACTAGATGTCTTTTATTCCCTTTTATTCTTACTTGTATATTTGTAGTCACAACATTTTGTCATCTCTCTTGATTAAGGATCTCAAACAGATAGAGTGGATATATTTTGAATTGAAACATAATGTGGAAATAAAAGATAAATTATTAATATATTAAAAATGGGTTAAAAATTCATTTTATTTAATAAGATTTATAAAACTAATCTATTGATCATTTTTATATATAGATATTATATCTATTCATTTAAAACATATTATACTGTATTTTTACAGAGTAAAAAAACCTTCTTTTAAATAAAGTGCGATATTTATATGCATTCAACATTATATAGTCTAAGATTTAACTCCCTAAACCTACCAATAAACATTAGAATACTTAAATTAATGAGATACGAAATATTGTAAAAATAATAAACCCATCTATCAATTTCAATTTTTATATTTAAATATATTGGTTGAATTTATATATGAATGATTTTGACGGTCAATGAATAAACGAATCCAATTATCACTCGTATTCTTTATGATTTATCTGGTTTGTACAGAGCAACGCTAATCAATTTTATCAATATTAAATGTGGTAATATAATATTATTATAAAAAATATATATCATTTTACTATTATTTTTTATGATTATTATAAATAATGTTTCAATATATTTTACTTATTCCCTCACCTCTTTTTAACTTATTCAGAAAATTAAATAAACAAAAAAAAAAAAAAGCTTCTATTTTCACCCATTCAAATAACGTACATTTTTAACTCATACTCGTCTCTCTTTCAAACATGCATAAAAGTTTGCATCTTTATATGCCTACCAAGGTATCATATGTCATGTAGAGTGTCTTTGATTACACAAGTTTATAACTAAACTTATACAAGGGTTTGTAGGTTTTTTTTTTTTTACACTAACAGAGCTACATGGTGAATTAAAAAAAACTTATAACCTTTTAAATTAAAATAAAAAATTGTAGCACTCGATTTATTAAAAATGAGCTGTTTATTTATTTTTTAACATTTTAAATAATTATGCTCGTTTATTTTATCTCTCTTCCAATGATCACTCTATATGAATTGAATTATATTTAATTTTAATATTATATTAATACAATATTATTTAATTTTTTGATCATTTAATACTCTCAATTAATTGTATAGTTATTTTTACCAAATTGTTATAATACAACGGACTTGTTATTAATTATAATATTTTAATTAATTTATTAAAAATATAAATTATAAATTTTTATACGTATATTGATTTAAATATATCAATATAATAGTCATGAAAGAAAACAAAAATTAGTGTCGTTGAACATTAAATTTTTTCTTCAGAGTATTTATTGCAATTATAACTTTTACAACTCAAAAACTTATAATCATAAATTAAATTAAAATAATTTTATGTGAATTAATTTATGCATTTAATAATAACTTTTACCAAGGATTGCATAACAAACAAATTTTAAAATAAAATATACAAAAGAGTATCCGAGAAGGGGAGATTAACGAAATATTTTCTCTACACATTCATATTAATTCATTAAAGAAAAAAGTCTTATACCGAAATCTCCACAATTAATTTCCTTAACAATGCACTAATAACTACTAGCATTTTGCAAGTAATAGGGTGTAATTGAAACTAGAATAAAAATGGGAAAAGATAGAACAAGTCCTTAGAAAGGGTGCAAATTAATTCCAAGTTTTCCTCGTTTTCTTTGCAGGGATCAATTGAAAGTTGTCAATCAGTGAAGGAGTCTTGCACCTTGGACATCGAGGGCGAGCAATGGATACCATCACATACATGTAACAACTAGTACATCCCATGGCCACCAATGGTGGTAGCTCATCATCGTTTGGGGAGCTATTAGGATTTCCATCAGTGTCCAATGGGGGAGGTGATAATGGTAATGAAGTTGTAGAATTCACCATTTCAAGTGAGTTATCAGAACTTGACCCAGGTTGTGATAATTTCAGTTTTAGATCAACCCCCAAACAACTTTCGTACTCATTCAACCCTGACTCCATCATTCTTCTCCTTTTTGTTTCATATAATGTTGCTCCAACCTTTCAACACGCAACCAAATACATTGGAAAAAAGATATTAAAAAAAATAATTCCATGTTATGATCAAATCTTGGTCTATTAAATTTGAAAAATGGTAATTTTTTAATAATCAATAAGTATGTTGCCCGTAATAGTTAACGCAAAAGGTTTTTAAAAATTATAGAATTCAATAGCAATCTATGAAAGTAATTAAGAATCATTTGAGTAACACGTATATGAATTGAGGGAATCAATAAAAAGTGAATTTACCTCAAAATTATCTTTATGTTCTGCAAACAAATTGCATGGATTGTGCGATTCAATCTGTGGAGGTTGATTAATGTCGATAGAAAGGTGAAATTGTTTGCGAGGAAGTTCAAGGCTAGAGTTGCTGGGGGGAACACTAGCATTCATCGAGACGATAGGTATGTCTCGACTGTGTTGTAATTTTTCGGTGGATGTTTTCATTGTGATGATGTAGATTGGATTGATGGTTAATTTTTTCTATGTAGATATGTATATGTAATAAATGTGAACTTGGATTGAATTATTTTGGTTCATTAACTGAGAAAAAACTGTTAGAAAAATATTATTTAAAATCGTCATTTACTTTTTATATTCAAATATAACATTTATTTTATATAGTTAATTATAAATATAATTAATTGCTGTATAATATGCGTTCTAGCTAATCCACAGTCCATACACATGCTAAGTGTGATTTGGAAACATACTAACTTAAAAGAGGGAAGCTTCGCATTTAATACCATACCCAAAATTTAAGAGAGCAGTTATCAATGGTGATAACTTTTCAAATATAAAATATGATAAAATATTCAAACACTGAATCTTAAAATGATTAGAATAATGGTGAAATTAATAAACCGCAATCCTTGAAGTGGAAATATAATAAATTTAATAAAAGATAATAATTTAGGTTCAAGAAAAACGCGGACCTAATTAAATTTCTACAAAACGACATGAAAAGGTATAAAACCGTAAAATGCGAAAAGTAGATGTCAAAGTCAAATTCAAATTTTGAACCGCTTTTTTTTCAAATGAAATTTAATTTTTAATTACAAGTATTTTATATTAAAAACAATTTTATTTAAGTTAAATAAAATTATTGTGTGTCCTAAAATTATAATTTTAAATATTTAACTCAATTACATTTATAAAAACCATATATATTTTATATTATTAAATAATTAAATATACTATAAACAAATTATATTTAAAAGAATCAATACTACAATTATTAATAATAAATATTCTATTAAATTAAAATATATAAAAAAACAATTGAAATTTTTAAAATAAATACACTGTGTAAAAAGTGCTTAAAAATTTAATACTTACAAATATTATCTTTAAAAATACTATTAAAATACTACATTTAACAATATTCATAATTATTTTTGTCTAAAAAATTAATATTCACAAATTATAAATATTTTTAAATGATAACATTTGTTGAAGTATTCTTAAATGAAAATATTTTTAAGGTTAATTTTTTATTATATTTTTATTTTTAATTCAATTTTAGTTAAAGTTTATATTAAAAATAAATTTTAACTGTATTTAATATAAAAAAATATTTATTATTAAAATTTATAATGTTTAATTTTTCTAATTTATTAAATCTTGTAATATGTATTTTAATTTTTTTATAAAACAATTTAGTTTTATGATATATGTACGGTGCAATATATATATATATATAGTTATTAGGTGTCACTCAATTAATTACCTGTCATCGATATTTATTAAAGGAAATGTTTGAAAATATTTTTTATATAAGTAACGATAGTTTATAAATTTATTATTTGAGAGATATGAGCTGTCATTTTAAATAAAGATCGGTTTCTTAATTAAACAATTGTTGCTTAAACTAAAATTTTAAGAAGTGAGACTCTTGGTACTTTTTAAAAATAAAAATAAATGTTCATGACCTATGAAAATATAAAAAACTTGTGGGGGTCTATTTAGTTAATTTTTAAGTGGTGTAAAGTTGAAGTCAAGATATGTTTAAATTAAGGGGAAAAAAGTAATGTGTTATTATAAAACCTACGTAAAAAGTTAGTAAAATATAACTTAATAATTTTTAACAGTTTCAACACTAAAAATGCTCTTAATGTAAATGTTAATGAGCTTATTTCAACACTTTTTAAAAAAATTCCATTTATCCTTTTTAAAGACACGTTTAAGAAGAAAACAACAAAAATAATAATTTTTTTTTTATCATTATACACAAATTTTTAAAAATAAGAAGAAAATACAAAATAATATGCATAAAAAGTTCGTGTACACCTATTTTATTACACAACAATTTTTTTAAAAAATTTGGTTCAGAGAGAACCTGTTCAAATTGCACTTTATTTCGATGTTTGTTATTTTTTTTTTGGTTTTAATATATAACAAACAGTTTTTTTTTTCTCAAAATAAACAACATTTATAATCTAACGATGCTAAACATTAAATATACAATAAAACATCAAATAATTAAATTTAATATTAAATACTATTTAATACTCATTTAAACATTTAATATAATATAATAAAAAATTAATCTCTCACTTTCTAACAACATAAATCTAACAATAAGAAACAAACTTCTCTTTTCTTCCTTCAAGGCATAAAAATCAAAAGCAAGCCCAAAGGCTTGTCATGCTTACCTATAAATTTTTGGGTCAAAACCCACAGGAATGGGTCCATCAATTCTGATGTCCAAAAGGATTTAGTCCAAGAGAGCCCACAAGATAAAAAAAAAAGGCAAGTGGGCAACACAATTTGAAACCTTCACAGTCACACGGGTGAATCCGGCAATCAAAACTTCCCCCAAATTTGAATTGGAAACAGCGCCAAAACGCTCTTCGACCCTTTCTACCACTCCCATCGCACACTCAAAACTCCAACAACGCATCGATGTGAAGCAATGTCGGCGATGGAGAAGCACGTCGTGCAGATCTTCGAGAGGACCAAGCGAATCATAGATCAGTCGCGCCAGCAGTGCCATCTTTGGGAGCACCACCTTTTTCCCAAACTCCTCCTCAACGGAATTCCCCCTCCTCCATGGCTCTGCAACTCTTCTCTTCACACTCGTCCCTCAGATCCCCAAGGTAATTAAAGTTCACTGTGACAATCGAAATTCAATTTACATGTTAGGTATCGCTGGTTTTGTGCCTCGCATTGAAATCACGTCTCTCTCTTTTTCTCTTGGTTTTGAAGTAATTTACCTGTGTTATAGTGACATGAAGGACTGATATTCTGCTTCATGGATACCAAAAATGTGGATTCCTTGTCGGTGCTGGTTCACTCTGACTGAGTGATCCTGTTATAGTTGTATATGCGCCCCAACGTCTAAGCCAGTTTTTGTTTGGGAAATTTGATCGTAATTTGTTAACAACAGCATTTTCTATCTCCTTGCAGAGTTAAACAAGGATGAGCTTCTTTCCGAAGTTCTACTTTCGCAACCGCAAGTCGGTGTTCCTTTAGCAGGTCATCATTGCAATCTATACAGCAATCTGGATGCTGTATCTGATGGTGTTCAGTATCCAATTGGTTTGCATGATGAAGGTTGTGATTTAATAAAAGACTGCAACACGGGAGATGGGCTTTCAATTGTGCCAGATTGCTCTGTCAATAATACTGGATGTGCCTCAAGTGGTCCTCCTGAATTGGATTTTGGTGCTGAATCACCTCAGAATCAGTTGGAACCAAGGGTCTCAGGCTGTCACCATGACCCAGCTCTGTCACTGGCAAAGTTGCAAAGGTCAAAGTCGAGGCAGAAGGCTCTGGAGCTACGTAATAGTGCAAGAGCACCCAAACGCTGGTCAAGAGATGATAGTAATGCTGGTGTGTGTGCTGGCACAGTTACAGGTTCTACATCGTCAACTCCACAGGCAGAACATCTAATGGAGTCAGACTGGGTCAAAGATTTTCGTTCCAACATCCAAAGTTGTTCCATGGAAGAAATGGCACGACGTGATTGTGTTACTCAAGAAGACAAGTCTAATTACTCTGGCCGGATAACAAGATCTAAAAGATTCCAAAGGTTAAATTCTTCGAATAATGCTAGTTCTTCTGAATGGGAGGAAGATGGTCCTTTGCCTTATGACTTGAACGAATCACTGGAAATAGTCAATCGGTGTTGTGCTATTACTGGAGGTTGTGGTGTTAAGGAAGCAAATGAAGGAGAGTATCAGAGGAGAGAAGCTGGAAGAAGGGAAAAGAAGAGGTTAACAAAATCTAGAAGTTCTAGCCAGGCAAGATGTATTAAAGAATCGTTTAAGATTGACAACACCTTGAGCAGAGGCAAACGAACTGAAATCTGTGATCTTATGCAACCAATTACTCATGTTGATCAGACGCATTTAAGCAAAGCATCTGATTGTAATGATGGAAGTAGGAGGAATACAATCAACGATCGTGATTTCATCCTCAATAAACAAGAAAGTAACATTCATGTAAAGTCTATCGATAAATCAGCACAATCAAATGAACTTTTAATTTCACAGAATTCACAGAATGTAGCAGAGCCTGTTGTTGGGTCCTTCGGCAGTCAAAAGGATCCTGACTTTGCCGTAGTAAAAACAAAAGATTGTTTAAGTAGAAGCTGTTTGGGAAAGGAATACATAACCAGAGACCCAGAGTCGCAGAATCACCCTGAAGAAGTATTGGATTCTTCGAGATCCAATTCTTGTGTGCAAAATGCTGCCTGCTCTGAATCTGCTGGTAAAAGGTCTCAAAATCTACAGCCTACCGAAATGGTTGCTAGAAGGTCATCTTCAAGTCCAAAGTATTCCAAATTAGATATAGAAATTGCTAGAAATTCTGCAGAGGAGGAGAAAGCTGCAACACTCACTACTTTTAGAAATACAAGGGCTGTGACTACTTGCGCAAAAGAAGGGTCGTTAATCCCAGTGAGTTCTTCCAATTTAGATGGCAAGTCTTTACTTGCAGAATCAGTATACATTGAGACAGCTGTGGATGGGGAGGTCACGAATACCCAAGAAAATATACTATCCGGTACCATTCCCAATGATAATGTCAAGCAGAGATCTGCTGCAACTGGCGAAGTTGATGCTTATTGTGATGGATCAGTTGAAAAAGATTCTAGTGTTAGCCCTAAGGTTGGGCTCAATGTATCAGTCTTGAAGCTTCCCTCTGATGTTGTTATGTCTGTAATGCCTAAGCAACTTGATTTTGATGATGTAGAAGAGACAAGTATGAATGTAATTTGTAGTCCTGATTTGAAAGAGGGCCAAAGGGGAATGTCACCAGAAGAAGAACCTCTGAATTCATTGGAGCCAGTGAATTTAGTAGAAGAGGAAACTTCTCTTGTGCACCAAAGTAAACACAAGTCGTTGGGGGAGATGCATTCAATGGAAATGCAGGAAGTTCTGATCAGAGAAGAGGAGCCTCAGATGAAATATTGTGAAAACCACTTTGAGGAGGAAGATTTAACCAGCTCAGCGCTAAATGCCATGTCACCAATCAAAGAGTTACCCATGGTTCAGAATGATTTCTGCATTCTTAGTTCTTCCTTGATGAATCATTCAACTCCTTCACAAGTTGCAAGTGAAAATTCATCAGGAAGTTTGTCAAAAGAAGCCTTGACTTCCAAATTTGTTTTAGTAAAAGGTAAACTGAAAGATGATGGAAGAAGTACTGGGCTGGCAGATTCTTCTTCTGAAGCAGTTAGTGGAAATGGTCTGCATAAATACACAGACAAAAACATTACCAACATCACAGTTGGGTTCCCATTTGCTGCTCCCATGGATGATATGAATGCTGGCTTAGCACTACAGGGCCAAAATAGCATTTTCTCAGCTCAAGAAGGTGGCTTATTGGGGAACGCACTGCTCAGTGATGGAAAAATCACTGGCTCTTTAAATTACTTTCAGCTTTCCAAAAGTTCCACAGAGAGTTTCACTTATGATGTGGAGCGTCATCATAAAAGAAGGAAGACTGAAATTGAAACACACAAATTTCTACCTGCCACTTCAAACCTCTTGGAAAAGCCGCTTGATTCCACTGACCAAAGACCTAAAAGTAGAAACTTGAGTATTGAGGAAGATATCCCCAGGATTGTCCTAGAAGTTCAACATTTGGCATGTAATCAGGAGGATGATACAAGGCATCAGTTTGTTAGTAACTCAGATGAAATTCAGAACAACAGGAAATGCCAAACAATGGAAGGTTCTTCACTTAAGGCGAGAAGAGAAGAGGTAAGTTATTTCTGTTTCATGTTCTGAAAATATCAAAGATTGGTCTGTGTAAGATTTCTTTTTTTAAGGATTAAATATTGAATACGAGTTTTCTGAATATCTTGCACTGGTGGAGTTGGTGTTAAACAATATTCAGTATCAAATTGTATGTCAGGCATTCTATGTTAAGAACTTTGATTTTATTGCAACTGTCATGCCATCTTGCTTTGGCATAGAAATTGCCAGATTATTTTATTTGATGATCACGGGCTCCTTTGGGGGCTGTTTTAGGTATTTTTTCTGTTCCGAAAAAGGAAATTATGGAACATAGAAAGCAGAATAATTGCAACTTTATTTAAATTTTCTACAAGATTTCCAATAATGTCAATGTGATGTTCCATGAAGAATAGTTCAAAGCGCATCTTGATAAGTTGAAAACTATTTAGGATTACGGGGAAGCAAAAATGAGCTATAATTGTGCCATTTTGGAGCAAAAAATGATATGGCAAAACTGTGTCTTCACAATCAATTTAGGATTTTAGCAAGGATAGAGAACAAAGAAACAGAGGAGAGGGGTGGGAAGAGAAATTAGTTGCTAAAGAATTCAAGCTTAAAACTCAATCTACATGTATTGTGACCAAGGGTTGTGTTCTAGCTTCTAGAGTTCAGAAATGTAATAGAAAACATTTTTTAAAGTTATCTCTGATGGATAAGAAAGCAGTGCCCTCTGAAACTTACATAAAAAATCACTGAAAGAGAAAGAAATTCCCAGAATTAAGAAAAAATCGAGTCAAATGAAAATGAAAAGAGTAAATCTTTATAGATGATAAAATCCTATGCAGTAACTCTAATGAGTAACATCTATGCATTGAATTGTTGTCAATACAAGTTTTACTTTGTTTTCTTCTAACTTCTGTGTTATGTTTGGATGAGGTAATTAAATTATATCATTTAAATTTCTATTATTTTAAATATTTTATTTGGATAGAGTAATTGAATTTCTTTCATTTTAAATATTTTTGTTTGGTTAGAGTAGTTAAATTACTTATATTCTTAAAAAAATAAAATTATTACTATATTTGAAAAAATTAAAAATATGAAATTTAAATTATTAAAATTAACTATAATTAAATAAAAATATGAATGGAACACAATAAATAAAATAAAAACAATTCCAAATTCTCACTAAAATTTCTAAAATTTTAAATTCTTTAAAATTCCTCATCCAAACAACAAATTTTAACCTGAAAAATTATAATTTTTGTCAAAAAATGAATTCACCTGAAATACCTCATCCAAACACACTCTTGATGTCTTTGTTGTTTGAGAATTGGCTGAGCGTAGATGACACACATTTCATGGCAGACGAGCTAGTGGAAAGTTTAATTTAGGATGCAATAGCCATTTAGTGTAGATAAATAATAGTTTTAAGCTACATTAGTATACTTATATAGAAGTGGAAACAGGAAGTGTGAGAAAGGATTGTCGGAGTGGATGGGGAGACATGGATAAGAGAGACCGAAGGGAGAATCCTGAGTTAGTTAATAATACCAATGAATCTTGACAATTATAAGAACAACTTAGGTAAGCTGATATTAATTTAATCTGACATTGTTTCTTTTATCTGGGATTTCTTTATTTACATATGTAAGTATAGAACACTATGCTGTTGTTTGAGCCGTGTAATTCAAACCACATAATGGGAAAAGGTTAGGTTGTTGTTGACTTAAGTGCATATTCTTTTTATTTATTGTTAATATAGGATGGATTGCCTTTCCTGCTAAGAATATCAGAAACTCCAATAATTGGCTAGTTTTTTAGAATATTGTTAGAATAGGGATATAGTTGGTGAGCATTAGTGAAAGGAACAATCTACTGAGAGCTGGATTGTGAATAATCACATTTCAGTCAAAATATGACTTTTGCTATTTATTTAATAGAGTTAGACCTCAAGATATGAGATGTTTTGCTGGATCACTTTATTCTGTCAGGGGCTTGTGTTAAAATACATCTTATTTAGCCAGAATTGCACCAGTAACTGAAAATTTTGCAATCTCTTAATACGTAGGAAAGTGACTATATAGATATATGCATGCAGGTTTATAGGTGTCTAGGTGATAACATTGCCTTTCCATTGTGTTAGAACTTTCTGAATAGTCTGGTTCAATGATTTTCCTGTCAGCAGAAACTTATTTTGGATGGAAGAGACAGATGTGCGGACACCCTTCTGTTGGAAGAGGCTAATATGTCAGGATTTGTTATGGACTCAACATTGAGGTGCAGCATGGATGAGAAGATGGATTCGTGGCATCGTCAGGTTATTTGTGGAGAAGAAAGTGCAGAACTTCTGGCTTGTGTTGAAAGAAACAACTCCAGTAGAAGAATTTATCCAGGAGGAAATCCTAAATTCTCAGATGGTGTGCCTCTTTCTCCAGGAATACAGTGCTTGGATTCGATTGGTACAGATGAAACTTTACCGGAGTTTGAAGGGTTCATTATGCAAACAGATAAAGCACAGCCATGCATTGCTGAGGACCAAATAGAGTTGGAAAAGATGAATCTTCCAAGTAACTCAATAGATTATACATCCCATGGTAAATCTAGGTCCATGCATTCTCCAATGTGCTATTCTTCAACCCCATATAAGTTGCATAACATACCAGAGTTCTGTCAGTCTTTACCTAATGGACTTCTGGAGGGTATAGGTCAAAGGACTTCCCTTCCTCTTAATAATGGGAGTCCACGGTCTCTTTCTGATGGCCAACCAAATTGTATGGGTCATTATACTTCTTCAGTTCAAACTCTTTGGGATCGAATTAATTCAAACTTTGGCAGTTCAGGGAAGCGTAAGAGTTTAAAGCTAGAGCTTCCCTGCATCAGTGAAGAAAATGAAACTGTGGACGAGATTGCTGGTAATCTCCAAAGGGGTATTAGATCAGAAGGAATGACTTCTTCAATTACAAGAGAACCACTAGTGGAGATTATAGATAATCCAAACCCATCTACATCAATTTTACAAGATGATGTATTAACTGGTGGTCGTGAAGATTGTATAAGCACAGAATTTAACCTCAGCGGGACTCGCAATAAGGTAAAAAATAATGTTGACAAACAGAATGGCAACAGGAGAAGATTCATGAGTAAGGGGAAGGAGAATCAGAGTATATCTCTTGGAGCAAATGGTGCCAAGAGGACCACTGAATCAGTCTGCAAAAGGCCCAGTAGGCCAAAGTTATCTGGAAAAGATAGCATGAAACGAGGTACCACATATTCCGAAGTAAAGTCTACATGCAACAATATTGTATCGAACATTTCTTCCTTTATTCCATTAGTTCAACAAAAACAAGCGGCAGTAGGTTTAACAGGTAACTGATCTTATCTTTTTCGTTAGTTACAAAAGATATTTTCTTTTATAAAGATTGTCTTCTTGCAGACTGAAAGTTCATCTTGACAATGTAAGACAAATGATATTTCATTTTGACAATTATTTGAACCTTACTGTGTGAACATGTAGGCAAGAGAGACATTAAAGTGAAGGCCCTGGAGGCTGCTGAGGCTGCCAAGCGTATGGCTGAAAGAAAAGAGAATGAACGCAAGATGAAGAAGGAGGCATTAAGGCTTGAGCGGGAAAAATTGGAACAACAGAACCTAAGGCAGCTGGAGCTGCAGAAGAAAAAGAAGGAGGAAGAAAGAAAGAAAAAGGATGTGCAAATGGCAGCAAAGAAGAGACAGAGGGAAGATGAAGAGAAAAAGGAGAAAGAAAGAAAAAGAAAGCGTGTCAATGACACAAAGAAGCAGCAGCTCGAGCATGAGAAGATACATGCTAAAAAAGAAGAGAGAGAAATACAGGGCCGAGCTACAGTAAAATTTTTATTCTGTCAAGAATTTAGTTTTCTCTCCTCTCTTGATTAAGTAAGGAAAATACTAATACATGGGCTATCTGGTCTTAGGGTGAAGGAATCCAAGAGAACAAGAAATTTATGGATGCTGGAGAAAATCATAAGAACTTGCAAGAGCAAGACAAAAGAGAAGGCAATCTGGAGAAAATTTCTGAAACTGAATCTTTGGCCATCAGGAATTCCGAAGTTCATATAACAAAAGAAAATTGTCCTGAATATTTAGAAACTGTGAATGATTGTGTCAATGATGTAAAGGTAATATTGTTTTTTGTGGCTCTCTTCATACTAGTTTGGTCAAGGCTAGGAGTAATATTTTCTCAACTGTATAGAAATACGTGCTCTTTCTTCTAACAATACGTGATACTTATTTCCTACCCAGTCATATAGTGTCAATTTTTTAATGTAATCTCATACGATAATATCTTTGAAATGCTGTTGTTTCTAATTTATAGGTAATGAGCACTTCTATCAAAGCCACTGAAGATGATGACTTGATCATCAAAAACTCACTTCAAGAGCAAGCATACGAAATCTCTCCGTATAAAGGGTCAGATGATGAAGATGAAGATGAAGATGGCATCCCAAATAATAAGTTTATCCCTTCATGGGCAAGGTTTGTGACTGTTCGAGTTTTTGGAAGTTATTCGTACGGCAAAATTCGTAATTTACTCAATTTTTTTATTTTGTTCTAATTTTTTATTTTGATATTATCTTTTAATTTGTACTATATTTTAGTTCTCTGATTTTTAAATGTCTATTAAATATTTTTTTATTAATTAATACATTAATCAAATAAAAGGAAGAAAAAAAAGACGATGATAGCGATTATTAAGAGATAAGACAGAAATAGTAATTAACAGAATTAAATATCGTTATTAAAAAAGAACATATTTAATTAGTGTTTAAAAGTTAGAGGAATAAAATTATAAAAGATAAAGTACTAATTTTGTTTATTAGTAAACCAAATTTTTGGCGCCATTTCTTAATTATTTGTAGTGTGTGGGGTATTTTATTCAAACTGTAAGAAGGAAAACATGTGTGAAGTTCATGTAAATAATGCCGTAACTGCGGTCCGGTGGTATTTATCGGTTGATGATAGAAGATTATTGATGTTTTGGCTTTTCTATTTACCTGAAACATTTGAGTCTGGTTCCTTTCTGCAGTAAGCGTAGCCTCTCGTTGATTGTTTCTTCCCAGAAAATAGACCCGGAAACGATATTTCCTCCACAAAGTTTTTGTACTATAGCTGAAGGTAATTTTTGAAATTTATTTTGTTGTATATATTAGTTGTCTCTAAATTAACACTAACTGCGTTCTTTTGTAGTTGTGCGTGAAGCTTCAGAAATAGAACACTGATTTTAATAATACGGGATTGTATTAAGGTATGCTGTCTCTTGACACATTGGTATAGGAAGCACCATTCTATTGCCTTTTCCATTCTTTGTTAGCCTAATAGGCAATTCTTCAGAGTCAATAATTTGTTTTCATAAAATCTGTTTGGAGACCACGTAAATAATATTGCCGTTTTTATAAGGGTCACTTTATGTGCTCGCATTTATGAATTTTTGCAGTGATACTAATTATTTTATGCTACATTAGTATATAAGTTTGACTTTGACAATTGATCAATTTGGTAAAACAATCATTTTTCAACTTTAATCATTATGCAGCACGTTATATTTTCTTATCGGTTAAAATTTTATACATTGCACACAATATACTTTCCATTATAAAAAGCATCTAAGGAAGGCAGCAAAACTAATTTAGGGCGTATATATATCTGACAATATATTCACTAGTTCTGCTCTGCTTTATTGCTTGTGGCAGATTTTTGAAGAGTTCGTGAAGAATACACTGCACAGCATCTACCCGCCAACATAGTGTGCAAAAACGGCTAATTAGATCTTCTGATGCACCCTCAAGTCTGCTGCTTCTAGCGGTTCCCTTTTGTACAGTTGAATCATTAGAAAGCTAGTATGTATATAAGAGATTCCCGCTTTCTCTCTCTTTTTATCCCTCTTGTAGTGAAGCACGGACCGCTATCTTTCAAAACGAAGACGGTGCTCATGGTCTAAAAGATCAGCTTTGAGGATGTATCATGTATAACATAATTCTTAGGTGCTACCATCCAGTTTTAAATATTCAAATTTAGATAATATTTTATTTTAGATCAAACATGTACAATTGTACTCTTCATCTTTTAAATTTAGATAATATAAAAATTTTAAAATTTCTACGTAACTTCATTGCCAGTCTGGGTGTTTTCAGGGCTAATAACTTTCTGCAATGCACTCTACAGTGGCCGAGATTTAAGAATATCAGTCAGTTGTGAGAAGTTCACAGTTTCTTTCGGATTAAGGAAGGATACTTTGCAAGCCATGGTTCTCAGGTGAAAGGTCCGAAGTCCGGCAGTAGTAATAGTTATAAATCAAATGGAAGAATTGGAACAGAAGAATCAGCTGACAGATGAAAATGTATGATTCCTGTAAAACTTAGTGGGAGTATCTCCCCTCCTGAACGGTCAAAAGAAAAATGTATTTTCCTGTGGGTTAAAAAATATCTATGATGACCAGCGAATGAGAAGCATGATTTCACCACAATAAAAGGAACAAGACATTATGGGTTTTGTGCAATGACAGATCGTAAGAGTTCTTTGCCTATATATCCCTTAAACTGTAGGCTGCAGTGTCGTATAAAGTAACAGAAAAGTGCTCGGTTATCATGCTCATCATTAGCCTGTTCCAACACGTTTCATCAAAACATGTTTTCACAAATATTGCTGATCTTCGATAGCACTACTCAATTATTGCAGCCAACTCCAAAGACCGAAATCCATTCCCCCACAATGAAATTCCTGCCCATGATAAGTGCAAGGTGCCTTGGTAACTGAGGCTGTTCTCTTACATGCCCAACTTAACACTCCAAACCAACCCTGACCTCTCCCTTCGTAATTTACGACAAACTGAAATAAACCATTTGCATAAAAAAGGTGCCCATGCCGTATAAAGCAGATGGATTGGTTATAACCAACGTCATATTAATCACCGCACCTTTCCAATGAAGTAACTCAAACGCAGTTGAAAATGAAACTCGCGTTACCTGGAGTAAATAAAATAGAAATATATATCACAACTTCACCAAAACCCTCCACAAGAACACAACCCGTCCTTAAAGTGGTGAAAACGGTTTATATCTCGAACAATGATCCCCCTCCTTGTAAACTTGGATGTAAGTTTCATAAAATTGTGGCAATCACCACAAATTCTGAGGTTTTTCATAATCCTTATTGGAATATCACTAGGCAAACACATCAATCCAAAGGTAATAGCGAGCTTCTCACTGTGGTGCCTCAAAAGCATTTGTTTTCCACTCTCTTCCACATCGTGCAGTTCAATATTGGTATCAACCTTGTAATTCAGTTTCTTCAAATCTTCCACCAAATTATCCAACTTAGCATAAATCTCATTGATCTGTGGATGATTTCTCTCGCCAACAGTAAATGAGTGAATCTTATTCTTAATTTCAATCCAACTTGTACCCTTCTCCTTCCTCACATCACTCTCTCTGATAACCTTTCTTACTCTTGCAACTTCTTCCCACTTTTTGTTTGCAGCATATATATTTGCTAGCAAGATGTGGTTTCCTGCATTGTTAGGCTCCATTTCAAACAGATGCTTCGCTGCAATCTCAGCAAACTCAATGTTGCCAGAATTTCTACAAGAGGCTAAAAGTGAACCCCACATAGAACTAGTTGCTTTAAATGGCATTCTTTCTATCAAATCATAAGCCTTTTGAACCAGTCCTGCTCTACCAAGAATATCAATCATACATGAATAGTGAAGGACACGGGGTGAAATATTGTGCTGTCTAACCATGAGATCAAAATACTTGTGTCCTTCTTCATGCAAACCCATATGACTGCATGCATTTAGTACAGATACATATGTTACATCATCAGGAAAGAACCCTCTCTGCTGCATTTTTTCAAATAAGATCATAGCCTCTGTTGCACAAGCATGTTTAGCAAACCCAGAAATCATTGCATTCCACAAAACAATGCTCCTAATCTCCACACCTTGAAACACAAGGTAAGCTTCTCTTATGCAGCCACATTTGGCATACATGTCTATAAGAGAGGAAGTAACGTAAACGTTTGAAGCAAATCCATACTTGCATGACATGGCATGCACTTGCTTCCCTTCCATCAAAGTTGCCAGGCCTGCACAAGCACAAACAGCAGATGATATCATAAATGGGTCCTGGTCAAAACCCATTAACTGAGCATTGTGAAAAAGCAGCAAAGCCTCCTCATGAAACCCATTTTGCACGAACCCTGATATCATTGAAGTCCATGTAACAGCATTCTTTTCAGGCATACTCTCAAATATCTGACATGCATCTTTTATTAAAGAGCACTTGGCATAGACATGGACCAAAGCAGTTCCAACAAAACAATTTGAATCTATGGCAGCCTTAATTGATAAAGCATGCAACTGCATGCACTCACTTATTGCACATTTGAAGGCACATTCACATAAAACACTGGAAATGGTAAATTCATTGAACTCGGTTCCCTCTCTTTGCATTTGAATTAAAAGTGTGAGAGCTTCCTGCTCTTCTGCATTCTGGGTAAGTGCTCCAATCATTGTGTTCCATGAAACTAGGCTTTTCACTGGCATTTCATCAAATTTTTTGCGAGCATTGTCAACCAAAGAACATTTAGAGTACATGTTAATTAGCATATTTGACGTCAAAATGTCCATTTCCAAGCCAACATGAATAATCTGGGCATGGCATGCCCTTCCTCCCATAGATGATCTTGCTTTTGCACATAACTGCAAAACATAGTGTAAAATTTCCACACGAGTAGAATCAGCATTCACGGGAACAACTTTCTCAACCTTTAAGGGTTTGGCCTCAGAAATAACAGATAATCTCCTAAAATGAATGGCATAACAATTACAGAATCTCTCGCATCTTCTTAAGGTTTTCATGTCATCATAGAGAGAGAGCAAAGGGAAACCATATGTCTCGCAATTGTGTTTGGTACAAATGAGAGAATTATCCTTTTATCTTGAAAACTTTAGTTGAGAGTATTTGATTTCATAAAATATATTTTATTCTTATTTTAAATTATAAAATAATTATCTTCTTTATTTTCTCTTATTTTTTGTTTTAAGAATTTATACAGAAATAATAAAATACAAATCTTAAAAATAAAATAATAATTGATTATTAAAACAAAAAATAAAAAATATGTCTTAAACCCAATCGGCCTTATTTTTTGGGTCTTTACTTTGCACGTGTGAGTTATGGTCTCGATCCGCGTCTGACATTGGGCCCTTTGGTGATATATGGGCCTTACCATTCAGGTCATTTAAAAGCACAAATTTAAGGTCCGAAAAGTGAAAAAGTTCAAGCCCATATGTAGATTAATTCCATTGGCCCAAAAAGGATATAATCAATTTGCTCCAACTCTTTTTCCATTTGAGAGAAGCTAATCACAGTACATATCACTAATATGGCGGCTAAATCTGGTTCAGATATACCTTTCAGAACGTTTGCTCTCTTTTTATACTTCACAGCACAAATATTGACATTCTCCTTGTTACATTGATAAACTGAGGAAAAGAAATCAAAGGATAAAATATTATAAAAATATGGGTGTACCTAAGAGACCTTTTCTCTCACCTCATCATTGACATTCTCCATTTCTTCTATTTGATTTAGTGAATATATATATATATATATATATATATATATATATATATAAGGTTAGCCAATGAATCACATATTTTATGCGCTCACTGAATCCATACACGGCACGATAGCTACATAATTTCATGGCAAAGTGACAATTGTAAAACAGGAAAAAGAGATATCTACAATACACAAAAATGAAAAAGAAAGTGTATGGTGTGTGGACCTCACACACTATTATTATTAAAGTTTGAGTAGACAAATGCACCAACCCATCCTCAATCACACGAGTCTTTAACTCCCACACTAAGTACTACTTGGCTTGGTTGAATTCTCACAGTCATATGCAAGTTGCTTTGAATTCTATTGAACAAGTCTTTTCATATGATCAACCATATCTTAACTAACTAAAAGATGAAACAAAGAAACAAACACGAGATACCCAACCCATCATTCATTTATAAAAGACATTTCTCTCTCTCAACCTCAATCCCTTTTTCTCATATACCTCTTTTTGGGATGTACTTCAATAAAATGCAAAAAATATTAAGACATAGGAGCTGCAAGTTGATGTGAGAATGAATATATTATATCTTGAGTGAGTTAATTCCTGTTTGGTTTCTTGATAAGATCTTTTCAGCTGGTCCTACTTCTTGACAAGTTTGTCTTCACATGTTGCATGAGAGCAGAAAGAAATCTTTTGCAATAAAGAAAGAAAAGGACTTGAAATTACAAGTAGAGTATGAGAATAATAAACACAAGAAGAGGAAAGAGAAAATGCTGCAGGATATAGGAATGGAACCTATTCAATTTCCATGACCCAAATCACATCATCTAGGAAAACATGAAGTGGACACATTACGTTAAGTAGAAAAAATAAAGGGTAAACATATGAAAACAGTAAGGTAAAGTGTTGTCCTGGACAATACTACAATAGTATGTCCAAGGAAAATATAAAATATTAAATACAATTTGTGCTTTTCATTTGTTCATTAGATAAGAGTGTTGGGGGACTGACTTTCGGCATTGAACTTGTCCTTTTGACCCAGAATCCAATTAGTGGAAATAACCAATTACAATGGGAAATGGGAATCCATGTCCGTTGACTGTTTTAGATGCTTTGAACAGTGAACACTGTTTATCCCAACTGATCCAAAAATTAAAATGAGAATTCCCCCCCAACTTTGAGTATGATCTTATCCCATCCACCGCTTCTTATTACAATGAAGATAGTCGAAAAAGAAGTATGAGAAACATTAAGTCAAGGATGCTGACTCCGATTTTGCATGTCACTTTACTAGAAAAAGGTTTTCATATTTATTTAAAGTCACAGCTTCATTGAAAAATCTTGACATGCCAATTGAAAAAGAAAATGAATAAAAAAACAAAGAAGAGAGTCTTTATATGCACACAAAAACAACACTTCCAATTAGTAGTCTTCACATCAACTAAAAAGTCCCTTGATCTCTTCCAATAACTCGCAACATGAATGGAATATTGAGGTGGATTACTCTATGGGCATTAGAATTGTCCTCTCTTCTTTTCATGCAAGGTTGATTTCATTTATATCCTTCTCCTCACTTGGAATCTTTCCCTTTGTTCTTTTTCATTGTTGAAGTTACAGTGGGATGGAATAGCAGACATTAATGCAGCTTCAAAATAATAAAAGATGCCACCGCCCAATATACATAAATGGGACCGTGAAAGAGAAATCAAGGATGGAGAAGAATGAAAAAGTAATTAGGACCCAAAAAGAATAAAAGGGGCAAGGCAACTTAGAGCAAAATAAATGGCACAGTAGACAAAGAGGGTTCAATTAGGATCCAAAAGAAAACATGATGCCAACATATAGGCCCATAATATTTTGTCCATATGCTTATTTTGTCAATTAGAGACCACTATCATCCAACTAGCAAAGTTAGATAAGGCGTGGGCGTGATGATTTGGTAGATTTCTGTTGAGCTTTTCTTTGTTCCTATTTTTAATTCAGCAGTTACATATGAAGTTTACTAGTTAATTGCCACTGTGAAACTTAATATGTAAGGTGACCAAGATTGGACTGAAAAGACATAATATAATGAAGAATTCATATTTTATAGATTTATTTCCGTGGGCGGTAATAGATTGTATGTGTGTGTGGAGTAATTGGACAGAAGAATTAGTGGATCATTTGGTGAATGAAACAAGAAGAGCCAATAGATCATCTTGTTCATGATATGCATCCCTCATTCAACTTCCTTTCTTGTTTATTATGTTCATTCTTCAAGATTGTGGTTTATAGCGCACACACTGATTTAGTTGAAAAATCTCCACACTATGATTGAAGGAGTCACATATCATTAGGGATGCAGAAAGTTAGAATACAAATGTGTCTAAAAGTTGATTTAGTTCATACTTTTCTTTTCTTTTTCTTTTCCTTTTTCTTCTTCTTCTTTTTTTTACATTATATAATCTTTTTCGGCCAGTAGTGCCCACCCAGTGGCATTTTCAGCCAGTCAGTCCATCACGTGACAGTTATTTTTATTTTAAATTATACTATTTATATAAATACTTTTATAATATTTTTTTTACAATATTAATTATATTATCTGAGACCTCTCTCTCTCTCTTGATATCCCTTCTTTTAATATATAAAAAATTATATGAATGTATTTTTGTTTTGCATAATAAGTTAATAAGGTATTAAATTAATACGAAAAATATTTTTAAGGAACATGATAATTACTTTTCCTAATAATGTCTCGGTCTCAATTTCTGCCCATGACATTGTTATAAGATAAATAAAAAATTTTGAGAACATTAATATTGTCCCATAAAAAATTAAGTCGAAATATTTAGTGCCTGGTGGCACTGCAAAGTAAACTTGTGGTTTATAAATCTGAATTAACAAGGCTTACTTATTTATGTCAAGAAAAAGAATTATATATTGTTTATACATTTTTATAATGCATTTCGCGTATCTCTCTTTGTTATATATTTATTGTAAAAAATATATAAATAAAATTTTGCTTTATGAGAATTCTATATCTTTAATTTAAATGAATTGTAGATTAAGATGCAAGCCTCCTTTATACAGTTCTTTGAAATAAAATAATAGCACGAAAACAGAAGTGTCGAATAGACAAGTTCAAATTAAGAAAACTATGTAGGATCCAACCTGCCTTAGACACAAGAAAGCTTGATTTACGAATGCTTGTCATGACTAACAAGATGTGACACCACAATAGAAGATAAACGGGACTTCATATTCTTTGTCAAATTACAATTACAGCATGCTAATCCTTGGATTCTCCATGCTTTTAATTAATTTCCAAAACTTATGTTAATGATGAATGAATCAACACCAATTATTACAAGGCAGCATTATGTATCCCTTTAATATTTCTTTTTTTCAGAATGACGTCATGCTACTTTGTGTCAATTTTTTTTTGTTGGGGACTGCTTTGTGTCGTATTAAGTGCCTTTTTCCCACTGAAATAGACCCGATATCACAGCACAGTGGTCCTTTCAGATAAACTTCCAAATGCCATTTAATTATCCTCGCAAAGATCAAGAAATTTTGCAGAACCACAATTTGAGTTAATGAAGCACCATCGTTTTCTTTCAAGTTAGGTGTTAGAAGTCAGAGAGTTGTTAGGGTGCAAAAACCGAGTTTTTTTTTTAATTTCTATTTTCGTTTTGGGGGATATAAGCAGAGAATTTACAAAAGAGATCACATACCTAAGCCGCTTTTAAACTATACAGTTCGCCAGTTCTACAAAAGTTGCAGCCTAATCTAGTTAGGTAATACCCTGTTACATTAATATGCATTCCACATAATTCTCCCTCCCCAAATCCTAGTTAAGTTGTTCTCAAAAAGGTTGAAGTCATTTTGACATAAAATTAAAAAAACATAAATGAAAGATTATGTATCTACACTTTGGAATTTTGGTCCTCAGTGTCTTTTGGTTCCACGTGGATTTCCCCATTCTTTTGAGTCAAAGAACCATCTCCTTCAGCGTCAAAGCTAGCATGTACACTGTAAAAGACATAGAAAAGCACAGCAACAGCCGAAAAGAATCCAAATCGGACATAGGATGGCCCATCTAGTGATCCCAACAGAAACACATTCAGAAAGATCGATATGGAGGGTATCCATGGCATGAATGGGACACCCCAAAATTCAGGCTTTCGAACTTGAGGAACCATGCAATGGAAAAGTTGTAATATTACAATCGAAATAACACCACAAGCACCGAGGATCCCTGCCTTCGCCCTTCCTGTGGGTACATATTTCCAAATAAGGGTGAAGATGATGGCGGTAAAGGAAAATGAGAAGAGGAAGGACAATGTAGGCCATGGATTGGTTGTCCCTGCAGCCACATAGCGTCTATAGATCACGGCATTTGCCACCATGTAAAAGACAAAGAGGGTACCAATAGACACCAGATTAAGAAGGACATCAAGGTCAGTGAAAAGGGCTATTGCTGCTGTGAAGATCCCTGAAAAGGAGATAATATGCGGATTTGAGAAAACTGTGACCCAAGAAATGCACAATCATTTTCATGCTACCACTCAAAAAGCCTAGAGGGGGAGAGGAAAAGGAATTTTAGAAATAACAGATTGTGCAAAGTCAAAACGCACCACAAAGCATAAAATCAAGGAAATCCAATAATCCATCATTGAGGCCAACTTGAACTAGCTACACAAAGAGCTAAGGTCATGATCAGTCAATGATTCCAACCAAGGGGAATATATTACTCATCAAATAGTGGGGGTCGAATCAATAAAAACCACCAATTCTTCTATGTGAAATGCTTTGTTATTCTTCTAATGGGTTGTAAAGGCAAATAGGGTGTCGCGTTCAGAAGCCTATATTAATTTACATCAGGGAGTGATTCACATCTTTCCATCCTAAGCCACACAGCAATACCCTAAGCACAGTTGTCCCAGTCCTTCTATCCATGTATATCTAGTCAAGATACTGTTTATCGAACGCGTGATTCCAAGCTGCACCATGTAAAGGACGAGATAGACGCACATATCATACGAGGGGACCACATTATTATACAAAAAAATATGATAAAACACGTTATAGGCACAGCCGCTAGAGATCATGTGATACCCATATGTGTTAACCTTTTCCCCCAAGCACTGTTTTGGAGTACGTTACCCACTTTCACTCTCGAATACACTTTCTGATAAAAATAATGCCACTACAATAGAACTATGGGTTTCTCACAATTATCTATGTGAAAGGATGCATCTGACCCCTCTCTTTACTTTTTCTTTTCTTTTGTTACAAGAAGTGTTACTCGCACAAAGCCAATTTACACTTTACACACTTCTTCCGCACATAGCCTCGTGTTTAATTGAAAAATCAGCTTACCTACTAAAACCATTTTATTGAAAAAAGCAAGAATCCCAGTTTTTCTCACGCCAAACATAAGCGGAGGGCCATCGGCAAGCAATAGAAACTGCTATCAAAATCTTGAACGTCGATTCACATGCATTTATTGCGCTTAAAAACATCCACCTACCTCACCCTCGGTAACGCACAAAAAGATATAGATAAGTTTCAATCTCCTTCATTATCAAGGTGACAATGTATCAAGAGAATCACTGCATACCCGCATTCACATTAGTGAAGAAATATTACCCTTTTATCACAGAACCCAACAAAGAAAACCACACAAGTTCCTCCATCACACCTCAGCCAAAGACTTATATTAGGGAAAGTGGGTCCCCCTTCCATTGCCAACAGTGACAAGAGACATCAAAATCACTCAACATTCATCAATACGAATCTTAAGGAGGAAAACAAAAACAAGAAGAAGAAGAAGAGATGACATGCAGAAGGGATGACAAATAAAAAATATTAGAACGATGAATGAAATAGGGAAGAGGTGGCATACCAAGAAAGGCGGAGGCGTTGACAGGAGTAGAGGTGTTGGGGTGGACCCTAGCGAACCAAGCAGGGACCACATTCGAGCGTCCTATGACGCACATGTAACGAGCTTGACCCAACATCGCCACCAACAATGATGTCAGTATCCCAAAGCTGGCCCCCACTCCTATCACCCGCGACACCCACCCCCAGCCGTCTGATTTCCCACTGAACGCCGCCGAAAACGCCGCTTCCCCATCCATCTGCATTCAGCCCATTCTCACACATCATTCGTACAACTAACACACCCTCAAAATTCAACTTCAGTCTTTTCAATTAATATACACTCCTCTACTAATGTATATCTACAAATCACAATCCTACCAATATTTATCAAATATCAATTACATCCAACATTTATTATTTATTTTAAATTTTGCATAACAAACAAAAAATGTAAATAATAATATTATCATTAAATTGTGAATCAATTAGCATTAGTACCATATCATAAGGAAGAAGCATAGACATTGAAGCTGCCATCAGACAATAAAGAACCGTAACGATCACCACCGATCCTGACACGCCAACCGGAATATCCTTAACAGGATCCTTAACTTCCTCGGCCATCGTCGAAACGGCGTCGTACCCGATGTAACTCAAGTAAACTGCCGCTGCACCTTTGAACACACCCGCAGCACCGTGCGGAAAGAACCCTGATGGGTTTTCCGGATGACCCGGTTCTGTCAAGTTCTTCCTATTCCCTTTCCAGAATCCAACCGTTATCACGAATACAATGAATATTATGTGCAACGCCGTCAGAATCATGTTCATCACAGAACTCTCTCTGGTGCTAAACATACAAACAGGCACAATCATCCAAAGTTAGTCAAATTTAAGACACATTCAAAAAGGCGCTTTAGTTTTGTAAATTGTGAGTGTATAAGGCTGTGAAGTGTGAACCAACCTGTAGCAGATAAAGAGCGTGATGAGTAAAACCACGGCCACCGCAACGATGTCTATCTGGTTGAAGCCGTGTGGAAGGGAAGGCACCGTGATCCTCCATTTCGCGGAGGAGATGCCGATTGCGGAGCCTAAGTAAGCCGTGAAGCCTCTCGACACGGCGGCATTTGACAGCACGTAGTCCACAATGAGGTTCGCACCAGTCAGAAAAGCTGCGAATTCGCCTGCAAAAAGACATCTACTAAGTGAGAAAACAACAGAAAGAGAACGAAAATGGGAACAGAAGGGGCGAAACGGACCGAAGGTGACGCGGAGGTAGCTGAATGCGCCGCCGGCGACGGGCATGTCGACGGCAAACTCGGTGTAGCAGAAGGCAGAGAGGAGGGCACAGAGGCCGGCAATGGCGTAGGAGAGGATGACGGCAGGGCCAGCATAGAGGCGGGTGGCGTTGCCGGTGGTGACAAAGACGCCGGCGCCTACCATTCCACCGAGGCCTAAACCCACAAGGTCAAACCAGCGGAGAGTCTTTCGCATGTTGGCACCGGAGCGGGCGCGGACACGGCTCATCTCTTCGTATGAGGTGGAGACGGAAATGGCCCGGCGAGCAAGCCGAGAGGGAGTGAAAGAGACGGCTCGGAGGTAGGCGCGGAAACTCGAAAATGATGACTCCATTGCGGCTTCTATTATGGATGTATTGAATAGAATTGTTTTCTCAGTGCCTTATGTTATGTAAGAGAGAAAGCTCTTTTATAACCTCTCATACTGCTATATTGTTGAGTACAGTAACTGTACTGGTCAAGTTTATAAGTTATAAATCATAATGCCATGTCCTTGATACCCTATTACCGGATATGATGATCTGAAATCGACTTTATTCAGATATTCGATGCAGGTATATAAAAAAAAAATTTCATGCACACATTTTTGCGGATAAAAAAGTAATATATAAAAAAAAATTAACTTAAATATGTTAATTATTATAATTTTTAAAAAAATTATACTATATCATGTTGTCCAGATTAAAAAAATTATACAAATTTTGATGTATCAATTTCTAAATCTGAAAATAATTTTAGGACTGATATTTATTTTGTGATTAGTTAAGGTTACCTGCTTCTATAATTTAATTGGCTAAGTTTTTGGTTTTGTTGTGAAAAGGATAGTTTTTTAGTTAGGTTATGCGCTTTTTCCACTAACTGGCCATTGATTGTAGTTTCTTGTTTCTTGCAATTTTTTTCTTTCTATCCTTTTTAAGGAGGAGAAAAAGAAAGATGGTTAGGTTGAGGATATTAATATTTTTGGGGTGGTAAATTTGTGTTTGAGTCCATTCACATTTTAGGGCTGGGTCTGTGAAAAGTACTACTAGGTGATACGAAATTTAATCCAAAATAGTTTGAAATTTAATTCATTTTAAACTATTTTGAATTAAATAAAATGATATTTTACCCAGAAGATGTGGATTTATTAAAGGTACAAGAGCACCTTTGTTAAGGTAGGCAGAATACACATGTTTACTATTAAGTATTCCATCCATTTAACACAAATTAATCAAAAGCAAAAATGCTTTATATGATAGATAATTAGGTATATTCCAGCACTACATTTTATAACATATTTCTCTTACATATAGTTTTGAACACAGTGAATTTGGTGTGAAAATATTATATTCAGTAAGATAAAGAAGGTACAAAGGGACCTGGAAATGGGGCGGTAAAAAAGAATAAAGAAAAGCATAGGAATTAATGAACATATAGTGCACCAAAAATGTACAATGAAGAAAACGTATATAACGTACAAAATTCCTTGAAGACGAAAAATAAACGGAAATTTGGATGATGCAAGAATTGAAATCCTGGGTGGATGCAACAAAGATTTTGAAGTACAGATAAGTATGTGATCAGAAAAAATGGAAGAAAAAGAAGGGTGTGGAACACGACAATGAGTATTATATGCAACGCCACTTTAACGGATGGTGAGGAAATGAGGAACTAAAGACGAAGGGTGCAGAGAAAACGGCTTCAATTCAAATCAAAAGTTGGAAATTAAAACGAAGCGGAACCTTTGGCAGAAACTCTGGGCAACTGTGAATGGTGCCAAACCCTTCCAACTGAAAGGTTCTCTATCTTCGCCCATAATTTTTATCGTTACAATCACACCCATGACTTTATCCCACTATGTTCATACTTTTCTCATTTGCGTTAAAGTGAGTTTCTTCAGCAAGAATCCACCCTGTTGTTTATTCATTTTCATCTTTTTATGTTTCTAATATTGCATTCAATATTTTAAATTGTTGCTATTCAAAGATTCTCACATCTTTTTCTTTGGCCAGACTATTCTATGCATGTATTACTTAAATGCTAGGCTTGTTCATATACATAAATTCTAAAATTAAGAAGGCCTATACATGTCTCTTGTTGAAGCATGCATGTCATTTTTCTATTAAAAAATTAATAATCAATTAAAAAACTTAAAAATAAATCAATCATAATTTAGTTACTATACAACAACATATAAAAGATATATTTATTAAAAATAACAATTTTTTTGATAAAAATATAAATACTAATACATTTTTATTATTTAAGTGTATTTCAATACTAATTAACCATTTTTATAATATATTTTTAGAGTATCTCACAATAATAGCATTTTTGTTTTTTAATTATATTTTTAATTTAAACTGTTAAAAAAAGTCAATTTATCTTTATTAAAAATTGTTTTTATCCTAAAAATATATAATAAAACATAAAATAAATAATTATTTGTGATGAATATGATTAATTTGTATTCGTAAAAAAAATAGATTGGTTTAGATATTTTAATTAAAATATATTATGAGTATTATAAAAATAATTAAATATTTAAAACATGAAATTTCATTATTTTTTGTAATATTTTTTAAATGTATATAAATATTTTTATTTATAAATTTTAAAATAAAATATTAATATCATTAAATAAGACTTCATTAGATTAATTAAAAAAATACTGATAGATTTAATAAAATTTAACTAGTTAAAAATAATTTGTTTGAACATGTAAATATAAATAAATTAAAATTAAAATATTAATTTTTTTACTATTTGCTTGGAAAGAATAAGAAGAAAAAATAATTTGGTTTGTATAATGCATGTAAAAAAAATCTCTCATAGAGAGAAAAGCATTTTCTCAGTATTTTAAAACATCTTATATTAACAAATATTTATAATTATTTAAAATATATTGAGTATAATTTTTAAAATATAAGAATTAAGCTGAAATCCAGTTGAGTTAGTGGAATGAGACTGGTCATACGTGTTTGAATAATACAAAATCTATTATTATTTTAAGAAAAATTTACCCTAGACAAAATGTAAAGCATGCTGAGTCTTTAAAAATTGGAAAGTGGATCTCGATAAACAGGTCTTAAACAATTATGAAACAGACACAAAACGATTGAAAGTTTTGATTGATTGATTAATTTTTAATAAGAAAAATTGAAACATTTAATAAAAAAGTGAAAAATAACTTTTGTTTTTCATCGAGGAATGTGCTGTTTAAGACTGAAAGTAAAGATAATGAGGAAATTTTTTATCTAGGTTTAGGTCTTGCTTTGACTGGATGGAGTGGATTATCATTTACTACCCATCAGAGAATCTATGCATATTCACCTTTTTTTATTACCTAAATTATTTTATTTTGATTACCTTAAATTGAGGATGAACATTTTATTTTTAAGAAATTGTCTTATATTTATGTATTTTATTTTGATAAACAATGTGTAAAATTTAAGTTTTATCCTTCAATTAAATTCTTTATCACTTTCATATAAGGTAATTTTTACCTTCTTTCTATTCTATGATTACTTAATCTGAGATTATGTGTAACTTTTTTTTAGTACTATACTAAATATAGCATTATATTAAGTTATTTAATTTATTTACTTAACTTTAGATTTGAACAAAAAGTATTTAGATGAAATATGTAAACGATGAATTGCTTTTTAAATTAATCTCAATTTTTTTAAAAAAATCTGAGAACATTAAGTTTATATTACAATAAATAAATATATATATTTCTAATGCGCACGTTAACAACATGACAAACATTAATTTCATCAAAGAAAATATCCTTATTTGTCAATAACTTCCATTTTTTACTATCAATAAATAATAATATTATTTGAGATATCAAAATATCTCAAATAACTCGATTATCTAATCATCATAAAAATTATTAATCATTTATATAAACTTAGATCTTTCACAAATTCTACACAAAACTTGCCATTAACATAATATAAAAAATCGTATAAATTATTAAATTTAATTAAAATAATTTTGTTAAAGAATTATGAATTGATCAAATATACAAATGAGATAGGATGAATAACAACATTGTCCAAAATATTTTTTTAAAGTGAAGAAATATTATACAAGATAAATGAAAATTTCTAAAGTAACATGTAAGATAAAAAAAAATGATATCCTTTAAAATGAACAAATAAAAAGATTAATTTCATTAAAATTGGATTGTGTGAATTGTAATCACCCTTATATATTGTTTAAGAAAATTCGGTCTTCTAGCAATTTTTTTACCTAAAATAATAAAATTCTTAAATTTTTTTACTTAAAATGTTTACCAATGAATTATTCAAAACCCTTTCCATTCTAAATTAAATAAAAAATTACACATTTCAATGAAAAAATAAAACTTTCTTCTTCAAATTGTAATCTTATAGTTTATAAAATAATTTTAATTTATATTTTTTAACAATTTTTTATTTTTAAACTCATTTCGTGTTTTAATTCTATTACAAATCTAAAAGAATATGCATAGAAATTTATAAAAAAAATACTTATAAGTAAAAGATAAATAGTGAAAAACAATTAACTATAAAAAATTAAAATATTAGAATTACATTTAATTTAAATTAAAGAAATATAAAAATATAAATAAACCTGATTATGTCTTTAAATTTTATTCTAAACAATTTAAAAATATTTATTATATTTTAATTTTATCCTCTTATAGTCCTTCCAAACAGATGATGTTGACAAAGGTATTAATACTTGTGTCGGTGTCTGATTAAAAACTAAAAATATTGAGCATTAATTGATGAAGACAACTGTTGACAGTAACTAATTACTAACCCTAAATCATTAGGCTCTTGTAGGGCTTTAGGCTTTAGCTTAGGAACCCAAAAGATATTACATTCAATTTAGTTATTCATTAAAAGCTAATATTCAATTTATTTATTTTTATCTTTTCTATACATGTACATCAGTAAAATAAATAAGGTGTTTGGCAATATCTCTCTTAAAATCTATATTACTATTTACTAATAAAATCCAAAATTTATTAGTGAATGATCACGGGGAATATGGATGTTTAACAACTTATTTAAATGGTTCTAAATGTCAAATAAAAAATTTAATAACTGAATAAATTGTCAAAAAAAAATTGTGTTTGATTTATTTTTTTTATGTTGAAAATCATATCAAATTGGATCATTCGACCTATGAAATTTATATCACTCATTTGAATTTAATTTTAATATATTACTAATAATATGTATGTATAAATATTAATTAAAATGATCTTATTAACCATTTAATTTTTTTATCTTTTTTATTAATCATTAATAAAATTATATATTAATTATTTGTTGTGGGAAAAAATTTAATTAGTGGCTGTTATTTTTTAACACGAGTTGTGAG